AGTTTGTTTGTTTGTTTGAAGAAGCTCAAATAAATCTGATGTCTAAACCAACAGATCTCCGCATTTTTATACCAAATTCGCGACGAAATATCGTCTTTTTTTCTCTCCTTTTTACCACCTCCTAAGTTCCTATTGCACCGGTCTTCATCAGTCCATTATGATTTATTAATATCATAAGCCAAATATCAGCTCGCGATATACAAACGCCAAGACATTTTCAACATCTGTGTGAGCGTGTACGCAAATATACCGGTTCAGTTCAACGTATGGTGGAATTTATTCATTTTTCATTGGACTGACCTTTTTCGCCGCATCGTTAGAATATATTTATGGGCTAATTTTAGAGCAGAGTACGTTCAACCAATTTTGGAAAATTTCGAAGAAAGTATCCTTGTATCAGAAGATTAGAAAATAATTCGCCAGAAAAGAACTTTCAAAGGAAACACAGGATAAATAGAAGAAGAAAATAATCAACTCAATTTAATCCATAGATATGCAACTATCCTCGTGTCTGGTTATTATTGTGGAATGAATAGATTGTGTGCATCATGGGAAAGGCGTCATTTGTGATTTTCCTTGTATTCATTTTTTTTACTTCATTTTGGGCACCTGAAAGTGTATGAAATCTAATTGCAACCATGTTGACGAGCACTTTGCAACCTCAATAGTCAGAAATTCCATATGTTCAATTGAACAAGTAAAAAATCTCAAATGACACGATCTGTAACTTAGACTCCTCCAGTGAATGAAAGATACGTTTTTGTTTTTAAATAAATTTCAACAATTTTCTTTTATTTACATTTAGTTTTCAATAAAAACAACGATTGAACATTAAATTAAGCTTGTGGGGCAACTGGCAAATGAGCACCTGACGCACGGTAACCGAACTCATCAGCGATGTAGTTAATGGTGTAGACTTGACCGTCTGGTCCGGTGTATGAGTATTCTGTGGACAAAATGGAAAATGAAAATTATTTGTTTTGAAACCGTCGGCGAAATAGTGTTCAGCAATGTTTGATCGAATTTTTCTTACGTCCTTGTACGGCATATGATGGGCTGGCGTCAACTGAACGTGCTTGGTTCAATGTACCTTTGGCTTGGGCCGAGATTCCGTTGCTGGTTTGTGATCTGTGCACGTGAAAAATGAGAACATTTATTGAATTGATCATACTCCGAGCATGTATATGGAGTTTCAATACATTATATTTGGTACGGGCGTCTAACTCCATCTACGGATTTTTCCAGTAGTTGTGAATCGAGTAGACATATAACGATTTCAACTATTTTTGGGCGAAATTATCTCGAAAATATACAAAAATGAGTTATTTGTTATGCGAACGCTCAAACGGCTACCGGAAATGTACGCGCAAATACACGCACTCGAGTGTATTGTAAATTTGTCATCTAGTAACCATTGCATGTCTACTGAATCAGTGCATACATTAACAGTAGTCGTTTGAGCGTTCGCATGACAAATAACTCATTTTAGCATACTTTTGAGATAATTTCGCCCAAAAATAGTTGAAACCGCAACTCAATAGAACACAACTGCTGGAAAAATCCGTAGATGGAGTTAGACGTTTCAAATACGTCATGTTGTCGGTATGGAATTGATTCACTAGGTTTTCCTTTCTGCTCACCACTCGACTCAACCGTGCACTGTTCTTCTGCTGTTTTCTTTTTTACAACGAGCAGATACTTACGCATATTGGTAGTTTCCTGATGGGTCGATGTCGGCTTGTTGGCTGACGATGTAGGCTTGTGCGTCTTGTGTGGCGCCTGGGAGAAGAGCTGCGACTGAGGCAGCGATGAGGGCAGCGAATACGATAACAAATTTCATTTTGACGTTTTTTTTTTGGCTTGGTTTGGTTAATCCACGAAAGCAGCTCAAATACTTGTGATATCTGGAGCAAGTGTTCGCAACCAATTTATAGTAAATTTTTTGTGAGATTCATCACCCTCCATTTTTTTTCCATCTTTTTACGATTTTTTTTTTCGCTGGTGTCTTCAACAGGTCTTATCTTCAACCGTATTACATTTTAGTACATCGATAAGCAATGTAAATGTAAACTTGAGAAAGACATTTAATGTAGTATAAACGCATTCTTGGCATCGAGAAGATGTAGTTCATTATATTAAAAAGATGTTTATTTCTGCAAACCAGCTCGCTTGCCATTCATAAAACACAGTTCCATTACTTCACTAGTTGTGAAAATGATTCCAAATCAGCCCCACCGAATGATACAGCATTATTGTTCCTGCTGAGGCAAACATACACTACTGATCCAAATTTTGTGTATGACAGGCACCTTTTCCATTCAAAATGTCGTTTTTGCAGTGTTCAAATCGTATTTAACCAAGTTGCAAAATTTTACTTTGCTGGTAGCTCGTAAGCCAAGATATTTTGCATCTGCGTGGAAAACGAAATTTTACGTATGGGAAACTCCTTCCCGTATTCAAAATTTCGGTCGGTACTGTATATTTAAATACTTCAATTCAATATAATTTGTTTCGATATAAATGATAGAAATTTATATTTCATAATAAAATGTATAAAATGAAAAACCATCAATGAAACGTGTGCAATTGTATGAATTTGCATGTATTGTTCATGTGACGCTATTCAATCACAAATAATGTTTGGTGTAAAGGTAAGCATAATCAGTGTAAAAGAAATGTTTGAATTTCTCTCCGCTTCGCGAAGTAAAATGTAAATATCATCATAATTGACTAGTCACAATGAGGACTTCCTGTGTTTCATATATGCCAGACACATTATGACATAATTTATTAACGATTGTGATATAATCTGACGAAATATCTACATTCTTGGGCTACAACCTGATCATGTCATCTTTATATTGGTGGTATTCGTATATGTCATTAACTCAATCGATATGCGAATGAAACTGAAACAAAAAAAAAATATCGTAAGTCAAGAATAATGATGAAATCATATGATATGATAAAAGAGACGACGATCGGTCGAAACAATAAAAAAAAGAAGACATTCAAACTATTGCAGTGTCACATGGAGACGACGAATGAAAAAAAGAGAATATTTTCACTTTCAAATGTGCTTCATCACGTTAAACTTTTGTCTTGTCTGTGGTCACTTTTTGTTTTTGAATGCTGTTTTCGTCGTTAAGCGGCGTTCGTGTGACCTTCACACCATCACAGATGCATCGACGCTTCTTCAGTACTGCACACAACGCGTTTTGGATGACGGTGCGGCGCGCATGATGCTTAAGGTTAATATCATCAATGGCAAAATGAAACACAACACAAACAAACCGAAATTCAAACATTTCTGAAAATCAATCATTGAGAAATAGAGGGTGTCACACACGTGACACAGGGTTACGTTCAGTTGGTAAAGGTATCAAATACATTTGAGCTTCTTCTGTGGATTAATCAAACCAAAAACAAAACACCCGTTAAAATGAAATTCGTTATCGTTTTTGCTGCCCTCATCGCTGCTTCAGTCGCTGCTCTTCTCCCAGGCGCCACACAAGAGGCACAAGCCACCATTGTCAGCCAGCAAGCTGACATCTCCCCAGATCTCCGTACATACTCATACTCGTAATGATTTGTTTTTTTTTTTCGATTGAAAATTTAAAAATTTTTCAATTATTTTTTTTCGATTTTTGTTAATGCAAAGAAAATTAATTCGAATAAATGATGTAAAAGGTCGAAATAATTTCAAAAATTCAAATGATTTGAAGAACAAACTGGAAAATTAGAAACAAAAAAAGATTTATGATTTTTATGTATGTTGTATATAGATCACAAACCAGCAATGGAATCGCCGCTTCAGAACAAGGTCAATTGACTCAACCACGTTCAGCTGACGAAACCGCTGCCTACGCCACACAAGGAGGTATGTACAATCCAATTGAGCATGAATATTTGAATCCGATTGTGCATTTTTGTATATGAATTTTTCTTATTTTTCTTATTTGAAAATAATCTCCATTTTCGCATTGGTTTTTCTCAAAAGAATTCTCCTGGACCGCACCAGATGGCCAACACTTTTCAGTTCATTACACCGCTGATGCTTCAGGTTTCCATCCAGAAGCCGCTCATTTGCCAGTTTCCCCAGTTGCTTAGATCAAATCGCCAGCATGCGAACTAGTCGAAACGATCATTTTGTCGATGTGGCGTAGATGATGATAGCACACTGGTCAATTTCGTTAGGGAATTTATTTGTTAAAATTCATTGTGACTTATTGTAAAATGTGCCGTTTTGTCTCACGTTATCAGCGGGAATAAATGGTTACAATTGAAGAGGATCGGTGATTTTTTCTATGAACTTCATTTTAGGCAAGCACAACAGCTCACAAAATACACGCCACTATTGGAAACTTACAAAATGTTCTATTTTTACATAAAATAAAATAAGTTTACTCCAAACTTTGAGCAAATAATTCTCAAGATTTTGTAAGCTTTGACATCGCACCACACCACACGAGCCATCTTTTGAAAGAAAAACGCAGAAAAACGATCTTACAATATAAAAACGCTTTTGACACATATACACAAAACTGGTCAGAGAATCGCATGAAATTAACGACCAAAAAAATCTCCATAATTATGGGTTTCAATATTTCGCATGGTTACATCAATACGTTGCCATTCATCTGCTGTTTTGTGTTTACTTTACGGTCTTTTTTTTTTGCCCTGTATCCACTTGAGGGGTTTCTTCGGTTTGACTCATTTGTTGTGTACAGTTTTTTTTACCAAAATTTCAACATTTACTCATCGTCCGTCAAGTCAGTGGAACCGAGATAATTTCTTACTCAATTTTCGTAGAATTGACAACTTGATGCTGCTGTAGGATTCTTATATTTTATGCAAACAGATATACCTTGATACAGTCAGCTTTTGTCCACAATATCCAGCAACAGCAACACCATAAATATCAGAACAGTACAAACAATATTCCTGCTAAAAGTCAGCAAAGTGACATAGAAGCAAACAAATAAACTTTCTGCTTACGTTACCTATTAACAGCAGCTCAGAAACGAGCTAAGACCCAATTCTAAAGAATTTTACTTGTTTTTTTTTCGCAATACAATGTAATTTTTATTTTATTATATGCAATCGGTGAATTATGATATAGTTTTCAATGTATTTTTCACAATCAATACGTGATGGATGAGTTGCTGGTGTTGAGTGGTTTTTGTTTTTGTTCTAACCAACCATCAAACTTAAAAGTGTGCGATCGATGCAGTAGACACCTTTTGAGAAATCACAATCCGTCTGCTCGGGTCCATACAAATCGATAATACCTTCATTGTCGAATGTTACTGGTATCTCATGATATCCCATGTGATCGAAGACGTATGCGGTAATTTTCACGACTCCCTAATAGATTGAGGAGAAATGTAATGAATTTTACTTTTTTTTCTTTCTTTTTTTTCTTCATATAAAACATATTTATTCTAGGCCAAAAAAAAAACCAATTCATACATCCTTTGTGATGTGTTCGAAAAATCCACGAACCACGAACACTGTTTCTCCATTGAAATTCTCGAAATCGCCTCTCTCGATGCGTCGTATGCCATTGCGAATGAACAAACTGTATGTGTGTGAAATGGCAAAGCCAAATTGGCGAATTATAATAAATTTGATATTTGTTCGATTGTTTTTTCTTCATTTTTCACATGATGCGCTTTAAAAAATGAATCTCTGTCACTCACCTGAATTCATATTCACCGTTTGCTTTGCCTGAATATTGATGATTTGTTTCATTGGTTTTGGGCAAATTATTGCTAATTGTCATTGATGATGATGCGACGGTAGTGGTTCGATCGTTTTTTATCGCTTCGTATACATCACCACGGTCGAAAACGATCTTGTCACTGTTTCTTAAACGATCTTTGAATGTGTTCACATGTCTTTGATCTGTATTTATTTGTTGCTGCTGATGGTGCTGTTGTTGTTGTTGCTGCAATTGCATCAACGGGCCGTTGTCCGTCAACCGCCTTACCCGATTAACATTTGCACTTTTCTCATGGCAAACCACCACACAATTCGATATCAAGATAATCGCGATTGCAACACCAACCACGTTGATGATACACCAATTTCGATTCATACTACTACTTGTTGGTACTGCTTCTGCTGCTGATGCCGCTTACCAATTCAAACGAAACAGTGTGAACGAGCCGGAAAAAAATGGATGCAATTGGTAATAAAAACACACGAAATATTTCGTCTATGGGCTACTACTTGCACACTCGATGAGTTACAACTAAACAGAAATTGTTGTCCGTTCGAATGGAGTGCTATTTATTGAGAAAGTTGGAAGTTTATTTTTTCCCAAAATTCTGGCTTGGTTCAGCGGAACCGAATTCTGATGGAATGCGTACTAACTTTTAGAAAATAATCACAAACAGAAAGTTTTGATTAGCGACATTTACTACTTTGGGTTTATCCACATTGAAAGCCTGCGTAATTGCGTTGATTATTATTGAATTTAGGTATGGTTATTTTAGTTTTCGCTCTTTCTCTCTTTCTCTCTCTATCGCTCTCTCTCTCTCTCTCTCTCTCTCTCTCTCTCTCTCTCTCTCTTTTGGTGTATGATTGTGTTGGTGTTGTGAATGTTACCAACATTCGATCGAGCTCTTCTTGTTATCGCAACGAACATTCTGCAATTGTATTGGCGGGTGTGTTTTGTGTACGAATATTAATAATAAAGGAAAAAAAATGACTAAAATAAACGATGATGAGAAAGATAAAGAGAAGACTCGATTCATTCCTCAGCCATAACCCGATGCTCATAGAACCGGTATATTTTATTTACTTAAAATTCTGTATGTAATCAACATTTCACACATATATGTACTATATGCATCTATCTCTTTTAGTTCTACACATTCTTTCTGTGGAATGTCTGTGTACACGTATCGGTTTTTCGCAGAATCCTACACTACACAACATTTTGTGTGAACACTGAACAATCAACATTTTAACACGACAAGAAGAAACAAATCGGAAAGTAATTCCCGTGTTTACTTACAATATCTGACTCTGGATGTTGCGTGCTAATAAACTCACATCGATTTTGCATTTAATGTTTATTATCGTTGTTGTTGCTTTTCTGTTTGTTAGCAAAATGGAATTCCAAATGAAATAGGGAATTTTGTTGTTATATTTGGACTAAGGCTATTTTGGTTTTATTTCTCCTCTTGGGTTTTTGTTTTATAAATAATTTAAATGGCAATTCAATTTTCTTAAATTGATATTAATTTGGTTGGGATTTTTATTTGTAAATTTCAAATTTTTTTCGGTTTTATCCAACGGCGCTTTTCAACAAGGCGTTGTATCTCAACTTAACAAGCGGCCGATAACCACGTTTGTCAGCCACATACATTGTCGTCTGAGTTATTCCATCGGGATGCTTCACCGAATATGCACCAACGACGGACAAATCACCATTTACCAACATTCCTTTTTGATAATGCTCCTGATTGTCGGTTTTGTATCTAGGAGCAAAAAAAAAATATGTTCACAATTCAGCAAATGGACAGATTTATTTGTTCATTTAAGAAATTAAAACATTTTTCACGAATTTTCCCTTATTGAACGACGAGACGTTATCTCATTCACTCTAATAGCAGCACGCACGCACTCAAAGGCACCAATATAAATAGAGATAGAAAGTAAGAGCGAGAGAGCTGAAAAAAATTAAGTCTACGTTTCGTTGTTGAGAAAATTAAAGAAGAAATCGAGAAAAACTGAGAAGAAGATTAAAAAAAATTGCTCTCGATCATTCTTTGAGTTCTCATCTCCAGGATAGATAGTTACTTTTCATTTCCTAATCTTGTCATATTTCCTCCTAATCACCCAACAATCTAATTGAAATTTAGGTAACACATAACAATGATTGTACGCGTGTTTTGCTTACGAAAATTCGTATTGATTCTCTTTGGCATCGGTGTCGCGTTGCATGATGGCATCGGTGGCACGCTTCACCAAAAATTTTGCATCGGATAGCATGGTAACATCGGTGACATCATCCAAATGAAGGTCTCTGCAAATCGATCGACAACAACAACAAAAAAATAAAGTCACACACAAAAGTCAATATTTGAATTTTTGCGTAAAACAGTAAAAGCATTTTAATTTAAAACGATCAAAAATTTTTGTTTTCGGTCATTGTTAAACCAAAAAGATAAAGGTCACGCCAAATAAATCACTTAAAGGCTTATCAAATGGTAATTTACGATATTTAATTCAATATTTTCTTCTTCTTCTTCTTCTTTTTTTCGAAAAAAAACTCACTGGACGGTAAAAAATAATGGATCGACATATCGACAGTAAATCGCACCCACAAGTAATATCAAAAGAAATGGCTTTGCATCACTCTACGTTGAAAATATTGGAAGATATCGTTGTAATGTTACAATTTCTCTAAATTTTCAAATTTTATTATTGAAAAAAAAAAGTGGCAAGAAAAACACACACAAACGAACCATTTTAATGAATCTTGGTCGCACTGTTAAACTTTTAAAACAAATCAACTTCCCGGCGTCGACTGATCAAATGTAAAAAGCGTAGCGCTACCGTAATGAAAATGCAAATAGTCTGATGATCTGAATCTCGTCGGACGTTTAATTACACTGGGCGACTTTGAATCGGTTAATAGTATTTCGAAGCGAGTTTTGTCACACAAGGCGGCATCGTTGAGGCTCAAAATCGTTTCAATTTTTTTGCGATCGTCCAAACACTTGTTGCTTAATGTTGAATCAAATGACAAACATAAAAGTTTATATAGACTTTTTAAAAAAAAATTTCATCGATAGAGGCAAACAGTGTTCGCCGAACACTTATTTTCCCCACCCGATTCGTCCATAACTCGGCAAAAGAAGTTAATCAGTTTTTTGTCTAATGTGTTTTTCCCGTGTTTGGTGTGTGATCCATCCATCTCTCGGGTGACACATCATCTGATTAGGTGGTCATCTATTTTTTTCCGTACTGATTATCAATCATTCTAGGTGTGAACAATGGTCTTATTTTCGGTCGGTCATATTTTTATATGCCAAATTTTTCAAACCTAATCAAAGCCGTGTATCAAAACCGTTTCCACAGAATCCATCTTATGTCATCAACCGATGAGCCAAACGCGAAGACAAATCGAGGTGAATTGTGTTTAAAATCATGATTAAGATTATATGCGGCGGCGATTTGATATGTTGAATAGATTGCTGCCTAAACGACTACCATGTGCTCGATCTCCATCTGCGGCGGCTGCATTTTTTTTGTCTCTCAATTTGTGCCTTGTAACAAGTCAATCGACGATCGACAAATATTCACTTGAACTAATTTCAATATAAGCAAAAGAGATACAGAGAAGTTTTTTTTTTCCTTCATTCAAACTAGCTACACGGCACGTGACAAAATTAAACTCTAATCCAATTTTTGTTCGCGAAATTAATTTTATTTTAAATTATTCATTGAAATTAATGTGCATACATATCAAAGAGGCCGCATTTCATTGAGGCCGTATCTCGTTTGATCACATTTGCGCATTTGGTGCAACTTGTTCGTTCAGACAACAACCATTGAGTCCTTAATTACAGCGACAAATCGATCGGTGGGTAATTTTTGGTATTATCGCAGCTGCATACTTGTTGTCATTATGTCGTCGCTTCGATTTTAATTCCATCATTTGCAATTGGTTGATAATGAACAAAATAAATATTACTTAAATCACTATTTGTGTTCCACTTGCCTATTTGAAACACTTTTCCGTTCAAAAAACGGGATTATCTCCGTTCGAATTAAAAACCATCATATACGAAAGCCGTTCTTCAACTGTTAGCATAGCTCTTGTCATTTTGGTTATTTTTTTTCTTCTGTCAAACCATTTTCATAAAATATAAATCGAAATACTTTTTTCTTCATCTTCAATTCATTTTTACCATTCGCTTGGATTGTCCTCGGCGCGCACACTTGAAACTCATTCTAATGCAGTATGTTTGGTATTTGCTGGCCCCAGAGCCAAGCGCTAACTCAATCAACGCGTCCTTTTAAATAACAATTTAAATCCCATTCATATATTTACCGGGGCAGTCGAGTGAATCGATCGTGAGCGAAAACGAGAGCGAACGGAAAAAAGAACAATAAATAATCCCGTACGATTTTCAAGCGGTCGGAGATTTCGATTCAACAAAAGTATTTTTTTTTAAATCCGCTTTACTGTAAGTTCGGGGATAGTTTCGACACTTTGAAAGTACACTTGTTCGGCGTATTTTTTTTTCGTTTCGAATTTTATATGAACCGCTTTTGACACGGTTTTTGCTCTCTCTCTCTCTCTCTCTCCCCGCACATTAAGGACAAGCGTCAAGCGTTTTTTAATCGAAACTAAATGGAGAAATGCGCTTTTGTACTATTTGCGTATCGAATTGAGCTTGAATGCATCATCGCATCGCATTCAGTTGATTTTCGGGCGCAATTCTTTTTTCTTCTTCATGCTGTAGCATTTTATATGCCCACATTCATCTCGCATGTGTGCTTGTGTTTTTCGTCCTATTTACTTATCGTGCGCGCGCGCACACATATATATACATTATTTTCTGCTGAAATGTGCACAAACACGTACTCTCTAACGCACCAGCGTACACGGCTGACATACATTAGCAACATTTTACGTTTGCTATTTCATTGTTTGATCTCTCACTTTTACGCAGTCTACGCGTAGTTTCGCTTTTGATATAATATTCTTTTTTGTGTGTGTCTACACTTGGATTGTTTATTTTTGGGGTAGACTGAGAAAAAAAGAGAAAATTGTTATTTTAAACTGTGTATTTCTAAGCAAAAATGATCGAAAATTGTGCATCTTGTGTGTTTTGTTTTTGGTTGTTGGGCCGAGATTTTCATTTGAGAACGCATTTTTGGATAACAAATCAAAGGTAGCATTGAACGTCGATGACATGCTATTCGCATCGCGCTTGTACTCTCTCTAATCTCTCCAACAAAGTTAATTTGGCAAAATTTGTCGATTTCGAAATAAAAATTTCCAATTGAAATGACAGTTTGTATGCGACCAGTTCATTACAATTCTGATAATTTTTGCAGTATTCTAATCCAATTCGTCGCCTTAGATCGCCGAAATTTCAACGCAAGTGCATTTTTTAACAAAAATTCAGTCAAGCTGACTGTAGCCAATTGGACCAAAATGGTAATAAAATGCGGTTTAGTCTCGGTGATGGTTTTGAGTCAGGCAGACCAAGTTAAAGCCATGTTTGATATGCGCTGAATCAACCGAACAATGAGCCTGTCATATGAAAATATGAAACCGAAGTAGAAAAGACGAATACGAAAAAATCGTCGAACAATAGGGCGAAAATGTTGTTAAACGCATATTCGAAAGAAAAAAAAACCACGTGCATCAACACAGTATTTGTTATTCTATGGCATTGTTATTGTTGTTGCTAGAGGAGGGAAAAAAAATCATCATATTCTCCGTACAATATATCCCGCTCAAGTACCACTAATTCAATCATAGAAATTATCTTCAGACCATCAAAATAGTGTACATACCGAAAATTTTAAAAAGGGGCAAAACGATTTGTCGTCATCGTCGTCGTCGTATTCGTTTGCCGTCGTTGAATTGACGGGGCTGAGCTCGCTCATTGGTTGGTTGCTTGGTTGGTTGATTGTTGTATTTTTGTGGGGTGGCAAAGTGAAATTTGTGAACGAAAACAGGTGTTGCCACGCATATTATGAGTTGTTTGGTTACGGAGATCAAGCACATCAGCAACATCAGCAGCAGCATCAGAACAAAGGCAATCCCGAAGACATTGGCATTATGATTAATTTTAAATGCGTTTATAATCGGCAAATGGAAACTATTATAATATACAGCCAACAGTTATGAAGCACCGGCTTTATATGCATATTTATTAATTTGCATGTGTCTCAAATAAAATGGATTGTATTTTTTTCTTCTTCTTTTTTCGTTCGGTGTGACATGCATAAATTAATATTTTGATGTTTGATTAAAAATCAAGTCGCCTGATGATTTCCTCGTGTATCGTATTATTTAGCGGCAAAATAAATATGAAAAAAGTAATCGATCGAAGAGATATGTTGGACACCGATTGAAAATGTAAAACTCAATCGTTGAATGTGTACAAAATATGGTCGCGTGAAGTAAAAATTAGCTCGAACCAAAAAAATGGCAAACTCGTACCAAAAAAAAAGGTCAAGATGAGACGGAAAAAAAACATTCGAAACGAAAGGATTTAGGCTCAAAAGAAAGCGAACATAAATTGTTTGACAAGATGAAAAATCGTTTGAAAATTGGAACAGAAAAACATGATTGAACAAACAAATTGTTTTTTTTTCGCTCAAAATTAGCAACACAGATTATTCAAATCCAATGTAATGATTGTTCGAGGCATCGTTCGACGTAATAAATGATTCGAATCGAACCGAACCGAAGCAAAGCTAAACAACTCCAGAAAAAAAACATACCAACAAAAGACGTACAACTATTTGTGCAATGCTGAGTAATGAAACGCGCAGTTGTTGAATGCGATGAACGAGAATAAAGAAAAAGCGGCTTTAAAGTGGAACCAAAAAACATAATTTAAAAACCGGGAATGACGAGCAACAAGAGACGGTATTTAAAAAAAAACAACTATATTAGATTATAGCCCCTAAAATTCAATAAAGATCCATATTAAAATACAATGTATATGCTGTAAGTTAATACATGCACGATTAGCGTGCATGAAAAAACATTTGGGCTGCAAATACACATAAGCAATACGGTACTGCACATATATGCAATGCGTAAACTATCTCCGGTTGTTCAGCTTGCCGATTGGCTTAATGAAAACAACACTATAATCGAGGGGTGCAACGCATTGCTGCACCGCATCCGAATGTTACATGCAGTGTGAGTGGTACGCATCATAGCTTTTTCTCTCTCTCTCTCTTTTTATCTTTTTCTCTCCCGCACGGAATTAGACTTACTCTCCGGCCACACAATAGAACAATTTAATTGTTTTCTTGTTTTGTGTGTCAGTCTCGAACCATAAAGAATAGCAAACGCAGGAACGAATGAAGAATGAAAGAAAAAAATTACCCTCAAATACTTGCGTTTAATGCTTAATCGATTTGCGCTTCATTTTTAAATTGTTTCGCTAGCGCCGGTTTTTGTGTGGTGCAAAATAAACTGGGGTAAATGAACATCGCATGCAACACATTGATTTGCCCTACAAAATATTGCCAACGAATTAGGTTTTCCTCTGAAAATGGGTATTTTATAACAAAATCGACAGAAAGAGAGAGAGAGAGAGAGCACCGGCTTATATTCCATGGACGAATTTGTATGTGTTTGTGCGTATTAAGTGTAACACTTGCACACCAAACAAACGACTCTGGTCTTGTTTTCTCTCTCTCTCTCTCTCTCTCTCTCTCTCTCTCTCCTTCCCACAAAAGTGAAATAGCTCAGTCAATATGTTTTTAATTGTTGGCGTGTGCCAGCAATAATCAATTGAATATGTGTATACAAATCCGGGCACTTTGCTGGCGTTTGTTTTGTGTCAACTTAGCAAGGCCGCGAGGCGTTGATCCAACAACGACAACGACAAATGACTTTTGAAAATGTGCTCCAGTTTTCCGTTTTTTGTTCGTTATCTTTCATTATTCCGTTTGTTTCGTGTTTTCCTATGCTTTTTCTCCGTTTCTTTCGGTCCTGTTTCTTGACATTTCCTCCTATTTGCTCCTTTTCGGTTCCTTTCATTTCGCGTTGTTTTCCGTTGTCTCAAGTGCAAGTTATTAATGATAGTGACACTGTTTTTTTTTTCGTCGACATCGTCGTCACACAATCATCGCATTGGATTAGCAGATTGAACAACTCATTTTGTTCATTGTTCTAGAACGATATTGTTAATTTGATGAAAAAAAAAAACTAGAATCGCAATAATCGGAGGGAAATGTCATTAATTAATCGTCTATTGTTCGAGTATTGGACGACAACATTAGCTCAATCATTTTTCAGATTGTCATCGTGGCGTAATAACGCGGTGTTTAGAAAGTGAAATGGATCTATGGCCAAATTACGTCGAAATCTGGCGTTACTGTCGATTGTTGCGAATCAAACCCGCATTCATCGCCAACGATCACACTACCATTTGAAAACACACAAATATGTGAATGAAAACATTAAAAATTATGGGCTAACCGAACTCATTCGAAAATGAAAATAAATCATGAAACACATTCGACTTGATTTGCCATAGATGATATGTGGTGCGAATTGGAACACGTGGATTTGAACAGGATGATGACGACAGAAAAAAAAATAAACTACTTGAAACAACCATCATCATATTGTGCATTTACCGGATTGCCTTTGCTGCACTCAATGGCCGATCAAACGTCGGGGACTAAGGAGAGAGTGAAAGGAAAAAAAAAAAATATTGAATTGCAATATTTGCGTAGGGTGTGAGTGGATAATTTTTTTCTTTTTGATTGAAAATTTGGATATCATTTGCTGTAAATGGCTTTATTTCAAGTGGTTAAAAGGCCTGAATGGAAGGAAGCAACGTCAAAAGGGAGCGACTGAACATATCGATTCAATAGAGATTGTAATCGTGTGCACGCGATCCGTTTAACACTTGTACGTACAACCATGTTAAAATCTTGCATTTCAACAACCTGATCAAATATATCATATATATATATGTGTTCAGCAGTAGTAGTAGCTTGATAGACAGAAAAAAATGCATCGAATCGATCGAAAAACATTAACATTAATTTGCCCAGCATTGTTTGCACAAAAATTAAACCACTTCTTCTGTGTAGTGCGTATGAAGATTTTGATCAGAAGGCGATTTTTTTCATTCTATCATCTGAAATGTGCAGCTGCCAACAGCTTCATTAAACGCAATGCATCCCAACGCATTGGTTCAATCAAATGCTCTATTGAGTGGTTTTCTGTTTGATTCATTTGCATTGTTGCACACACATATTATACCACCAAGTTGGCTTACCGCCGATTTCCATATGCATGGCATAAGCATATCGATCCAATCGCTTAATTACAGATAAGAAAACCTACCTCATTTTCACGCTATTGTTCGGTGTATAATCCGCAAATTGCTTTCTGTACGCCATTCGGCAAGTGAATGCAATTTAACGGAAATGCATCTGATAAGAGCTGCAAACACAAAAGTCAAAACAGTGCATAAAAATCAGGGTGAACAATAGCAAATAACGATCTGATAAGAATTTTTCTATTCGTCGTCATCGTCGCCGAAATCAGCTGGCTGTCGAAATGCAAACCAAACACTTGGTACTGCAATGCATATGAAAGGGTCGTCAAGATGATTATTATTCAATTTTATTTTCTCTTTTGGTTTTGTGTAATTTATTTTTTTTTGTTCGTCATGTGATGGGCCACAACCACATATATTGCATATTTGAAAGCCGTGGTTTTCGGCAAACAACAACATCGAATCATGTAAATTCGATACACCGCCAAAAAATGCACCGCGCGAGCAAGTAACATGTTAGAATTGAGTCCTGGGTTGTCAAGAGCCCGGGTTAAAGGAATTAGCATGAATAGTTTGTGTGTGTGTGTGTGTGCGCGTGAAATATTTGCAAGGATGATATTTTGATGTTGGATGAGCGATAGGGAGGGACCACCGAACACATCCAGCTGCATCACTAATCACATTTAATATGGTGATGACGATGATGTTTAAAGCGATACATATATGTATACCAAAAATTAAAGCCAATGCAAGAAAGAGAGGGAGAGAAAGAGAGACCCTTTTTTGGCTCTATATGTGTATTTGTGTGCCGGTTTCGCTTTCTCATTTTTGCCCATTTGATTTCCGAATCTCGTTTTGACTGACTATTGTTTAATGAATGTTTATTAAAAACCAGAAAAAATATGTTTTAGCTTAGGCCGGGGCCAAATAACGGAGTCATCATACAATGGTTGTGTGTGTGTGTGTGTGTTTGCGAGCAATGAGCTTTAATGCATGCAGTCAATTGAATGGTGAGTGAGATGCAAGGTTCAGCACTTGTCATCACATTTGCACTATTGTGTGTATGCTTTAGAGAGAGCTATTCGATGCTCGCACTACTCGTCCCCGCACGCATTACACTGAGCACTCGATGTGTACACCACCAATGTGTTCTCCGTCTCATTTTTCACCATTCAATTTTGCATGGCATCACACTGCCATCTCCGATTTCGATTCGGCTTTTCGGCGCGGGCCACAAATCAGAGGGTTGCAACTTGTTGTCGAGATTTTTTTTTGTGTAGTTGAAAACCTGAGCGAGCGATTCGAACCACAATTGCACCACTATATAAACCACGACCAAATTACAACTCCGATCAGATTCTAATTGCATTCCAACTCGAACACACATCCGGATACCGAGCTATCTCTCTCTCGCGATCGACGATTTTCATTTCATTTGTTGACCAGTTTGAGTTTTGCGAGCAGAAGTTGAGTTTTGTTTGAGAAAAAATAAACAAATTACGAACTGAACCCGTTCGATTTTTGTTCTGAAATTCAGGCGAGAATTTGGAAGTGTTATAAGTTATTTTTTGTGTGAACAGTGATTTGTGTGTTTGTGATTATCAAAATGTTCCCGATTATTCCGACACACATGCTAAACGGAACACCATCGTCAACGTCGTTGGGTAAAATGGCATTGAATCCCACCAGTTCCAGTTATTCGAATGCATTTTGGAATGTTTGGACCGAGGACTTTCTACGACGCAAGTACATTTCGACCGCTTCGAGTGACCATTGCTTGACAAATCATTCGATCGATGCCATGACGACGACTGAGACGAAAACTCGTGACAGTAAACGAATCAAAATCGAACCAAAACCAAATCGAGGATCATATGCCGCTGAAGCGATAGCCAAAGATTCCAAAACCAGATCATTCGATTGCATCGACTTGAGTGGCACGGAACAAGAAGCCAAAAGCAAAAGTTTTATTACCATCGATACATCATCGGGTTATATTGCAAACGATCAACATTACTCGGAGAGCACGTGGCTGCGTAGCCTAACACTGGCTCATGACACATATAGTCATAATGCTCAATTGGAAATCACCAGCGATCATCGGTTGCGAGTGAAAATCGTCAAGCATTTAGTGATTGACGAGGAGATTCAATTGTGGTTCTCCGATGAAATACTTGCCATTTTGACCGTTCCATTCCTAACACCCGCCAATATTTTAGGTGAGTTTTGAATTTTTTATTTACGCTAAAAATAATTTCAAACTGAATTTTTTTTTTCAATTGTCTGAATTGCAATTTTGTGGATTGGGCAGGAAAAAAATGTGACGCGATTTCATTGTGAACATTTGATAAATGCGATTTTATGCTGGACTTGAAAATGAAATTGGCACAAACTTACTTTACGTTGATTGAATGGATTTTTTTTAGATTTAAATCGACAAAATAAAATATGAAATATTAATGGAAAACCTAATGAGCCCCATTACCTTTTGATTCCAGGAAAAAACTGTTACAAATGCATCGATTGTGAGAAAACGTACGAAAATCCGAATCCGTTAAAAATTCACCTGGCAACAAAATGTGATCGATACACGATGGATGACTTATGGTCTCGACTCAACGCAATTTTACCATTAAAATCGTACACATTGGCACAGCCAATCAGCCCATTCCGCCACCATCACCATCACCACCACCACCATCAGCCGACGACAACACCAATCCAAAGCGCCGAAAATTCATCCAAACTGTTTCAATCACTTGACACATCGGATCGTTTGCGTGCAACGTCCATTCCATCATTTGTGCCTTCGTCGAGTCCACATTTTGTTCCGCCAATCACCAGCCAATGTATGACGACCACAAGTCTGGTGACTCCATCGTCGTTTCATCGTCAATTTTCATTGCAAAATTTGCATCAGTTATCTGCCTTTCAACCCATTCCAATGTCACTATCACCGCCACAAATCCACCAATTTGCCCCACATTCTGCGCACAATTTCCATCAAAATGCAGCGTCGTCGACAGTGAGTCATTCAATTCCACAGCCATCATCAAATGCACCGATGAATACGGTGGTGTCACAAGGTGAAAAGGTTGTGGCCGCCGCGGCGGCTCAATTGGAGACAATCGTCAGCAATATGGGAACATCGAAACAAGGACACATTTGCATTTACTGCGGTAAATTGTATTCAAGGAAATATGGACTTAAAATTCACATAAGAACACACACCGGATTTAAGCCGCTCAAGTGCAAATATTGCCTGCGGCCGTTCGGTGACCCAAGCAATTTAAACAAACACATTCGATTACATGTTCAGGAGAAATCACTCTACAAATGCCATGTGTGTAGCAAAATTTTAGTACGACGTCGAGATTTGCTGCGTCACATGAATATTAAGCACAATGTAACGACAGCAGAAGGCAGTACGTCAGAAGGGCAATTTAGCGGCGAATGTGAAAGTAGCAACGACAACATGACCCAACACTCGACAAATGGTTTCAACGAAACCAACAGCAGCCGAAGTAATAGTGTCTGCGATATTAGTTCAAACGAAGATGATGACGATGATGATTATGACGTAAGAGTCGATGTCGATTAAGTTAGATTAAGAAGTAGCCTTGAGTATAGATGCCAACATTGAAAAAGTACCAAAGATTTTCCAAAAAAAATATCACATACAACCATCCATTGCTCAGTGATGAGCTCTTGAGAAACACGAGAATAACCTTAGGATTATGAGGATATTTTATCCAGTTCACTGAAGAATGAAACAAGAAAAATTAGTACAAAAAAATCCGAGCCTTCACCAAATTGAATAAAACACATTTCATCTTTGTCTACTTGCAACTATGAAACTATTTTTTTTATTATAATATAATTATCTACGTGTAATTATTTTTTTTTTGTATAAGTTAGAGATAACACAGTATCTGTTTCTCTTTGTAATATAAGGTGATCACAAAAATATATTGATTTAATCTAATATAATTCATTTTGTTTGGTTTTTTTGGTTTGGTTTAATTTCAAAATAGAAACATTTCTGTTGTTGTGCTTTTAAATAACTTTGCGTTGCAAGCGTTTGCCATTTTCATCATCTAAACGACTACACTACATGGTTAAGCTTAAATATACGATATATTTTTGTTGTTGTTGTTCACTTTTGGGGTTGAATTGAGTAGCCAGTTTCATTATGGTTATATCGATTACGGCGGCTATGGCGTTTTGTGTTGTTGATGGTGTTTATTTTTGATTTTGGTTGCCACACTTGAATGAGTTTCAGGTTGTTGCTTTGGTTTTTCTCTCTGTTTTTTTTTTTTTTTTTTAATTGGAAGTTAGTTTAGACGAATGCTTCACCAGCACAGACGGAACACTGTGTCTTTTTCAAGGAATTTTCATGTTCAAGCACATAATTTTGCTTGAACTCAGTTTCGATTAGGTCATATAGATCGTCGGTGTACTGGAAGAGATACTCATTGAGTGAGGCACAACCATCTTCGGCACTAATTTTGGTAAGCAAGCAATAAATGTCGGTGATAAATATATCCACCGATATAAAGCGTCCCAACGACAATTGAATATTGACCGCATGATCGTTCAGCAATTTTTTGGCCAATGCAAAGAAAATCGTTGCCGATTCATAAGACAAACGCTTTAAAATCTCTTCAATGGTTTCGTGCAGCTCGTTTACATTGGCCGTGGCACAGCACATTTTAAATTTGCCAGAAAACATTTCGACACGTTCTTCAATCAGCAGATACACCTTGCGATTATCGCTCAAATCGGATTTGTAAGCATGTGCAGCATCATAGTTTAACTCTAAAGTGGCCAGCGATTCAGCTGTTTGTTCGTTTAAGTATTCACGAATTTGAAAATCGATAAAATGCAGCTTATCTGAATCAAGCGTTAAAATGTAATTGTTTATATCCAAAAATTTCTCTTTGGTCGATCGTTCGACAAATTGTGCATAGGCCAATTTGAGAAAGCGCTCAAAATGGGTTGGTGCTCCAATTTGTTCCTCCAACTTGTTCGCTACACGAACCACCAGCTCTTGCACAAAATTCAAAAATATCGCATAAGTTTTTAGCGTCATGTCATCCAACAGATGAACCAAAACTTTTCGAAGTGATTCGGTGCCACGGTTTGTAACCTGCTGCTGTAATGTGCCCACCATCGATTTTAAGCGATTATCGAATACTTCACAGTACTCCATTACGACGGCCAGGCTTACATTCACACAGAAATCTTCTTGCTTCACAATTTTATCGTCTTCGAATGGTGGTGCTGATGCATTTACTGTAGCTTCAGCTTCAACTTCAGATTCTTTTTTGGTTGCTTCAGTCATGTGTTGCTGTATCTTTTGCTGCTGAGCTTCAACAAATTTCAACAGCTCTCTCGGGTCGCCCAAACTTTTAATCGATCGCACAATAATTTGGCCAACATCCGTGCGTAGACCACGAATCAAAACCGTTTCATTCACCAGATGGGAAAATGCTCCCTTTTGGCGTTCGCATAAAATTTCTTTCATCGAATTTGGATTGCTTGAGTCGTTGGATCGCATAATTTGTTCGGCCGCTTGGAAATTGCTTATGGAATGTGTTAACAAAAACAGCGACGCACTCAACTGTGCTAAGTGCACTTTGGAAATCGGTTCGCCATTTGTCCAATTTGACAGCATTGTGTGAAAACCATCCAAGCAGCCTGTTGTGTGCAAACTCAGCGCACCGATATTCATGAAACGAACCGTATTCCGTGTTAAATGTGATATGTTTTGGCCGCTTTGAGCGGCCGTCGTAATGAGCTGTGTCGCACCAGCTGCACCCGCAGATAATGTACCCGCCGCAATGTTAAACCATGATGCTCTGGCCTCTCTATCTTTAATCCCAATACTTTGCTTATGATATCGTCGATCATACAAATCATAGGCACTACGAATTCCAGTGTACACAGCGCACGAGATTCCTGCCACAGCCGCACCAGCAACTACAACCGGAGCCACGACCAACGATGGTATGAATGTTGCCGCAGCCACACCAGCTGATGCTAAACCTGTGAAATTGAAAATTGTGTGAGAAAAAATCAAACAAAATCCATCGAATTTCTCTGTGAACAACTTATTTATCATCACACTAACCAACAACCGTAGATCCAGTGTCCAAATTCTTGGTCAGACCCGATCTTCGCACAAAAATATCCAACAACACCTGATCTTTTGATGACCCATTATAGATTCCTGTTCGCGGTGCAATCACCAATCCATCTTCGTATTTATTTTTCTCACGAAAATCCTTCCAATTGACGTAGGCACGCCCAAATTCATCCACAAAGATGGCACAGCACTTGGTTTGTCCATTTTCATCGGTGGTGGTGCCAAGGCATTTTTGAACACGAAACACTGGATGTATTGAGAATCGTGTGGACTTTATGTCCAACGGGTATGTTAAATGATCCTTGATATTTGTGTCAAATACACAGCACACAAACACCGGTGACATAAACAGATGCTTGTCGCCCATGTACTTTTTCTGTGACCAAATCAAATCAACCAGCTGGTCACGCTTCGTTTTATTCATTTCAGGCATCATTAAATCGATTTTCACTTCGAGCGCCACTTTGCTCGTATAACAATCGTAAATAACGCTGGTTTTGTGGCCAAACATTTCGTAAAATTCTTGTTGCAATTTAATCATGTCAACGGGTGCATCAACAGTACTATCAACGGCGCCGCTGATACTGCTACTGCTGCTACAACTTTTTTCGCTGTTATCGCTGTTGTTTCCAGCCATTTTTGTTTCTTTAGTAATTTTTTTTTTCGGTATATGTGAAGAACAACACATGGAAGGGCAAAGAAAAAGAGAAAGAGAAAGAAAAGGGAAAAAAACACACATATAAATGTTATGAGTCAAAAAAGTTTCGAATAACAAAAAGGCAAACAAAATAATTCATATGATGGATAAATCAATGTCATTCTCTGCTATCATCATCATCATCATCATCATCATCATCAACAGTACTCACGATATTTATTGCAGTTTAGTTCCGTTTTCACTATGAATGACACGTCAATGCATTGGTGTACTTTTTTTTTGTTTGCTCTTTGGATTTTGGTTGTTGTTGATTTCTTCTTTTAAATTGTAGATTTTTATTTTGGTAATGATTTGTAATTTTCGTTGTTTTGGCAAATAAATTCCTCCTGGTTTCGTTTGCGTTTTTTTTTTATTTTTTTTTTTTGATTTAAAAAAAATTCTTTTGTTGTTGTTGTGGTTCGACTTAGAAAAAATGATATGTTTACTTGGTCCGTTGGAATAAAGTTGATATTTTTGATTTGGATTTATAATCGTAATTGTTTTGTTTTCATTTAAGATTACTTGGGTGTTGATAGAGAGCACAGTAGGTTAATTGAAAAATGAGTAGAAGTTGTTTTTTATTCTTTTAATTTTGTGTTACGTTTCGAAAACCGAGAACTTAAAAAACAACGAAAAAACAATGAAAATGGTAAAAGGGTTAAAGAAAATAATAACTCAACTGCGTGCAAATGAATCACATTGAATACTGCAGTGTGCTGTGGAATGCAATGCCCCAATACAATGCATGTGTGTTACACTCTAGAACATCTGACTTTTTCCCATATATACATGAAATGTCAAAATGTTGCGCAAAATCGATACAACGTCAAATTGAAAACAAAAAGAGACCCGAAACCCTTCAAGCGTGACCATTTTGAAGGTTTTCGTTCACTCTCTGTCATGCCGTTGTAGAGTTTTCTATAGTTGTTGTTTTTGTATCGAAACAATTTCATGGTGAGTTTCAGGTCGTTCAGCTGTAAGAATGCGAGCAAAATGTGTTTTAAATTACGTTTTCTATGCGGCTGCTGTTGTTTCTATTATTTTCCTGCAATTAAATTATTTGCTTGAAAATCAGAGAGAAAAAACCAGTGCAAAATGAAACACTAACACTGTAATTGGTCTTACAATTTATTTTCGTTTATTCAATTCAGTTTTCAGTTGTTGTTTTTCTTTAACAAATTGTATACAAATGTCGATTGTTGCGTGTGTATTTTTTTTTTTTTTAATAAATAAAGAAAATAAAATTAATAACAATTTTTTTTTAAAATCTGTTTAGAAGTAAGCAACAAAATGACAAAAGAGCGGTTTTTTGTTGTTCAATATTTGCGGTGAACCGACGATTTGAAAACATGAAAAAAGTATTGGAAAGTGTGTTGGGAATAGAGTTTAAATATTCTGTAGATTTGGGAATAGACACCGCAATTTTCAAAAATTCAAATTCAACATTTTGGCTGATAAAATCAATCAAATTTCTATCGCAAACGAATTCTGGTTTTGACATATAAAAAAAGTAGTTGATGAATATTCAAGTAGCGGAGTAGCCGATTCAAGGGTGGGCTGATTCGAGAGTACGCGCGCTCATGGTTTGCAAAAAGGAAGAAAAGGAAATTGGTAATGAATCTACAGTGTGTATATACGTGTGTGCTTTTCTCTCTCTCTCTCTCTCTCTCTCTCTCTCTCTCTATCTCTCTCTCTCTCTTTCTATGATACAATTGCATTTTACGAGTATTTCGGCTTATTTATTGCTTGGCATGTGTTCGTGCATTATTATGAGACAATGAATTTCAGAATAATAATAATAAAAAGAACACACATGGTTCCTTATACACACAAGACACAGATGAAAAAACACGTTTTCATGCCATCTTTTTGTTTGTCTTCGTTCAACCACTTAAAAATTAGAGATTTCCGTTAAACACATTTACATGCTAATAATGTAGGTGTTTTTTTCTTCATTTCTTTCTCATTGGATTATTAAAGAGACCCCAAAACCAGTACTAAAATTATTTTCAATAATTTATTTTCAATAGGTTCCGTGTGCGCGATCGTGTGTTAGCGGTTGCCAATCGGATCGGTTGATGCTATTTATATGCGAATATATTTCCCTTTTTTTTACTACTACGCTCCAGTCAAAAATGCACATGATTTTTGCGGCGAAACCTGGTTTCGAAAGTGTGATGACACAAGAAAAATCGTTTTGTAAAAAAAAAAAAAAATTACGTCTGTTTCGATGTGCTAATACATCGGGAAAAAAAACATTGATTTTTGTGTGTTTGTGTCTATTTACGGCGGTTCTTTTCCTTAACAAAAATTGACCGCTTTCGGACGGAAAGCCGATTATCTAATATATCTAGGTATATATAAAAATATTGTAATCTGAACTTTATTTGCGTTACATTTTGTTTTAGTGTGTGTGTCTTTTCTCGATTACTATAGGTATAAAATGATAAAGAGCTAGTGTGCGTGTGTGTGTGTGTATGAAACGCGCACATCAGCCACGGTATATTTTGTGTGTGTGTGTGGGGGTGTGGAAGGGTGTGTGTGCATTTCAATATTTGACTAATTCATCTACAGATCTTGCATAGCATGCAAAATATTTTCGAGGGCTGTTCGAGCATCGGATGGTGGGAATTTTTTCAGCACATTCATGGCCGCCTGACTATGTTTTCGTTGTAGACTTTGTGTTTTATCAACGCTGGGCCCTTTCACAATTTCACTGTGCAACGCTTTGTAATCGACATGCTCCACGGACACATAACCCTTTTTAATCAGTTCATACGCATTTGGATCGTATTCAAGGTGATAGAGAACTGGTGCTGATACCAAACTAAATGTCGTTCCTTCGGCTAATGTTGGTTGCAAAAATGGTTCCAAATCTAAGCATGCCTGCCATGCCAATACCAAATGTTTACCAAAATGAAAGCCCAGCTTTTGTGTGGTTTCAGGTAGACCGGCCAATTTTAATGCACCTTGACAACTTTTGCCCAACAAACTGCCCGCACTGAGAATGTTTCGTAATGCCCATTCGGTATCTGGATTGCCCATGAAACGTTCCTTTTCCATTGGTTTCAGAACATCGTCGGCCAAATGAATGTCATACTCATCGTGCACATCAGCGGCAAGGCGTCGTGGTGTTTTTGGCGGTGCCGTTGGTAACGGATTATTTTGTTCATCTCGATCGCCTATGAATTCGGCTTCCGTCAAATCTCGCACCGCTGATGATATCAACTCGACCAAATCTTGATTTCTTTATGGTACATGTGAATAAAATGGACCGAAAATTAATTTGTTAATGAAAATGTCGCTCACTTAATTGAAAGAAAACAAAATATGGAAGTGAAATTACCTCAATCCAGCCAGTTCAGCACAAGAATTTCCCAATAGATAGTCACCGCTCAACAATGCAATTTTATTCCCAAACGTCATATCGCTGTGCAACGACATATCCTGTCCGGCCTGTGTAAGTGGTTGCAAATTGACCAAACCTTGATGCACCAAATGTGATATACGAATCATCTCACAGACTTCGGCCAATGCACGCTGTGAATGTAACACACCTGCACTTTTGTCATGCTCCATTTCTGGAATGCCCGGCGCCTGTCCAGCTGCCTTTGATATCAACAGTACGATCAAACCCCATGCTTGCATATTATTCCGTCCATGGTACAATAGATTTCTGTTTCAGTCAAATGGGCGTTTTTAGAATAGAAAAAAAAACGTGTTGATGAAATTGCAAAAAAAAATTCTGTTTATAAGAACCTTCACCCTAATGTTTGAAAGAGAATTAAAAAAAAACTGTACATTTTACATGTCCAACCACCGTCACCAATCGTTTTGTGTGTTTTTTTTTTCAATCGAAATCTACTATGTTCATTTTTTTTGTTTCAGTCAATCTGTCTACCGTTCGACTTGATACGTATTTAAATGAGTTTGTAATTTAGAGTTATTCTAACAATAAATCTGTAGCAATTATTGTGATACAGCATACTTATTCTATAGTTATAGTATAATTGGTAACCGTTTGCGGTGAATATTAAAATATTCACATCACATTTTATGAGAAAACACACCGTAAATATGTTTGATGGTTTTATATACCTATAAATTATAGTACACATAGTAAATATTGATTTACCGACTCGATGGCATGTTATGTTATGATGCTGTAATAATGATTTTTTTTAATACTTGCTTATTTACCGTCACCGTTTATGAATGAAATTGTAAATCTTAATAAGATACTTTGCCTTAAATAAAAGAAAGACCAACGTTTGCGGTCGAAAAAGTTAAAACAATGACCTCAATTTGAAATCATCAAAATGTCCAAAAGAATTGCTTCACCAAAATCCAAGTGAATTGTTAACAAGGTAAATTCCAAAAATGGAGGAAATTGCGCTTATTTCGAGGAATTGTGAGTAAATTTATTTATTTATTGAATACCATGTGCTCCAATATGATTAAGATTTGGATAGATTCCATTGCGAATAACCAACCAACTGCCTGTGAAGTGTGTGAAGTAGACTGTGTAGATCAAATCTACATTTAAAAAAAAATTTGAATTTCAGTTCCAAATTCTTTTGTTAATTCAAATCAACCGAATACCCCAAAGAACCAAATGATTTTGAGCCGGAGAACTGAATATGGGATTTAATAGAAGTGTCCATAAATTTTGTTTTGGGTTATTGGTTGGGAAATTGGCTGCATAACGCCGTTGGAATTGGTTTTTTTCATTTTATTTACCCACCTGTCTCTCTCGGTAATGCTAACAATTTGTGATGCCGCGTTTCTAACATGAGGATCAAGTGCAAATTGGAATAAATAAAAAGGTTTCTTTTTGAATGATGTGGTGACGATATAATTTTGATAAAGAAAAAAAATTTCAATAAAATTTCAAACAAAATAAAAATCATTCGAAATAATTATGGTAAAAAGAAAAATGTAAACTAAGTAATTTTTATGACCTGGAATAATGAAAAAAAAAAAACGAATAAGAATGGATGGATCGAGGGCATACGATTGTGCTATTCGAAAAGAATACACATAAGAGAAATAGAAACGTGAATTTTTGCTAAACTATCTATCTAGCACATGTAGTCACAGACAAAACAAGTGAATGAAAAACACAAAAAAGTGTACATTAACAATTTTTTTTTCCTTCAAAAAAGTGTGCGTTTCCCGTTAAAGTGGCTTTGAATCGATGATGAACGTGATTCAATGAACAAATATCACGGACATACACAAATTTTCGGAATTGTGTCGAAACCGCCGTTCTACCAATCTAAAATTGAAATCTCGTTTTTTGTTTGCCGTTCATTTGTCGAAATGCATACGAATTGATACAATGATGTTTCGCTTTGTTTGAATTGACCTTCTGTGTATGCCACTATACCACTTGTTCAACTAGCGTGCACACTGAAACTACTACATTCTACCTTGCAGACACAGAAAATATTGTTGTGTAATCGTTGCTGTTGCTGTTGGTGTATTTTTTTTTGTAGTATCTTTGCAGATGCTCTAACTAAAAGTGAAATGATGATGATGATGATGATGATCATGATGGCAAGGAACGTGGTTGAAGGCCACGTGCTGTTTCACAAACACATACACGAGGTGGACTTGTTCATTTAACCCAAGAAAAATATGGCAAACATTTAATGATGTATTTTTTTGCTGCTGCTGCTTCTTTGACGACGAATGCGCATAATATCCGGGTGATCAAAATAAACCAGAGCTTACAATGATGAATTGCATGGTTGATCAGTTCCGGAGCCCCATCGTCAACGACAAAGAAGAAAACCATTGTTGATCCAATCGGAGAGCGATTCAATATCAAGCTCTTGATTTGTTTAACGATTCCATTTGCACAAAGATAATTTATATGCCATTCATGATCTGTTATCGCAAAACATAAAGGCAAAATCAGATATGCCGAATTCCGAGCAACGAAAAAAAAAAATTGAGTTCATATTCACACACATACATAGAGTGCGAGAGCGAACTAGTGAGTGTGTAAAGAAAAAAGGTCCGGCATTGTCACTTTCTTTTGCCTGAATCATAAAGAGCATCGCGAAGAAAGGCCATACACTAAATAGACAGATATTTATGGTTGCTAAATCGGTCGCTGTGTGTGTGTGTGTGTGTGCTTTTTTCGGGTTTGGTTGTTGTTTCGAATTATTTCGTTTTTTTTGTGTGTCGTATCTGTTGTTATGTTTATGATTTTCGGTTTTCGCTTGTCAACAAAACCCACAAAATGCCGACATACCACGATTATAGTATATTCATCGATAACACCTCATTTTTTTTCTTCCAAGCTGGCTCGCTCGCTTGCTCACACCATCTGTATGTGTGTTAATCGCTCACATGGAATTCCAAAAGTAAAACTATATTTTTTTGCTGCGGAAAACAGTGCGAGCGATTGTGTGTGTGTGTGTGTGTGTGTGATGATTCTCTTTCATGGTACATGTCATAAAGTTTCCTTGTTTTTGCAATAACAAAAAAATAAATGTAAGACGTTCACAAGCGATTTTAAAATTAACATAATTTTCGCGCGTTTAAGTCGCTCATTTCGCATATTTCATGAGTAGTATATATGTGTGTGCTATTTTTTGTCTTGTTCAGATGGTTGATTGTAATTTTGCCTGATGAGTTACAGTGGCGATGATGACAGCGATAGCCAAAGCAGTACGGCAGTACATTCAAGGCACGTTTGAATCAGCATGCTCATTCATTTGCACATTGTTCCAACACACCGACGATACGCGTTGTCATTGCATGCGAAACAATTGACGAAATTCATAGTTGAGTCTAAAATAATCTTCCACACCCTGGCAAAATGCAATTAACGACGAACCAACCGGATTGCACATACACACACGTCTACGTCATTTGACTCGCCATTGTTGTGCATACTTTGTATGCGCAATACAAACAATACATTCGTCGGCAAACAGACGAGAGAAAAAAGTCATTCTCGTCGGACTAAAGAGGTATTTGCACATTTGGTAATGAGCATGAACGTTTGAACAAACCATAACAGTCTATGCATGGATTTTTGGTTTTTTTTTTTACTTTTATGATTCCTACAGTTTTTGGCAATTGCAAATTATTTCATACCGATAATATTAATTCCCTAATTCCGTGTGCTTTACCTAGATGTTTGCGATTTTTTTTGTTGTTGTTGCGTTCCTTCGCACTTTTTCGCTATCAAAATATTGTATCAAACATTTAAACATTTAAATTGGTGTTGCTGTGTTTGTTTTCCTTCTGCCAAGCATAAATTCAAATAGCTCGCAATGAAAATCGACATTAACACAATCAATACAAATGGTAAACATTGGGCACGGGCGAATGGTTTTTTTTTCTGCTATGTGTCTTTCGTTTGTTCGTTGATTTTTTTGCTCCGTGGACTAATCTACAGGAACAACTAATGATTGAATTCCTATTGTGTTTTTTGTTGTTGTTGTTGTTGTTGTTGCTGGTTGTTGTTGTTCGAATTACGATTCATGCGAGCTGTCGAAGAACGCAAAGGTGGCGCGCGAGCGTGAGCCAGCTTTGCCAGTTCATTTCGTTCGTTCGTTCAAATGCACACAGAGCACATAAAACCGAGCTAACAGAAGTAATAGAAACACAAAAGACAGAGATAGAAAGAGAGAGAGAGAAAAAAAAGCTTACTTGGCCGTTTTGAGTAACGGATGATTACTTCCAACCAATTTCCTTAAATGTAGCGCAACATTGGCTACTTCGTCGCTGAGCAGCCAACGTAAGCTTAGAAATGACGTTGGATAACCGACAATTTTTTCAGCTTCGCTTACGGCACGATCCCAATCGTGTTTTTGCAGAGCTTTTGTGGCTACCTTCTCCAATTTTGATCCGCTTGTCGATGCATATGTGCACTTCTGTTTGAACGATAAAAACCGATCGAAATATGATAAGAAATCAGCGAACAAACTTATATTTCTCTTCTTTTCTTTTCTGTAGTTTTGTTTTTGTTTTTTGTTTTTTTTTTCCTTGAAAGGAGTAAGTTTTTGTTTCGCTTCTAATTGTTTAGTTGTTTTTGTTTTCAGCTGAAGAGTTGATTACCTGATCATTGTGGATTTGTTGTGCCAAACTACTCCTTTGTAACAATGTATGATGATGACGACGATGGTGATGATGACTATGAACAGACACTACATTGCTGCTGGCGGCGACGGTGGCGGCTGGTAATTGATGATTTGATAACGACGACGATGTTTGCAAACAACGCAATCCATTTACGATTGACGTTGCGTTTGTCGAATTTTTTGGCCACAAATATTTTAAACGATAAAACGACATATTTTCGATAACTTTCTTTTTCTTTTGTTATTTATTTGGTTTTTGTTTTTTGCCCCTTTATTTTCTTCTTTCGTTGCGTTTCAAACATAAACACAAGCACACGATATTGATTATTGTAACTTCTTCTATGTGATTTGTAGAAAGAAAAAAATGAAAAACAAACTTTCAGTGTCAACGTTATGGTCGGTGTTGTTGTTGTTTTTTTTTTTCAATCAAATCGAAAACTCACTTTCACACCCACTTTTGAACAGTTCGTCGCTTATTTGTTTATTTCTTTCTCGAACCAATTTCTGTGTGTTTTTTCTTCCTTCTTTCTCTATCTCTCTCTGTGTGTCTTGTCTGCTTTAATTCGATTCAAATCACCAAAATGATGTTTTTTTTTCAGTCTTCTTTTTGTTTTAAATTTAAACCATAGACGTAAATAAGGGAAAAAAAAACTTTAATAAAATCTCTCACTCATATTATTTGAAACACATTTGATTTGATTTTGTTTGATAATTATTTGTTTTTGTTGACGGTAAACAACTTTCGTATCAATTGAGTTTTGTTTTAAAATTGAAAAAAAAAATCTAATTGCATCTATGATTTGGCCTGTCGAACGACGAATCTATCTGTAAATGGAAAACATTGAAAATGAATTTACAGTAGCGAAAAAAAGAGACGGTTTCTTTTTTGTTTCAAACAATAAAATCGTTTCTCTCTGTCCCGCTCTCTATGTGCGAGATCGGTGTGGTGTTAATGTGCAAAACAGACAGAAGAGTAAAAAAAAAGCGATATGTATTTGGTTTTTCTTTCTTTCTTTCTTCATTGAACAGTTTCGATGAACGATCCAACACACACCGAGTCCAAAGGGAACAAAACTTTTTTTTTTATAAATATACTGAAACGCACAGAAACGAAAAAGAAATACGTATTCGAAAGAATGTATGCAATTAACGACCATATAGTATTTCCAAACACACAACTAATCCATTCATTGAACGTAAATACACTGAAGAAACCGCGCATTTTTCGTCTCACTTTTCATTGGGATTTGGATACGTCAAAAGAAAAAAAAAACGAAATGAAAAACACACACACACACACACACCACAGTGAGCGCAGTAAAAGTCGCAGAAGAAACAGCAATGGCAATAATGTCTCTCGCTGAGAGAGCGCACACAAACTGAGTTAAAACACTGCCGTGGTATGTACAAACACGACCAAACGAGAAAACCTAATGGTTAAAAATCAAAAGTAAAAAAAAAATTCCCCGTGTGTACCTGCTACGTGTACGTATTGATTGGTTGCATTTAAACTGAAGAGAAAAAATTCATATCGGTCTCATGCACCGCACTTACACACATAATCATACTCACACTCAACACTCATACAACTCACACTCGCAAGTAAGTAGCAGTTCACTTTAGGCCATAGAGATTTTAACTCGATGAAAACGCTTTTTTCTTCTTTCAAATGATGAAGTTAAGTTAAAATCATGCGATTTTGGACGAGTTATTTCTTCTTTTCCACACCAAAAACAAAAATGCTGCTTATCAATAAAGAGACAAAAGCACACACACCGTTTGTTCACACGATTTTCCTCTCTCAATTCAAATGGCCTAAGAAAATTAAAAAAAAAAGAAATTACGATCGCAAAAAGCAAAAAAAAAACTCAACCAAAACTACGAGCTTCAAAACTTTGGAAATGGCAACTGAGCTCACAAAACGGCAATGATATAGAAATTGAGTGTTAACAATTCGTTCACCACTACGTCGATCACCGAGCAACGAGTCGTGTGTACGGTGAATATGGCCATCGATGTCTTTTCACAGTTAGTATGTGATCGTGCGGCAGTGCATGTATGCTACTTTGGAAACAAACAAACGGTACGAATGGCGAAGACGGAGCGAGCGAGTGAGCAAGAGAAAGAAAGGGAAAAAATGCCGAGCCAAAATCTTAGGCGAAGTAAGCAAGCATACAGAGCACACCGTGTTTCTGGGATTGGTTTGTGTGCTTTCGACAGATAGCTGTATGATGTGTGAGAGTAAGAAACAATCGAAACAGAGGCAGCAACAGCAGAAGAAGAAGAAGAAGAAGAATACGCGATTCACGCGATCTAAAGCGGAATGAGTAAATACCAATCATTTTGGGTACGATAAGTGGCACACACCGATACCAAAATCATCACAGTCATTTCACAGTCAGGTGGCAAAAATGAATGCGCACTCCATACGCACTCACTGGCTGGCTGGTTGACTGAATCGAATGGGTCGGAGCGTAGCGAGTAAGCGAGCTAGCGAGCGAATTAGCGGGAGCTACAGCGATTTTTGTGTGTATTTATGGGACCCGTGCCCGAGCGAAATGTAAATGACGAAAACAACACACTTTGCTAGACATTATGCTTTGTAAACGCATACACACGACGGCCAGAAAAAGAGAAAAGTGAAGAGAAAGACGCACGAAGCACATAGCCGCACGGTCGAAACGAAGAAGTGCGCACGAGGAGGTGTGAGAGAGAGAGAAAAGAAGGCAAAGAAATGCCATTAATGAAAATTTATTTTTAAAAAAAAAGAGAAATTTATTTACATATATATTGGATTGGATTGAATTGAATTGGATAGACACTCATAAAGCGAACGACTGACTGACTCGAGACTACAACACAACCACACACACACACACAAACACACACACACAATGTGTGTGTGTTCCATACGCACGGGTCCGCAATAACACATGATAGAAATCAGACATTTACCTACTTTGTGGAAGAAATACAACACTTTTCACTGTTCATTCCATTTTAACTTTTGTTGTTGCTTCTCTCTCGATCCGATTTGTTATTAGGTCGGTTGGTTCGGTGCGCTGATGGCAGGCTCGTTATATTCGGGTTTTGATTTTAAATGCTTCATTTCCCTACGTTCCGTTCGCCTTTTACCCATTTTGAATGTGTCTCACATTCTTTCTCTCTGTGTCTCTTGTAATAGTTTGCACGCACACACACATCCAAAACAATGCACCACACGTGTGCATAAATTGTCGACATTCAAGAATTGAAGGTAGTCATCCGATGGAAATATAAGTGGAATGCAAAAAATGATCATATTCATTGATTTCCAAATGGCCCAATCAACGAAATGCTAATCGATGTGCAAATTGAGTGGGCCACCGCATAGACTGTGTCACACAGGCAACGATTTTCAGGTTTTTTTTTTTCGTACGATGGTATTTACATCATCAGGAGCCCTACTGGCTGCTGCTGATTTAATCATGAAATCCGAAAGCCCCATTACACAATCGACAGCTACATTCGATTACCCATTCAATAGAAATGATCACGTGCTCGCTCGCTCGCTCGCTTCGACGGAATAAAAACTCGTTTGTAATCGGCACCAATCAATCACAATCCACCCAATTGAATTGAATCGATGTTCGAGCCTTCGCTTCCTTTCAACATGACAACAATATCAGTAGCAACAAACATTTTACCATTTTCTAAATCCACGGCTCCACATTGAATGCAATGCTTTTGGCTGAGGATTGAGATATTTTATTTGTGACATTCTGTTTACTTTTCGCACTCTACTACGAAATGTTCAATCACTGTCTTCTTTTTTCTAGAACAACTGTTGTCCCATTCAATTACGTTTCGGCAAACGAGATAAAATGAATGTGTAACACAATAGTAAAAGTCAATTCAGCATTATCTCTCATAATACACTATGATTTTTCTTTAAAACGTTTGACGAACAATAATCTATCAATACGAGAATGAATTGGTCGCTGTTTAACCTTGTTTTGAAATTGAAATTTGCTATTGTTGTTGTTACACGAAAGCGAGAGAGACGTTTTGACGTTTGGCTCGCGCGCACATGCTATATATGATGATAAGCAGCAAATGTCATGCACACCGAATCTCTCAAGTCATATGAGGCGCTACATGTACTTAGTCATCTATGTACTTAGCCTTAAATACATACACTTGTGATGAGCAAACATATTCAGCGTGCGCGGCACAAAGAAGTGCGAAAACAATGAACAACGAACTTTTTTTTATTCTTCTTTAAATTGGGTATTTTATTTTAAATTCATAATTAGGATCGCGTACAGGAATATTACAATTCTGCAGTTTTTTTTTACACACATTTACGTTTAATTTATTGTGTTCATTTCATTTCAAATGGATTTTTGTTTTTTTCGGTGTTATTTTTCGGCTGTTTTTTTGACACCTTCTCTCTGAATGAGAAGTTAACTCACAACATTGTTTTCTCTTTTGTTGACAAATTTTGTTTTATCTACATACATTTTGATTCAATTCGTTCCATTTCTATGTTTCTATGTCACGTCATCTTCTTGTAGATTTATGTAGAAATTGCGTTTTTTGAAAATTATTCAAAATTCGATTTTTATAAATTTATTTAGTTGATTTTTTTTTCTTCTATTTCTTATTTCTCAATTTTTTCTATTTTGTTTCATTGCGGAATATGCGTACATTGAATGGGTTCAAAATGTCTAAATATTTGCACCTTGGTTTGTTAGTTGCATGTTCATGGAAAAATTACAAAAATTAAAGTAATACGTGTAAAAAGGTGCATTTAGTTGTTGTTTTGCTGTTTTTTTTGTGTCTTTGGCTTTTTATTTTATGCGTATTAAAATGTTCAACCCATTTATTTTTTGTTGCTCTTGCCGATCAAATCCGAAGTAGTGCACTTCGGTTGACGTATTCACAATTTTTTTTTTTTAATTTTATTAGAGGGATAAATTAGAATGAACGTAGGCTTTGTTAAGCTTTGTTTTTTGTTTCTAAAAAAATGCAATTTTTACTATATAAATGAGCAGGTTGCTGTCTAAATGCTCCTGAGCTAGGAAATTTCTTCTCTCATAAATTCATTACGTTTCGTTGTATTCGGTTTTTTTTTGGTTTAACTATAGTAATGCTGATGACATTCTTCGATTCTTCTAAGAAAAGCTCTATAAATTTCAATGTTTTCTTTTTGTTTTGCTACAGTCAAATTTGTTTGCCATTGATCGTCGTATTGAATATGTATCATTTGATTTGATATTTTGTTTTTGTTTTAAGATCACATTTATGAAATACTACCAACAAATGACACGAATATCTGTTAACCCTCAACTGCATGAATTTTCCCCAGGACTGGGAGTACTGGTATTTGGTTGATTTTTGGCCATAGATAACGAAAAAAATATTCATAATCCTAGATTTCCCATGGTTTAGTCAGGAAATGCGATAGAAATAAGTCAGAGAACAATGAAATCCATTGTTTAAAAGTGTCAAAAATATGTCTAATTTGGAAACCGAATAATTTATTTTGTCAAATTTTCGTTTTCGTGCACATTTTTGTTTATAACTCACCAATCGTACGACATAGACAAATGACGCCAAAGACAAAAATAAAGAAAAAACATTGACAAATAAAAATTCCCCTTGAAGCAATGTCATCCGCCGTACGATTCACATTATACAGGTGTTTAAATGATGCCCACCAAAAGGCGGGCTTATGCAGTTGAGGGTTAACAGGTGTTGATTTCAACTGTTTGGTCGTCAATATGTGATGTTTTTCGTTGATGAATATGCTTCAAGTGAATGTGTTGATTGTTTGAAATTATGGATCAACAATTGTGCAATCGATGAACGAATGTTTTCATTGAACGCTTTTGAATTTCAAATGGGTTTATTTGGACCGAAAAACGTTCACATTGCCCACAAACCGACTTAGAGTCGAAAACTTTGACCGTAAAAAATTTGTTTTTTTTTTCTTCACATTAACAAAAATTGAAAATACATGGCAAAAAAGAAATATCAACCGTAATTGTCATGAATTCATCACCTTATATACCATTCCCTGTTTGGGAATTTGGTGTGATTTTTGTGCCAGGGCTATTATTACTTCTTTTTTTTCCAAATTCATTGGTTTTGCATCTTCTTCAGCATTTTCTCTAGATAAAATTGCATTAAATTTATATACATTGGATTCGATGTGCGGAACTAGTTGTGAAACTATTGGATTTGGACTGCATTCTCAAGCTTGCAAATATATATAAATGTAAAGGCCTCTTTCAAGCCAGGAAAATGAGTGACGAGAATCCTAATAAAAAAACAAACAAACACTTGATAATTTGTTGTTGTTGTTTTTTCTTTCTTCTTTTGGTTTAAGTTCTGTGCTTTTTTTTTAAATTTAGTTTTCTATTCATCTTAACATTGTTCTCTCTTTAAAAAATGAAACACCATCGTCACTAAAGCTCGCTAAAATGAATACCATTTAATGTAATGTAATCTGAATTTCCTGTGAACTAACTTGTTATTTGTTGTTTTTTCTTTAAATATATCACACACATAGAGACCGACAACGAGACAGAGATTAGATTTACAGAGATTGATTTTGTTTTTATTTTAGAGAGTCATTCTCTCTACGTACATATAAGAAGCAGTTTAAATGTGTTTTTTTTTTATTCATTGTTATTATTATTAGTATTAATTTCATTTTAATGTTTTGACATTTCATTTTTGACATCCAACTATCACAGCCCCACAAACTGTTTAGGTTTTAGGTTCAGTAATGCAAATATAGATTTGATGTGTCTGTCTCAAAAAGATGCACTTAGTGCTAAGTTTGTCTACGAAACGAAAAATAATAAAATGACAAAGAAAAACCAAAACAAAAATCCGAATTAGCATTGAATATTTCTATCAATTTACCTACTAGAAAAAGGTGTTGCTTCAACCTGTTATGACCTGATGACGATCGGAATTGTTAATGTGTTTCTTTTGTCACTGACACAATATTTTGCATTGTTTTTCTTTCTGTTTGCCCCTAATTAACACTGAATTAAGTCTCTTGCACACTTCTATCTGCATATGATGGAGAATTACAACGAACGAAAATGCGCGTTCAGAGCGAAACGAAGAAAGAGGTAAACGAAACTCCATATTTGAAAATGATCATATTTAAATGGTTCAATTTAGATGGAATATTGAGAAAGAAAGAGAAAGAAAGAGGGAAAAAACAAAGAAGGAAAAAAGAAAAAAGAAATGATGACTCATTTATTTTGTCTTACTTTCGCATAATGAATTCTTCGTTTCCATATAATTTTACTGATTAAATACATATTTATTAATTTTTCTTTTTGTTTTGTTTTCATGTTAAAAAAAGGCTCGGTTTTTTTGTGTATTACAAATAGTTCATATCATTTAAAATGCCATATGACGGATACGGTGCATCCATACGGGTTTTGAATGAACACTTTTCAACAATGTTCATTCGCTGTGTTTGCGCCACATCATTTTTTTGTCTGTTTTTCATGATCCGTTTTTTTTTCTCTCTCACGCAAAACAATTCAAATATACAGATTCCAATGTGTATGTGTTTTAATTTCGGTTTTATTTCTCTGTTGCATTCGAATGGAAGTAAAAACATTCGAACAAAGCCTGAAACTATTATCCTATACAAAATGCTAGAATCTTCTTTTTTCTTTTAAATAACACTTTTTTATCTTCATTCACAGGAGTTTCCATTATTTTTTTAAACTTTTTTAAATTATTTTTTTTTTTTTGATGATACAACTTTCTGATTCAGAAATTACCACAATTTAAGTCTAAATAAGTTGATAATTTCAACAAATTGTGAACCATTGAAACTGAAAATGTCGTCGTTATCGTAAATTCATTTTATTTGCCAAGAAAAAATCTCAAACAATTTGCACAAACCATTAAAAAAAAATCGAATAAAAATTGTAACAAATATCTCATATCTTGTGTGTGTATGAATTGAAAATATTTTGAATTGAAATATACAGAAAAAAAGGAGTATTCCCCAACAAAAAAAAACGGATATGTTGGACGTGTTTGTGTCAAAAGTGATTTCGATTTAACGCGATTTGTAGCGGTTTAAGTAAATCATGTAATAAAAAAATGTTTCAACAGCCTATGTATAAAAAATATGCAAAAAAAAAATACCAACAAATTTGAATTTTGCTTCGTCACCGCTGACGCTGTGGTCACAAATTGGTGCGCGGCTTTGATTGTGAGGAGGATAAAGGTGGTATTGTTGTTCTATTCTTCAATTTTTGTTTTCTAATTTCATTTCCGTTTTTATTGATTTTTGATTATATTCTTCATCTTTTGCTGGATGACTATTTGAGTTGAGCACAATGGCTCTTGCATTAACCAGTATGAAAAAAGTACATAGTTTACATTTGAGCTTATACACGCATGAGAGAAAAACTTTGTGTATCTGAGAGTGATGGGGAATGGGGTAGAATAGTTGAATTAATTCTGACGAAGGGCGATGGGGCGGTCAGGTAGGTGAATGTGCTATAATAAGTAGTTGGTAAAAAAATACCTAACATAATTCATTAAATCTTGTTCACAAAAAGTCTATGTACAAAATATTTGTTGGGTGTCTTTTTTTTTATTGTTGCCATTGTTATTAGTTAATTCTCGTTTTGTTTCCTCATCTGATATGAACATATCACAAATCATATTGTAGCTTCATGTTCGTGTATGTTTTTATTTTTCATTTCTATCTTAGTTCATCTCATGATTTTTATTCCATTTGTTTTTTCTGTATGTCAATTAATGGTGTAGTTGTTTGTTTATTGTGGGATGAAGTGTTGTCTAAAATGCTATGGAATTTTTGTTTTTCTTGGTGGCATTTGATTCGACCGTTTGTTCGAATTGACAATTGTTTGTTTTCTCTTCCCTTCTTCATCATCATCATCATCATCATCATCATCATCAAAAAGAGGTTCAATCAAAGGGATATTGCAACTTTTTTGACCAGAAAAAACGCCATCTTACGTCGTGCCCGTAAATTATTTTACTGTACATTTCGATGGTAGAGCTTGAACAAAAGTTCAACACTATGCATAAACTTGGAAAGAGCTTGATAAACTTGATGAAATACATATATTTTATGGTAGTTGCAATACCCCTATGGGTTCAATGGAAATAAATTGGTGCTTGGGATATATTAATTTCAAGGGAAAAGGACTCCGCAAATTGGCATAGAAATCTCTTTTTGTATAAAGTATTTTTTTTTATTGGCGCTTTGCGTGTGCTAATCGCTTTTCGCAGCTTACACTTTTCATATAATTTTTTTTCCATTTCTTTACAATACACAGGTGTATTTATTTACAAAAAAATTCATTCATTCCAATTGAAATGTGCACACACACACACACACACATGTACATGTTGATGTCACATATTTCACTCCCTTCCCATGTGTGTTGGTTGGTTGTTTCATTTTTTTTTTGTTTCGTTCATCTATTAAATAAATTCTAACAATTTAATTCACTAAAATTAAGTCTGACCCTAATTGTGTATGCGTTTCATTTTGTGTCTGTTGTCAAATTAATTCAAATTACATTTTTTTTATTTGTTGTTATTCATCAATAAAAACGATTACAATACTTTTTGTATGTGTTTTTTTTTCTCTCACGTGATTTCGTGTTGAAGTGGTTGTGATTCTAGTTTTTATATCATCTTTTGGTCGTTTTTGCTTTTTCTACCGGGTAGTGTTTTTTTTTTGAGCGTATAAAAAAAGAGTCCGAAAAATTACAATATGTGTGTATTACAACAACTTCAACACACTAATTTTGGTCATTGAATTTACTCTCGAGTCGAGATTTGATTTTTTTTCTCATTTTTTTTTTCTTTCTTTCATTCTCACTACGTATCTTCATGATTTCGGGTTTATTTTTGTCCCTTCTAATTTTGTTGTTGCTGGGTGCTGTCTTCTTCAATCAAGTGGTTTAAATCTTACAAAAGATAACAAATCAGCTGCCGTAACTTTATGTATGACAAATAAAAGGCTTATCATATGCAGTATCTTTTATACATCGCTAATTATATCGGTTGATTGTTCTGTGGGTGACGACGAATCTGACGATGATGTTAGGTTGGCATCTGAGTCTGATACATTTAAATCATTGATCACCGTTGAATTTTCATTGTTTTCATTGGAAGTATGAACATTTTTATTATCGATGGTCTCCTTGGAATTCCTGCAATTGTTTTGATAATTGTACACCAATGATGACATCCCGAGAACAATCAAATGCAGAGAAATCATTCACATTAATTTGATTCGTCCAATTCAACAGGCGAAGGAAGCAGAATGAAGTAGAAAAAAGAACAAAGTTTACTTACGATTCATCGGTGAATGGCCCATTGTTAAGATCTGCTTCGACCGGTGTTGTTTTTTCGATTTCAGGTGATGAAACCGCATTTGTGCCATCGTCTGGTTTCGTTTCATTGTCATTCTCATTGGCGTCAAGGCCACCAATGCTTACATTTTCCTTTTCCTGCAGTTCGGCATTATCGATTTGTTCACTCGGCGACATTGCTGTGTAGCTGATCGTGTTGGCATTTTGTAAAGATGCATTTGTCTCGTCTGAAAATGTGAAATGCGCCCATATTTAAATGTGCCTTGTTGAGTCGATTTTTCAACCATATTACATTTAATTCACAGTCAAAGAACCGCAAATATTGCAATCAGTGCAATCACACTTGTCGAATCTGATGCCAAATCACAAAGTGTGGCGCCTATTTGACGACAAAATAGCCTTACCCGTCATTTTTTCCGCATTCAACACATCTGTGATTTGAACCGCATCGATATCACTGACGACCGAAGCCCATCGTTTGATATCCTTGGTGTTCTGTGCTCGAACTGGTGACGAGTCTAAAATAAAATCGATTGAATGTTAGAAAAAAAAAGTTCCGAATTTCTCTCTGTTACACTTCAGTAACATACCTGCTGACGCTGAATTTGTATCGCTGTCTTTGTTCCATAAGAACTTGTTGCCGGGCAAACTGTTGGCCGACGACGATGGCGATGACGACGATTCCTCATTTCGATTGCTGTGGTTTTGTTCAAGTGGCGGAAATGCATTGTTGTCGCTTAGCTGAAAATCGCTGAAATGCGAATCGAAATCGGCCCAATCGGTCTCATTTTTTGGTAATAGCGAATCACTCAAATTGCTACTGCTGGGAAATGTTTGGCTACTATTGCCAAATATATTATTGTCACTGATATCGTCACGAAACTCATTCATCAGTTCATCGAAATTGTACTTGATGTCCGAGTCTCGTATATCAAATGTGCTGAGATTTCGCATGCTGCATGTGGCCTCAAACAGACGCGATGCCGTATCATTGATATCATCGACAATATTATGCGAATTTGATTCAATGTCATTATAGTAATCGCCGGTAAAACTTTCATCTTGAAAATCTTTCGATGTGCTCGCATCGTACGAATCACTTTGATTCGGATCAATGCCGCCCAAATAGGATTTTTGCTGCTTGAGCGCCGACACCAAATAACCATTTGTCGGATCGGTCACTAATTTCCAATACGCGAGTTCGTCTTCAGTTAAATTTGATTCAACTAAGGCACGAAATTGGTGCGACACCAATACTAATAAATTTAATGAATCAAACATATAAATTAGGTGGCCCATGTAACCAAGCCGACGGCCATTCCCTTTTGATCTGAAAAACAAACATTTAGATGATAACATTGCATTCTTTGTGTGTGACTTTGAGATTGAAATGAATCATTTGTTCACGATTACTCACTGTGATTCATCGTTGTGCTTCCAGCAATCGATTAACTTAGATGCAACGTTACACTTTACTAAAATCTGAAAACGAGTTAATTGACAGAATGAGAGAGGGAGGAGTATGAAAATCACCATTTAATGTATCCCAATTCAAAAAATATATGCATGAACACTTTTGAATTCCTATCAATTTCGAAACTCTTTCGAATTTTTCATTTTGACTAAAAGTCAGTGGACTAAATAAAATTTCAAATTCGAAATAATTTTATATCTCGAATTTATTTTGAATTCAAAATAATGAAGACCGAAAAAAGGGGAAAAGACGTCGCTGTGTTGAATACTTACATGAGTTTGTAAGGCAGAAGGTGTGCACGTGTTATCATCACTATGCACAAATGCACTAAATGCGTACGAAAAACATTTCTTTACTTGACTATGCAAAATATTGTTCCAACAGTATTGCTTAAAAAGGTCGAGCAAAACATTAAAAAAGTCCGTTTCGCAAATTCTGCAAATGGATAGAGACAATAGCCATCAGAACAATTAATTGAAAGTAAAAGATAAAGAGCATGAATAGAGAGTGTGTTTTGGTAGTCTTACGCGTCGATAATATCTTGATTTCCCGTTTCAATTAATACTGATAACAATGTACAAATGTGCAACCTTGTGCTGCCGAATGGCGGTGACAACAGTGTTGCTGTATTCTTGATCTCAGTTTTCTGCAAATGAAAATACAAGCAACATTTAGTTTATGAAGTGGGTCCGATTTATTTGTGTTCTATTTCCGGTAGGCTACTTACTGGTGGTGGGTTCACAAGTAGTTCATGTAGCTCTTTGACACGTGGCTTAATCTGTTGCACAATGTTGGCGATAATCTTTTTGTGATGTTCTTTTTCCGCATCGGCCAAATATTGTAAAGCTGTGTCCGATGCTGGTTCATTGCTGCAAAATGATAATGGACAAGCATTTTAGCATTGGATTTTGAATATTTCGATTCAATTTCTCTTTGAAAAAAAAAAAACATTTGAAAACAGATTTTCCTTAAATTCTTTACAAAATTTGGATGGCGGTCATAATGCTCCGGACGGACAGGGAGCGTTATGACTGCCACTCCAGAATTTTATCACATTTTTTATCATCAAATTTGACCGAAAAATTCAACAACAACAAAATATGATGACGCAAATGTTCTCTTTGATATGAGATTGCTTTTCCTTAGAATAGAGTTTTTTTTGTTGAAGAAAGAGTCTCACTCGAAAACAAAAGATGCAAAAACCGAATAATCGGTGTACTTACATTATTGGATTTTCCAATAATTTCAGAATGATGGTGATGCCGGAAACAACGGCACTTTCAGTTTTGTTCGATAAAATTAAGTCTAGCAGTAAATCCGTGGTCGATTCATCTTCCAGTATATGTATGAGTGGATCATTTGAATCTGTGGCACTGTCAACATAACCATAACCGCGTTTCTGTATCTCATTTTGTCGTGCACTTCGTCCGGTTGCGATCAGTTCACACAATAAATTGGCAATATTTTGATGTTTGTCCGCATCGGCTTCGTTACCAAGCATCCCAATCAAATTGCATACCAATTGCTGTTCGCTGAGCCATTGAAATAAAGAATTACGGAGTTCGTCGCCTTCGATCGAGGTGATTATTTGATACAATAAATCGACAACAACTGGCGCACTCATATGCTTATAAATTGTGTTCAAGAAGCCCGGACGTGATTTAATGAATTCAAGCATTTGAAGACAAACACATTGGTATGAAAACCAATCCTGGTCCGATTTCTTTGATAACAGCATACCGAATGTTTTACTGCAGAATGATGTGAGCAGTGGATTTAATGGTGGATCGCGTTCCAAAAAGGCATATAGTTTTTCCAATGTCGAACGACTGCTGACGAGCCGTTCAATCAAAACTGGCACTTCGCTGGTTAGAATTTCGCATGCAATGTTCGAATACTTGAAGCGTACATTGTCAGCAACATCAGCCGGTGGCTCTGTTGTAATCATTGACACCAATTCATCTATGATTTCGGCTCGATGCAAACTAAATCAAAACGTCAGAACGAAAAAAGAAGAAAGCACGTCAATAAAACGACAACAAAGAAAGTGGACACTGGCCAACTTACTATTGGGTTAAATTTTTGTTCTGATCTTTGTAATCCTGCAGAATGTCCTCATCGTCTAAAAGCTCTCTGAGCGTTATGTCCTGTCAAAATGAAATGAACATACGGTTTTGTTTAGCAAAGGCAGTGTTTCAGGGAAAGCAGGCTCATTCAATTGTTTACCTCTTTGTTTAGTAAAGTGTCAATGCTTTTTGAATATGAATTCACTTCCCAAAACATGTTTGTGATACGATTATAATTCGTTCTAACAACAATTTACTGGAAGAAAAAAAATATGGGAGAGACAAAGGAAATGATACATTTATATTGGAAGTGTAATGTTCTGGCACAATTATGCGCTCATTCAACATGGTAATACTGATAATCGATATGACATGACAATGACAGAGACTAAAAAAAAACACATGAAGAAAACAAAAATCAACATTTCAACCAAATTCACTCACCCATTTGAAAAATCACAGTAAAATCATTAGCAAATAATTTACTACTTAATTATAAACTTGAAGACCGAATTTAATACCACAATATTTCCGTGTTTTTATTTTGTGTACGTGTATGTGTTGTTTTGTTTGACGTTGTGTTATTTATTGATGCAATCTGTAATCGAAACCGGGGGCGAGCCCAAAATTTGAAGAAAAAAAAAGAAAATTAGAATCGAGAAAATGATTATGTTAAATGGTGTAAATGGGCTTTGTCGTTGCAATTAATTGTCGGTAGATAATGTGTTGTCGCGTTATTATTATGCACACTCCAAATGGAAGAGTAATATGAGTAAAATGATGACTTGGTGCTGAAACAATTTCGGGAATGAACAAAAATTACAACATTTCACGCAAAACAAAAGTGTTGAATATATGCTTTCTTCGCGCGTGATAAACAATACACACTCAAATCGTTGAAATTGTTTTGTGTTTTATTCATTTACAAACTGTGATTCCAACAGCAGTTTGAATTGGTTTTTTTTTTCTCAAAAAATCGCACACACTCAAGAACAGTGAAGAGGAAAATAAAAACGGAGGCAAGTTTTCGTGTTTTTTTTTTCGTTCACTTTGGCGATGAATCGTTCCACATGTTTTATTGTGTGGAAATTTAATCGTAATAATGAATTTGTGTGTTGTTTCTCTTCGACTATTTCGATTCGGTTTTGATGTTGCTTTCGGCAATCGGCCGAATCTCTCACTCTAGTCTTTTACACATGGTTTCTTATGTGTTGCGTGCTCCAGTATTTTTCGTTGTTGCTGTGTTTTTCGTTCATTCAATTCGTCAGCCAAGAGCACACACTCTCTCGCAACTCAGCGGCAGCAGCAGCAGCAGCAGCAGCAGCAGCAATAGCAAACAAATGAGCAACAAGAGAAATATGTATACATCAAATTTGACGTGTGGAAAAAATGACCGAAAGATTCTACTGAACTGTTACTTATTTTCCCTCTTTCTTCGGTCGCTTTTATTATTCACTCGATTACTCTCTCTCTCTCTCTCTCTCTCGCTCTCGCTCGCTCGCTCTCCGGTTCTGGTTGTGGATGATGAGAGAGCAGAAGCAAAACGAGTATTTGCGCGCTGTTAGACGCGGCGCGATGAATGTGTATATTTTATCGGGGGGTCGAATGTATGCATGCACAGCGATGTGCTGTGAGTGTTTGTTTGTGTATATTGCACATGATATTTCAAAGTTGAATGCACAAATTCATAACAATTTTTACAACAAGTGCATGCATTCCCTTTCACAATGCCGTGATACAAGCAATTTTCTCACACATTGCACGGCATTCAATATTGTTGTTGGATTTTTAATGTTTCTTTCTCTTCTCTCTCTCTCTCTCTCTCTCTCTATCTCGATAGTTTGTTTTTGTTCTACTACTTTTTTTCTGTGTATGTTTGAAAGTCTTGCACTTTGTGTAGCCGACCGACATCTGCACTGGCTCTGGTTATTTCTAATATATACATCGTTGTTGTTTTTTTTTCTTCTTTCGTTCATCCTGCTATCAGTGATAACGAGCAAAAAAATGGCAACAGAACCATGCTCCAATTTTTTTGTCTATTTCTTTCTCATTTCATTCTTTGTCTATTTTCAGTTTCCAAAAGCGTACTTTCGAATGGCTAATTCTGATTTTCGGTTTGGTCCGAAATGCCTACACCGAGAGAAAGGGAGAGAGCGAGAGAGAGAGAGAGAGAGAGAGAGAGAAAGATCTTCTTCTTGGTCTCGAAGAATGAAATTTTTTGTAAATAATTGTTGTAATGAACTACACTCAATTGATCCAATGAACGAAAAAAAATGTAACGACGAAAAATATTTATGAACGAATTCACTGAACGCTGGCTATTTTTAACACCTCTCTTTTTTATTATTATCATCAAAATGACAAAAAATGTGTTCGAAATTGACGAGCTGAAGTTTTTTTTCGCTCCCGTATGGATGTATGAGTGTGAGAGAGTGTATGTCGTGTGCTGCTGCTGCTGCTGTTGATCTCAAAAGCGACAAAGAAAAGTCGACTGAACTTTTTGCACGTCTACTTTGGTCGGTTTCAGTGAAATGTTTTTTTTTTCTCCTCATATTCCAAAATGACGATGAAAATGTTTCACATGCACCATCCATCCAATCACTCATTTTATAATTTGTAATTTACTTTGATTGACACTACAACACATATCACCCGAAATAAATGCAAAATTTTTTGGTTAACAACTATTTACGATTTTTACTTATTCGCATAATGGCGCTGTACAATGTATAATTGAAATGTTCTCACATTCGTATATGAAAAACAAGCAGCGCGACCGTTCCACAGATTATAAGCAAAAACTTCAGTCAGAGAGGACACAAAAAAAATGATGGGCAACACACGCTGTAGAGAATGGTTTGTCTAAAGTACAAATGACAATGTGTACTAAATTCCATCATGTGTACTTGGAAATTCGGCGATTCAAAGATTCGATAGCCATTTCTTTGCATTTGTTTTGTCGGAAAAAGTGATTTTCATGCAATTTAAATGGATGTTCAAATCATTTGCATTAGATTCAGCCCAAAATTACAATAAAATAATTCCATTTCAGTTTTGTAATCGAAATCAAATTGTATGCATTCACCCGCCGAAAATTCAAAACAGCAAATGTCATTTTATTTGCACACCAACCAGCTAGCTTAGTACTTCATTGTGTTTTGATTTGACATTTAGAAATTGCGTACTGTTTCATACACAACCAAGTACTAACGCTTAAGTATACGCTTAGAATTCGGCTCGTGTAGAATCCCAATGGTGTTTCGATTGTGAAATTTTGTCTATTTTCCACTGGAAAACCCATTTTGGACGCAAAAAAACGATTTCACAACAAATCAAAATTCAGTGAAATTTCAATGCATATCAAGACATTTCAAAATACACGCTCAAACCTTGTAGTCATAGATACTTGTGCAAATCTAATAAGGAGAATTGCAATAAAAACGTGTGTAAACGGCATTTATATATAAAAAAATTGGAAATCTCAAGAAAGACGAAACGTTTTACATATACAATTTGGCTTGATTTTCACGCGATTATTTATCATCGAATCGGACAGAATTGATTGTGTGTTCCCCCATTATCAAAAGTTGTGTGTTATCGTTTGTTTAATTATTTTTATTCTATTTTTCTGTGTATGAAGTAGCCGAGTTTGACTGATTGAAATAGAAAAGACAGAGGACGGATTTGCTGTTGTATTGAATTATTCGGGAGGCTATTTGACGACACATAAAAAGTGTGGTTAGGTTCACTGTTGTGTCAAAACCTCGCATTTCATCAAGTGTATGCAATATCTAACCTGGTATATTATTTTGATTTTGTGCGTATAACTGGATGTACGTTCGTATGATTTGCCATCGATTCGTGTGTGTTTAGTAAGGATTTAGTGGCAATAAATGCAAGCATTTTGCTCGTAAAATCGTTTAAATCCAAAAAATTTGGACTAAAAATGGCTGCAACCGTTGATGAAGAGGCTGTTTTGCAAGGACGCGATTTGCAATCCATATTTCAGCTATGGGAACGAAAGCACTCACAACCTGGCTTCGATCCCGAAATCATTTTGACCAGGTAAATTGACTTGCCTTGATATAACATTGCCGGGAAAATTTGTGTAATATTTCGGCAAGGTCAAGCACAAATGCCTTCACATGACCGATTGTATTTATTGACATTTTTTGCTGTTGTTGTGTTGGTTTGTTTGTTTCAGATTATCAGAAATCTTCGAAGAAGAAACCGAAATTTACATGAATAAAGATCCAGATCCGTTTGATGAGCGACATCCATCGCGAACCGATCCTGAATGTGAGCTGGGTCGCATGTTAAAATTGCTCTTTCGCAAAGATCACTTTATGACACGCTTAGTCAACGATTATTTACGTGATAATTATTTTACGCGCCAAAGTATCCAGAAAAGTTCACAATCGCTCAACATTGCTGCCTGTCGATTGATTCTACTGATTATGCCGGGTTTAGAAACATCGGCTGTATTTCAGGTAATTTCGCATCAATTCATTCATCATTTCGTTTCGATTTTGAATTTTTCCATAATTCCAACGTTAAAAAACAACCCCGTTCAACTGATTCTAGTGTGAATTTTATTTCCGTGTTCAGGCTGAAAATGACAATTTGATTCAGCGTCTGTACAATTGGGCGGAGGAGAGTGCTGAACCGTTGAGAAGCTATGCAACAGGTCTTTTGGGTGCTGCGATGGAGGTTCAAGATATTGCCATCGGGTTTCGTGAGAATAATACACGTTTGGTGCCGATCGCATTGAAACGATTGCATACACTGCAAGCCGAAGATCGTAGTGCAAAACAGGCGGAAATTTTGGCCAATGGTCAAGCGGATGGTGCGTGTTCACATCGAATGAATTCACGCAAAAGCTCAACAAATGTCGTCGTCGTTCACGGTGAAAACAGTGATGACAGTAATGCAACGCCAACCAATTCAAGCGATTTGAATCGTCCATTCGCACGGTTTGGTAGTGGTTCAGCGCCATGCGGCTCAGTTCCAAGTAGTCCAGAGACACGTAGTCCCAAACACAATGGTTCATACACCAAATTTCGTAACACAATCAATGTGGCATCATTGTTTGAAAATAGCCAACAGAGTTGTGACTATAAATATAATGTACGGTATTCAATACCAATTCATCCGGCCACATCGGAAACCTATCAAATGTTGACACTGCGATATTTGGCATCGCTTGGTGAATATCAAGAATTCCTTGGCCAGGTATTTGAACACAATGCACTTCAGCTAATTTTCCGCTATATCGAAAATTTAGATCCGAAAAACACATGTCTCGCATTTGAAGCCCTCAAATACCTGGCATCGTTGCTGTGCCACAAGAAATTCTCACTGGAATTCATCAATAACGGTGGCCTTGAGCGATTACTCAAAGTACCAAAGCCAAGCATTTCAGCAACAGCTGTATCTATTTCACTGTACTATTTGGCGTATTGTGAAGATGCAATGGAACGAATATGCCTAATGTCACAGTCAGTCATACCAGAAGTGGTGAGCTATGGACTGTGGCTGTTGTCCAGCGCACACGATTCAGGGCGATGCCATGCAACCATGTTCTTTGGCCTATCGTTCCAGTTCAAATTGTTTCTCGACGAATTCGATCGACAAGATGGCCTACGAAAAATTTATAATGTCGTATGTATTATTTTGTTAGTTAGTTTGAATTATTATTGTCATTGTTCAACTATTTCATTCATTCAATCGAGAATAAATAATAAAATTGACTCTTTCTTCCGCAGATATCCGTTCTTCCAATTCTCGGCACAGAAGATCACAATCTAAACGATGACGACGAATGTGCTGCACGCCAAATGGTTCGTCATGTCTGTGTTGCCTTGAAAAGGTACATGGAAAGCCATTTGTTCTACAAATACACACAATTATCACGATTGAACGTGCCAACTGGATCAACGGCCAATGCAGCGCCATTGTTTAGAGTGAGTACAGAATCGATTGATTCCTTTGTTTTAATAGTACACTTCAGTCCGTGTATCTTCGTTTAATCCAACTATTTTTCCGCAATATAAATTAGTATCTCGAACTAATCACTAATTAGCGTTCAAATTTATGACGAATGATAGCTTCTTCTCTGAAAAAGACCCGACAAAAATATGTTCATTTTTCAACTCATGGCTTTTCCATTGGCAGGCACCAAAATTCACCCTTGAAATGATCATGGAGCAAGCAACAGCGTTGCAAGAGCTATTGCCGATTCGAATGCGATGGGAACCGGTTGAAAAGATCTTAGCCTTAAATGGAATCCAATTGATGTTACGTGTGATCGCCTATTCGTACGAATGGAGCTTTAGCGGAAGGTAAAACAAGATATTCACTCAAATTTCAAACTTTTAATCTTATTTATTTGTATTATCTTTTATTTTCGATTCCATTTTAATTTTCATATCCACTTTATTCGTGTTGTTTGTGTCCCTTTTAATGCTTATTTCATTATTCTAAATGGGAATTTAGTATCTCTTCTAGAGCTGAAACCGTTAGATCAGCCTTAGATGTATTGGCTATATGCTGTGTTATACCAAAAGTTCCTGTAGTATTTTGCGAACGAATGGAGTTACCGGACGAACCATCAGCGGCTGGTATAAATTTTATATTGGGCGCATCGGAGGGTGAAATTGTTGCCGATGCTGAGGTGCAAAAATCCGCATTGGCTGTACTAGTGCATTGTGTATGCGCTCCAATAAACATAGTAAGTGTTTGCGACTTTTTCGACCAAGATGAAATCAAAGTTTTTCATTACAAAAATATGTACACTTCCCATCACTGAACTGGGCCACATTAACATATTTTAATTCTTAAAATTCGTCTTTAGCCACAGTCAGCGGTTCGTTATGGTACGAGCAAAACAAAGGCACCGAATAAGATTCTATTGGATATGATATCGAAGGTGTGGGAGTGTGTACGATCGAACAACGGGATAATTGTATTGTTACAATTGATGGAAACAAAAGTGCCAATTACTGATGCGGATTGTATTCGTGGTTTGGCGTGCCGTGCAATGGCCGGTCTCGCTCGATCGGAGACAGTACGTCAAATCATTAGTAAATTGCCCCTATTCACGAATGGCCTACTGCAAACCCTTATGAGAGATCCGATTTTGCAAGAAAAACGTACCGAACACGTACAGTTCCAGAAGTACGCATTGGAACTACTGGAACGTGTATCGGGCAAATCGAAGAGCTCCAACCAAATTGACACATCATTGGCAAACATTCACCGAGCGAATGTTGTTGCACAAACAAAAATCCAGTTTAACGAACAGCAACTCTACGAATTGGTTCATGAACATTTAATGTCACGCGGATTGACCGAATCGGCGAATACGTTGCAGAAAGAGGCAAATCTACCGAATAATTTGAGTTCGACGAAGGTGTCGAGTGCAGCATTTCATTCGCCATTCTCATTTCGAACACCAACAACACCGGTCGGTCGATCACGTATTCGAAATAAACCCAGCGATTTCAATGCAGCCCTTAATTCAATCGATCCACAAACACCGACCGATCAATCTATGACAAATGGTGACTTAAATGGTGACACTTCGTCAGGTATACCGCCAATAAAGTTGATTAAAAAATCCACCGGACCCGTGCCGTCGTTAAGTCATACACCACAACCAAATCCACATCAACAACAGCGATCGTTGCAGAAGCAAATTTCAGCGATCGAACCAATCACACCAATTTACACCGCTTATGTGGCGCGAGCGCAACAACCGAACGGTATCAACACAAATTCATCGAAAAATGTTACACTCGAGACAATAATCACGGAATATCTAACGAATCAACATGCTCTATGCAAAAATCCAATGTCAACTTGCCCACAATTCGATTTAATTGTGCCACACAAGTGTCCCGATCCACGGACAAATAAGGTATCTGGGCTAAGTAGCAATTTTGCGGCTCGATTTTTCCGTCAGCAAGCTGGCTTCAACGGCAGACGACTGGATCGTCGATTAATTCATTCGAATTTCTGTGCGGCCCGAACGATTCGAGCCGAAGATCCAGATCTTTTCTTCATTTGCTGTGACATCGCACCGTGCGCCACAAGCGTGGCGGTTGGTTCGTATAGTGGTGAAGTGAAGGTATACAATATCAACGAAAGTGGCGAAGAATTCGCTTTTAGCTGTCACGATTCGTTTATTAGCAACATAAAATACAGTCGAGACGGCAATTTCATTGCAACATCGACCACATGGCGGCCACCGTTGTCAGCGTTATGGAGCATCGAAGGCAAACGATTCCATTTGAAACATGCATTCGAAGAGGAAGACTACATGGAATTTGCCAATCAAACCAATGACCGAATCCTTGGTACGAAGAGCGAACGTGCAACCATCTACGATTTGAACACCGGACAAGCGGTCAGACAATTTAAACCTACTATTTACAATCAATACTCGAAAAATAGAGCCACTTACTACCCCACCGATGAACTGATTCTATCAGGTGAGTGTCATTTTTTTGGTTCTTCATCTTTTCTTGTGTTGTTGATTTCTGAATATTCTGGATGATCATTTGACAATTTCGTCTCTTTTTTTTTCGGACAGATGGTGTGCTTTGGGATGTACGATCGGAAAAGGAAATTCACAAATTTGATAAACTCAACCAAGCCATCTCTGGAGTGTTTCATCCCAATGGACTTGAGGTACTTTCTACATTACTTATCAAACATGCATTGTTTCTTCAATATAAGATTGTTCTCTTCTTCACGATCTTCCCTTCTTCCAAAAAAATTACATTGTAAATCCCTTTCAATTGCAGGTCGTGTCAAACACAGAAGTATGGGATTTGCGAACGTTCCATTTACTTCGAACAGTGCCAACGTTGGATCAGTGTCTGGTAACATTCTCACCGCTCGATGTGATTTACGGAATATCATATTCAGAAGTGGAAAATCGATTTGATCTTGATCAAGTTACTTTCAACTATGAGCCCAGCTTCAAGACACTGGACAGCTATGACTATTCGAGCATAGGTAAGAAATCGTGCAATTGTATTCCAAATAAGGGTGTTAAATTGTTCTACACCCTTGAAAAATGACATAAACAATTTTTGTTCAATCATTTTGTGCATCAAAGAAAATTTTAAATTAAAAATGTGCCTTTTTCTTGCAGCCACTCACGATGTAAAGCGTGACATCTATGATTTAAGCATCAATAAGTATGGTAGTCAAATAGCGATTGTTGAAAATCAAGGTGATTATGAATCAGTGCAGGAATCAGCGGTGCGAATTTATTCGGTGGGCCGTCGAAAAAATATGGAAGACGAAGCCGAAGAAGAGGATGATGATATGGCATTGTCGGACGATGGTTCATCGGATGATGGTTCAGTCGGTGAGTATTGCAAATATCTTCGATACAAAACCAATTTGACAATGAGTTCGGCAAATTGATGCGATGAAATTTAATCGAAAATCGTTCTTTTTTCGTGCTGGAAATGGTTTCTCAATGTAAGAATTAAATTTGGTTTTGTCTAGGTAACGAGAATCGAAGAATTCCACTGGGTCCGTTCCTAGATCGTGATAGTGACGATGATAACGACGATGATTCCGACGATTCGGACGAGAATCTGGAGGAATGGCTGAATAACTCAGGTAGGTCATCATTACATTTTGCACTCTTAATTCGTCCATGTTTTTTTTTTCTTCTGGAAAATGTTTGAATTTCATATTTATTTTTAATTTGCAGGGAGCGATGATGATGATATAAACATATTCAACATTGATGCTGGAGGTACATTTTTTTATAATCATATTTTGATTTTTTTTTTCCTTAATTTATTCTATTTTTTTCCTTTTTTAACATACAAAAACAATTGAATTTAACCATCTTAAAAACTATTACCTAACCCTGACTGGATCTTATTCATTTCAGATGATGATCAAGGAAACAACGTTGAAGATGCAGATGAAAGTGCACAGTGGACTACGACCGATGATGAAGACGGCAACGATTAAAATGGGTCCATATGCATCGCATGTCAATGGGCCGAGTTTAAAAGAAAAAAAATCAAAATCAAATTTCGTCTATGTCTCAATGTTTTGAGCATCTTTGCACTCTCTTCAAATTGTTAAGTTAAAAGAAGAACGTTTCAATTCGTTGTTGTAAGAAAATCTTGACAAGATTTTTCTTTTCTACATTTATTTGTATGAAGATTCAAATGTTTGAATTTGTGTAAATTAAGTGAATAATAAAAATCATAAATGTAAATTATGGAAAATATTTTGCAATACACAAAATATTAAGATCGAATCGCAGACAGAAAAAAAAATTAAAGTCATTAAAATAAAATGGATAAGATGAAATCAATGAATCAAATGAAAAAAAAAAACGAATAAATGTGGGCTTTTCACATAATACATCTGTCTATATTTAACTGGCATGAGATTTTTGAATTTTATTTAAATTCGACGATTCAAAGTGATGTAATTTACTTTGAATCCCGTTTCGAATTCCATTGACCAGCCATCGTTTAGACGTTGCTGTAGTTGTTCATATTCGAAGTTCTTATGGCATGAAAAATGAAAACACTTGAGACATTTGAACGGAGCTGTGACATGAAATGCTGTATCAACAGACAGTTGACCATCGAAGACTATATTAGGTAAAAGGGTAAATTTTTCCAATAGCGGCAAAGATTGAGCCATCCGTGAATAATCTACTGGGCCTCTACAACGAATATACAATATTCTAATCGAAGAATTATTTTGAATGAATTCATAGACGCGTTCATTTAATGCATAACATAAAGTTTCGATTTTAAATATTTCCAGCTGATCAAATGATGCGGTTGAAATGAAAATGAGACTTTCGTCGCTCAATACACAGATACGAAACAAAAATAAAGCAATCCATTAAAATGGAACATGGAAAAGAAATCCGTAAGAATGAAACATAGCATGTGCCGTTTTAAGTATTTCGCTTTGCGGTGTTCCGTTTTGATAGATTTTTTGTCTGCAGTGTCGTTATGAACGAATCCTCTCGCATTGTTTCATATGAATGGATCTGTATCACATTGTTTCATTACTCGAATATTTTTTCGTGTGTTTCATTTCAAATGATTCCCGAGCTATTGATGACGTCACTCGCATTTATCACATGATGCAAATTAAGTGATAAGGAGCCCGAATTTCGATGTGGCGATAACACCAATGGATTGGGCAAAAAAAGTACTGTATGAGAATCGAAAAATAAAATTTAAACTTTTTTTCCGATTTTTGCCTGTTTCGGATCGTCTACATGGGAAGTTTGTATGAAAACCTCGGAGCGCCGGTGTGTTACCCGTATTGTTATACTCATAAACAAAGCAGCCTGCTTCACCGTAGAAAAGTAGTGCGCATTAAGAAAACCAGAACGTACAGGTTTCGGCAACGTTGCATTATAGCGATTATGAATCAACATAATGAGAAATGTAACGAGAAATTACGTTCATTCATAGCCACGTTGCCAAAACATGTACGTTCTTGTTTTCTTACTGCGCACTACTTTTCTACGGTGAAGCAGACTGCTTTGTTGATGTGTATAACAATATGGGTAAAACACCGGCGCTCCGAGATTTTCATACAAACTTCCCATGTTGACGATCCGAAACAGGCAAAAATCGAAAAAAAAGCTTAAATTTTTTTTTAAATTTTTTTTAAAGTTTGAATATCAACAGTTTTTGCCCTTGTGAATGATTTTTCAAAACCATCAAGCACATTTTCTTCATGTACGCCCAATTTAATATCGATAAGGGTTTCAATACAGAAATCATTTACGTAGTCAGTGATGTGGCATCTTGTTGCAGCCGAATAAGCTATTCGTGTTATAAGACCTCCAAAGATACGTAGTGTTTGTAAATTGTATTTTAAACCGATTATGCCTACATACGGACCAGGCCAGTACTTCATTCTGAATCCATTAGAACTCAAACGCCCGTCGTTGCACCAAAACCGATAGCTACGGTATCTTCGAACGAAGACCAATTTCGAAGCGTGACGTAGTCGTTCATTCGAATCAGCTACTTGAAGAAGATCAACCAAATCCAAATTCTCCAGGATTCCTTCGAGGCAATCGATATTCAAATCTGTTAGTATCATCTTTTCAGAAGCAGATTTCGATACCTTTTGAATGGGAAAAATAAAATTTAGCCACAAAAAAACAAAAATGCAATTTTAACACAATAGAAAAAAAACTTACTAAGTTTTTTTCTTTCGACAGAAACTAATTTATTTTCTTGAATGCTGCAAATTTGAGCGAACCACTGAATTCAGGCCTGGAATGAAATGTATACTGAATTACTTCGAATTTTCTTTCGTAATTTTCACGTTGAAGTAATTTCCAATAGAAATTGAGGTTGTTTTCCTTTCGAGCACCAAACTACAAGTGACTACATTCTCCAGATGCACGACCTGAAGTCCGTGTCTGTTTGGCAATGTCTTGACATGAAGCAAGAAAAGATCATTAAATCAGGTACAAACGAGAGGGTAATTAGGACAATCCAGACACCCGTCTCGAAAAGGTATTACATTAGTTTGGTGCCATCGAAAAATTTTCGAAATTCAAATCAGCTAATTTAAACCGAATGCGAACTTAAACTCATCTTACAAATCCTGTACCCTCTATATACGACCAAAAACATTTTTAAGTCAACAATTCCCCATGAACACGAAGAGCAACGAAGAGTGAGATGCAATAATCATGCATGTGAACGCATAAAAAGCGATAATGAACTAAATGGTACGCCCTTTAAAAAAATCTCGTAAAAATAAACATAGAGAATGGAAGCTTCTCCACCACATCAACAACATGAAATGGATATATGCAACGTATGTTGCTTAATCAATTCAAAATCGACGCAAAGAATGCGAATGAATAAATAAGAGAAGCAGAGAAAAAAATAAATGTACTCACGAGTTTGAATGGAAATTCCTTCATTTTTTTCTGACACTCACCAATTGAGGGGCTCAGAGGAAAAATGTTACGTAGAAAAGTTCCGCGGAAAAATATTCGGGAGCTAAATGATATCATTTAGCGGAGCTAAATGATATCATTTAGCACACCTAAATGGTATCATTTAGCTTTAGCAGAGCTAAATGGTATCATTTAGCTCCGCTAAATGATATCATTTAGCTCACCTAAATGGTATCACCTAAATGCTCACCTAAATGGTATCACCTAAATATGATACCATTTAGGTCTGCTAAAGCTAAATGATACCATTTAGCTCCCGAATATTTTTCCGCGGAACTTTTCTACGTAACATTTTTCCTCTGAGCCCCTCAATTAAACATTGGCTCTTTCACATGCACGAGAAAAACGTGATTTTCTTTTTCAAAATGCAGCATAGACAATATTAGGTAATTTTCAATTACCAATGAATTTGAGCTCTAGATTCGATCGACTGAGCGCTCGGCGGAAGTATGTCGAGTACATACACAGCACTACACCACACCACACGATGAGCCGAAACAATTTGGCCGTTGACCACCATCAAATCCACATCAGGACCTTGGTAAGTGCAGAAAACCTCGATGATTTGTTTGTTGATATAGTCAAATGCATTACGATCCTTGAACGTGATTACCACAGCCATTTTAGTGCAAAAGTGTTTTCTTTGGCAAATAAAATTGAGTGTTTCCTTTATTTTTTTTTCTGTTGTGGCAGCAAACAACTTCGATAATTGAAAATCATTTTGAAAATAGAAGCCAATTTTAACGGAGAAACTGAGGTAAATGGAATAAAAGGTAATGCAGTGATAGCAATGGATGTGTGATCGAAAAGGTGGAGGAAAGGTTTTGAACATTGCGAAAAATACTTACCGAAATCTCTGTTTAGATTGTCCCAACCTGAAAAGGCGTTAGATTCGTCGGAAGACAGAAGACTTGTTATCCCAAAGAATTGATCGCTAAGAAATTCTGTACAAAAATCCCGTTTTTTCGTAAATTTTAATGAAGTTTATTAATTTTTTTCTGTATTCTAATACATTTTCTTCAATATATGTCCATGATCAAGTTGATTTCTTCGTTCAACTTTTACACAAAAATGATTTGATGACTTATCATCTAAAATTGGTATTCTTTGCAAAAACAAAAAATTGCAACTAATTTTTCGATGAAAAATCTTTTACAAATCTACCAGATTCGTACCAAATGAAATTTCAATATTCTTCTATTCTTCTACTTAAAGCAACTGATGAAAACAGATGGAATTCTTATTTATCTTGATCTTATCATTGATTCATTTGAACCAAACAGAATGAAAGTCCTTTAAAAAAATTATCAAAAAAATTGGTTTTTCCTCCTAATTTTGTTGTGAGGCTGTCGAAAAGAATTATCTAAGTTTATGAATAAATACGATGTGAAATTTTTGATTCATTCTGTTTGGCTGCAAATGTAAAAAAAAAAGAAATTCAAAGGTAAAACAATCGATCGCTGAGCTGTTCGGCTGGTTCCCGTTTCAATGACTGTCCAACCAAGAATGCCATTTTGTGAGCATACTGACAGCACGCTGGTACTCGAACCGTGCCCGGCTTCAAATGGTTATTAAATTAAAATATTAGTTTTATAGCAATCCACGCACCCATACTTGATCCAACTATAATGCTTACCCAATTGTAGTACAAGAAGCACAGTTTGTATGTCAAACGTTGCAGATGATCCGGTTGCATTCCGGTCTCATCCTCAAGGACGACGCAGTGTGTGGGTGTGACAGTACCTTGGCGAACACTTTGTGGCACCAAATAAAAGTCATACATGCCACGCCGTGTGATTGTGTGATCCAACACAGCACCAGGGCTTGGATTCTCAGCTTGGCCTCCTTTTTTCACGTAGAATCGGGCATTGATGCGCTTTTGCACCACGACAAATGTGAATGGTGGTTTGTAGTCTTCGGAGATGAGTGAACAGGCCTGTTTCATCTGCGCCAATTCGTAATCTTTGACCACTTTCAATTGGCCATCACCAACACCATCGCTGAATGGAAAATGAAACAGGAAATTTCAAATGAAAATCAAGTTTTGATTCTATCTGAATCCGTTTAAGTCGTGAAGAAAAACTGTTTGATTCTATGCGAGAAAAGAGAAATCGTTAAGCACTTACCGGAAGATGATGATCTTCTTTGGGAGTGTGTTATTGACCTTCTTGTAATGTTGCAACGCATGTTGCAGTGACACAACCAATCCACGGACCAACTCTTCGTTTTTACTTTGCATGACCGCCTTGCTATACCAATTGGTATAGGTATCATTCATCGATGCGACGAACGCTGAAACCGAGCCAGTTTTCTTGTCGTGATGCGTGTCAATGCCAACGATCATCACGTTTTTCAACGGGATGTTGATGCTCCACAATGAACCACCCAGTTTGCAGTTCATTTGCAATGCGATCTTTTGAACGATCGAACGATTCTTGGCATCGTTGCTCAATGTACGAGCGTTGATCACCTGTTGATATGAAATTTTTCGCAGAATTTATTAGGCATAGGCTTTCCAAAATCGTTTCATTTTCTTCAAAATTTTCTAATTTCCAAAATATTGAACGATTAAACAACCGATTCCATACCTGTGATGGGATTGGCGATTCAGCGCAGCAAATCTTCTTGATTGCAGCATAGCGATCGTCTCGCGCTGTCGGGCAGATGCACACAACAATTTGTGTTTGCACGTTAAGCGCCTGACGCAATGTCGCTGCATATGTGTCCGTTTTATCGTTATCCAGAACGATAATTTTCGGTTTGCTCACCGTGATGCCCATTGGACGTGAGTTGCGTTCCATGCATTCAACGAATGCTTTCGCTGCCTTTGCATCATTTTTCACGTGGATCAATAGCCAATTATGCAGCGGAACCACCGACATCTGTTCATTGTTGGTGCAATATTTGCCAAAATCAGCGTTTGGACCCACTCCGAATGTTTTGTTGTTGGCAAAAATTACACGTTCCTCTTCCATTAGACGCGCATCGAGACCAACGGCATTATCCAACAATGTTAGGCCCCAGTTGGCCAACAATTGCCGCGTTTCGGCACAATCGTTAACACGACGACAGAATTGCACCAATTCATTGGCACGTTGATTTGGTGAAATGCGCGTGAATGTGGCCACATCTTTCATGACCTAAATCAAACGATGTCATTTTTTGTTGTAAATTATATGAGTTTTTGTAAATTTGAATTTTTTTTTGACGATCAAGAATGGAATTTTATGACGATTTCAATTTAACCCAATATTTATGATATTTTTAATGGAAGTGATGGTGTTTAGAGTAAACAAGACCGGATAGAAAATGCGTAAGAAAACCAAAATCGCCTTACCTTGAAGTCCGCACGTTGTTCATCTGTTAAGCCTGTAAACATGTAAATGAAAATAGTTTTATTAAAACTTAGTTAGTTGGTTAGTTTTCAAAAATACGGCGTTAATTCGACGAAATTGTATGAAATCATTTGTCAAGTGTCATGCAATTAATTCAACTGATTTGAATCTCGAAACAGTCAAGGTCGCTTTGTTCAATCCAATTACCTGTTAAGTAGCTGATCTCCGGAATGATGGAGAATGTGAATGTCACTTTCTCCTGTTGACCAGCAACACGTTTATCTTCACGGCTGATGAGCAATGGTTGCTTCAAATCCTTGATGTCGATGCCATACTGTTGCTTGTAGTATTGAACGTAAGACACTTCGCCGGTTTTTGTCTGGAATGTGTTCATTGGTGTTTGATCCCAATCGATGTCATCAATACGATATGTCTTGTTGTTGTATCTGAAGAAATTCGTTTTTGACACAAAAAAAATGCGTTAAAAATGTGAATTATTAATTTGAAATGACATTTTCCAATTCGTATGTCATCTCAAAGGCCAAAAAATGTTTTTAAAAAAATTATAAACGATTGAAAATTGCGAAAATGCGTCGTAATTCATTGGGATTGCATTGGAGCATTGGCCAAATGTACAAACATAAATCAACTAATGTGATTCTTTTCAAACTGACAGTCTTCTCAGAATAGTTCAAGTCATTTCTAGTCAATTTAATTTCAATTCTAATCGAATTACCTGGTCAAAACCATGGCACCAATGAGGGCTGATTCGCACTTTTTCTGGAAATCTTCCATATTGCCTCGAGCATTTCGGAAGGCATGCTGCAATATTTCAATTACAGCCGTTTGACGCAGAACACGATGGGTGACATCAACGCACAGCATTACACCATCATGACACTCTTCGACCGCTAAATAAGCAAAATCATATTTAAATTTAGTTTCTTTTCCCTTCATTATCATAAAAACCCAATTTTTCTGCATCAAAATAGAAGAAGTTTCAACAAACCTGTGACATATCCGGGCCAAATTTCCAGTTTGTGCTGCGGAATGACCTTTGGTTCGGATGGATCGAAATCCTTTGTGCCGAACCGAACAAATTTCAGAATTTTCATAACGTTTGCAAAGAGAATGCCATACAATTGCTGGCACTCGGCAAACGTTTTGCGACCTTTGTAGATCAGTGTGATTGTGACCTCCGAATTATCGTTGGGGTTGATGCTTGTCAATTGTGTCACACGATCTGGTAGAAGTGCGGGCAAACAAAGTTTGACACCGTCGAATGTCTTCGTTCGGCCAATGGCATCAAGTTGTTGATTCAACAGCTTAAAGCGAACTTGGTTTGAATGCACCGGCGGATCAAATCGTGCCTCATATTCGAAGACACCCTTATCCTTATCGACTTGAAGCCGAATGTAGTTCGTCAGTGCCTGAATGCGTGTACCTTGAAAACGATTGAGAATGATTTGAAATATGGCACACTTTTCGAACAAAATCAATTTTTTTTCCCATTAAAACCAAAATTATTCCCCTTTTGATTGAAACCAAACCGATTTTTTCCCATTTTTCTGTGATATTTGTCCAATTTTTCATTTAAAAAATATACAAAAAAGAAGAATGAAGGAACTTTGAATAAATCTTACCGCATCTGCCCATCTTTGCTTCGGCCACTTCGGGAACAAAATCTTCGAAGTGAGCCGCCATCGATTCATACTGTTGCAGGGTTGGAGCCTTTGTTGAACCGCTCGATTTTGATTCTTCCTTGCGTCGAATCCGTAATTGGGCGAGCGCATCTGTGGTTGACATCATCCCAGGTTGTTCCTCTTGCTGTTGTGTCGCTGGTGGCTGCTGTTGGCTGGCCGGTTGGCTGCCGACAAGCATCGACATAAGTCTACCACGTCCAACTGGAGCACCTTGTACAGCTTGTGGTTCATGTTGCTCTTGTGGCTATTTCGGAAGCAATTTGAAAAAAATGATTAGCTTATAGTGAACAGAACAATTCCAATTGATTCTCAATTTTGAGAAAAAATAAAAAAAAACAAATCTCCATTGAATTATCAATTTGTTAACAAACGCTATTTTTGATCGTAGTAGAGATGAGGTAGTGAAAAGCATTGTGGTGGAATATGCAGAAAAAAACGGTAAAAATATCAAGTGATTCGCAACAGGTTGATTTTTGTCACATGAAGAGACTCATTCGAGCAAGAAACATGATGCTTAAAGTGATAATGATGCTGAACAGCGTTTAAAACATTTCATGAAAAGTGTGCGGCACAAATCATTTGAAAGGTCAATGTGCCGATGCGAAAATTGAATGCAAAATGTGTTTCGATGCTCAATCAATTGTGTATCACTCCAACTCTTTCGTCTTTCGTTTGTCGGTTCAAAGTGCGTATCGAAGAAAGTACCGCAAAAATCGGCAACAAAAGTGTACACAAAAATTACTGATTTTTGAATTGACTGTACCGAAACTAACGGTGCCAAGCCATAACAAACAGCGTGCAACTCAATTGTATGTTTTTGCTTGTTGCTGTGCATCAAAAGGACGCTATCGCACAACACTTCGATAACAAAAGAACTCACGACACTCGAATAAAAAAAAACCGTTAGGCGAAGCAAAAATGGTACTCACCGGTTGTAGCATAGCCATAAACTTGCCACGTCCACCTGTGGAAGTAAGGCGAAAAAAAGAACGCGCAAAATGATTAGCACACCGAGTTCACATCGAATTTTTCCTTTTATTGACACAACACAGACGCACAGAATTGTTGCTTACCAGTTTCGGTTCGTTTTGTTTCGCCGATGCTTTGTGATTTGCGTTGTTCGTCCGATGATGTGGATTGTTCGGCTGATTTTCCCGTTGATTCGCCGAGTGAACCAGTTTGCAGCATGGATAGAAGTCGACCACGGCCCATGGCCGCCGGCGATGACGTCGATGACGCTATCTCCTTTGGCTCGGTCGTTTGCTATCGAAACGAAATACAATGAAAACATGAACAATTGACATTATTACGACGGAATGCAACGAAATTTCGAAATTCAGAAAAATCTCTCATTTTATTTCACAGATGAAATTGTGACAAGAAAATAGTGAAAACTTACCGCTGCCAAAGCAGCAAGCATTCGACCACGGCCGCTAACAATTGGCGGTGTTTCATCGCTCCTTCCAGGCGTTTTGTAACCACTTTCTGATTTTAGTCCGCTCGACGACGTGACCTGTGTATGGCGGCCAAACGGCTTGCGATCACCCGAATCTTGATTGGACATCTTCTTCTTTTTTTCTTTATTTCAACAAATCACTTCGAAAAAAATCCTTTTTTTATCAATTTTCCAACGAAAAAAACGCGGCTTTTTTCACAATATGTCTCTCTTTATGTATCTTCTCTAAACACGTGTCTATCAAAATTTTACATCAATTGATTTGAATAACGGATATTTATTTTGCACTGAATTTATGCTTAGCTAACAAAAAATGTTACACACATTTGGCTACTCCGACTTGAATGACGACGATCTCTCTATTGGTTTGTATATAAGGCAACGTTTTTGCTGTGAAATGTACGCTTCGTGTTATAGCGTGGTGCCAGCAGTTTGCGAGATGGGATTTCACATGTTTGAACCTGTTGGATGAAAAGAGAGAGAGAGAGCGAGAGAGAGAGCAAGGCTTTACATCTCGGTCGAAGTAAGAGCTGCGACATCGCACACACACAACGAAAGTGTTATTTGTTGTGACCACAACGCCGTGTTGGTGTTTGTCGCTGGCACAATAAAAAGAGAAGACAATACAAAAGTCATGCGGTCAGCGAAATTTTCTCCGAATCAACAAATAAAACAAACGCACAGTACATTTTTTTTTTGTATTTGACTTGAGATGCCGATTGATACATTTTTTCTTTGATAAACATTACAATTAATCCTACTGCAAACTCAAAGGGTTTGACAATGCGGTTTTCTCCAGAGTTTTTACAATGTTTCTCTTCAATGCGATACATTACAGTCCACTTAGAAGCGGTTTTCTGCCGGGCCATTGTTCTTTTGCGTATTTCTTCTTTCTCGGTTCGTTTGGATTGATAATTTCCATACTGTTGTCCGCCATTTTATCTGCGAAAATGAAGGGAAAAAGAAACACACGAAAACGATAAATTACGCATTGTAGTAACAAATGAAAATATCCAAAATTTCGATTGCAATAAATGAAATTTGATGTTATGACGATATTTACTTTGCTGTGAAACGCCGAATGGTGCTGTTGTTGCCGATGGCAATATTTCAGGAGTTGATGCAACGTCAGGCGCTGGATCTGGTAATAATAAACCGAGTTTAGAACCAAATGATGGTATCACTGACGGTGAAATGTCCACATCATGACCTAAGCCCGATCCACTATGTCCATCGCTCGATTTGCCAGCCAATTTGTTGCCGATCGGTGGCAGGTCTTGATAGAGATGTGGAATGAACGAAGATGGATTCAAATGCTTGGCCAAATCTGTTTTATAGGAAGAAAATCGAAACAGAAAAGCAATTTAGATGAAAATGAATTGAAATTTGAAGAAAAAACTAAAAATTGATATTAATGGGTAATGGTAAGAATGAGGATAGAACTGATCTCAGAGATAATGAGAAAAAATACAAATAAAATCGGGAAAAAAAGAAATAAGAAAAGTCGAAGACGAAGATGAGATAGAAGAAAGTGATAGAAAAAACAGGCGGAAACCAAATGAGTCAGTCAAATCAGTTGGTAATCAATTGAATTATAATATCATTTCATGATCCATTGACTCTTTCATATTAAAAATGTTTGTTGTGAATCTCAATTTATGGGTTCGTTCACATTTCGCTGAAAATTAAAAAAAAACACTTTCGAAACCAAGCAGTATTCGCCTACCTGACGATGTGCTTGTGCTGGATGATGTCGAATATCCCATGAAATTGTTTTCGATGCGTGAACGCTTCGTGGGTACGATGGTCGTTTGAATCAGATTGCGGAAGCGGCCGACATTCGGATCAACATCCTCCGGATTAATTATGCACTCCTCATCATTAAACGTCACATTGCGGCGTTTGCGTTTGTTATTTTTGTTTTTCTTCATTTTAACATCGTCGGTGATGCCTAACATCGATATGCGTCGATTGTGTGCGGTATTGTACTCGGTCAAATTCTGCATGTTGCCGCCAAAATGTTGAACAAAACAAAATCATTGATAAGTACGCACAGTTTTTGCGGTATATATACCGACATATCAAATGAATCTTACATCTAAATCCGTTTCGCTTTCAGGTAATCCAAGTAAAGCACCTTCACCGGTTTCGCTCATTGGGATGTCTTCCATGATAATATTGTCGGATCGTGATCCGGCTGTTGGTCGTTCGCGTAAAATGTAATATCTGAACGAAAAAAAACATATACAATAATAAGACTCGCACCCAATTTTTCTATGCCAATGCCTCCCACCTCATACACACTCACCTAGTTGAAGCACCGAAATGAAATGTGGAATTAATTTGTAGTTGGGTTGGTTTGTGTGGTTCAAGCCGGAGTGTTCCGATGAATGTTCCATGAGCTGAAACCAAAGAGAAGACAATTCGAAATAAAGGGCAACTGTCCAATGTTCGCCCGCCGGCAATGTGGCAAATCAAATTGAAATTGCTTCATAAAGACTTACTGCTTCCCAGATCAACCAAATAGGAAATATTCAAATGTTTATGATAGACTAATGCGGCATGGACTCGAGAGCAGGAAGCATGATCGATGCAAAAGTCATTTAGTTGTTTGTTTCGTCCAAATAGATAGCATTTCTTTTCGTCGATCATGAGTTTTTGGATGAGTTTATCGTCTTTAGTCACATCTAAATGATGGCCGGTCGGTGCTTTGCCAGCCCATGGGGGAATTTCATAGTGATTTGCCATATCGGCGCGTGGATATAAGAGCGTTAACTTGAAAGGGCAGAGACTTTAAATTGTAGATCAAGGCAATTACAACTGGTATCACTAAAACAGTGATGAGAATAATAAACTAAGCATTGAGTGTTTTTTTTCTTCTGTTTTTAACCCAAAATTCTATACAATTTCAAGCACATACAGCAAACATTTTCAATCTCATGTATATACAAAAAAAAAATATATTGTATTATTCTGTCGATGCACACACAAACTGAATTACGGGCTATAGCTTGAGTGAAGAAGGAAAAAAACATTAGCTGTCTGCCGATCGAACTGTCAAACCATACGTAATTTCGACTATCATCCGTTTCGAATGCAAAAGACAGTTGTGCATATGTTCCCTCTGTGTTTTGAATTTTTTGTTTAAAACAAATCAAATTCAATTATACTGGCCGGGTAGACCTATGTCAATTAAATAGTAAATGTTTCATAGAATTTAATGTCTTTCACACGAGAAAAATGGTGTGTTGATGCGAAATTTATCGAAATTAAATGATTCATAGTAAAATTGTGTACCGTTTGGCTTTTGCGGTTCGGACACAAATACAAATGTGCATTTGCACATAATATCACGCACAACTTCTATGTGCGATGACAGTCTCTCGTTCAAGCTAAAAAAAAACAAGATCAAGCCAGAGGGTGAGCGTATGTGTATGCGTGCACCAGCACGAATGTATGCGTCTCTCTGTGCGCATGTATATGTGTGTGTATATATTGGTTTCAATATAGCCGATTCTAATACGTTTCCAATTCAAATTGCGACAACATAGTGAAATTGAATGGTTGCGTTTAACAAAAATCACGTTGGGTGGCGCTATTCACCTATGAAATTAAGCACACAAACATGCCGCACACACGCATACACATACAAACATACACACACACACACACACACACACACACACACACACACAAACACGTACTAATCGACAAACCGACACACTGATGTTGTCTCGAAAATCATGAAAATCAGCAAAAATTTCAAAGATGGTCTAGTACAACATACGCACACAATGGCATACAACACACCACAACACTATGAATCGAAAAGTAAACGCCAAGTGAAGATATCCGCATACACAATCGCATCATACACATCACAACACACATAAACACACACGATACACACGCACACGCACACCCATCATCATCATCATCATCAACAGCACAAATGCTTGCTATTCATTGTCGTCGCGCATAGATGCAAATGTATGTGAGTACAACTATCCAATCCATTAGAAAAAGACGACAAAACCCTCTCTTGTATATCTTTATTTTTCGTTCAGTCAGTCACACAGTAGAGCAAAAAAAAATTATACAATTAAACAACAAGAGAAATTTTTTTTTGTCTATCGTATAATATCGTCGTTCGATTTTTCAGTGTTTAGTTTTTTTTTTGATTTTTTTGATTATTCTGTGTGATAGTTCGATGTGTTCTTCTCTCACCTCTCTCGGTTTTTTTTTTAGTTTTTGTGATCGTGTCGCATAGAATTTCATTTGCCATTTGCTCAAAATAAAACACACGAGAAGAAGTAAAAAAAAAACACACACACACAGCGAGCGAGTGAAGTAGAAGCAAAGCAAAAAAAAAATTGATTCGTAAAAGAAAAGAAAAAAGAAATAATTTCATGTGAGAGGGAGAGAAAAGCAAATGAAGTAAGTAATAATAAGAAGAAAAACAACGAGAGACAGAGAGCAAAGAGAAAAAAACCACCAAAGAAATAATATGAAGAAAAAATGATATCCATAGAAAAAGGCGAATAGCCAATTTCTACATATGTATAAAGAAAACACAACAATTTCTATGTGCAGGCCAGAGAGTCAAAATTGAAGAAATATAGAAGAAGAAAAAAAAACCCCGAAACTGATATTACACAGTATATTTATCTATTTATGTGTGTTTGGCATTTTGGTGTGTTTTCATGTGAAAATGTCGCAAAAGATTTTTTCGTCGACACCGTCGAAAATTACAACAAACGAACACATAATTGCCAATATCTGAAATTTCGATATAGTGACGAAGTGACTTTAAAACAAAGTTTATTTTTTGTTTCATTCTTTTTTTCTTATTCTTCTTAATTATTTTACTCAAAAAACCAAAAGGAAAATAACAACAGCAGCAACAGCAACAACAATAATAATATTTTTTTTTTCATAATCATATATAAAACAACAAACACAAAACACGAAAACGCTATTATTAATATGGTCGTGTGTATTAATATGCACACATGAATGCGAACAAAACGAAACGGAACGGGAACGAAAGAAGTAAACATTGAAAATATATATATATATATTGTATGTGAGTGTTTTTTTAATCGCATTTTTTTCCTCTGTGTCGAAAACTTCTTTTCTCTTCTTGAATTGTTTGATGGTTTGGTTTTATTTAGTTTTGTTTTTTTTTTTAATTTCTGTGCTTCGTTCTATATAATTTGTGTGTGTGTGTGTGAAATGCAAAACTCAAAATTGGCCCAGAAAATTTGGCTCCCTTCGAAAAGTCTAAGCCAAAAGTCAAAAATGTCAGGTATCCGCAGTTGATGTGTGAGCTCAGCGAGCCCATCATGCCGCAAACAAATAATCAATAGCATTGAAAGGTGATTTAATGTTAGCTCCGGTATAGCAAAATTTCACCGCGGGGGCCACGGTTCAAAGTGAACGAAAAAAAAGTGTCGATTGAAAATTGATTGAAAGAAGTTTAAACGTGTGATCGAATGGAATTCATCGACCCAAACCATCTATCGATACCATCTGAAAGTTAAACTTCATGCCAAACGAATTGAATCAATTTCATAATCAACAATTAATCGATGCAAGTGCTTGTTTCGCCATCAAATTTCCATTTTTATACCTTTTCCTCTCGTTCAGCGGCTGTCCTCGGCACATGAATTTTCCCATTGGCAAGTGTCTCTCAAACAAATCGCTTACGAACATCATGTTCTCCTATTACCTCAGAAAATCAAAAGTCATAACCAAATGTGAACGTAAAAAAAACCAACAACGAATACGTCTCTTCAATCACAATGTCAGACCGATCGACGCAGAAATATACATTTTTTTTTCTCTCAGATGAATTGCGATGTTCTCATGCAAAATTTATCAAGTTCGCCGAGTGAATCATCGATTGTAAGCGCGACACAGCGGCGATTCTAACGGCCATGATAATGACGACGACTACGTTTTCGACGTCGTCGACGACGGTGTGTATGTTGTGTGTAATACTGCCCGTTGTGGTTTTTTTTTTCTCTGGAATGTGATTTAAGTAATTAAAACGAAAAATTCCATATATACACACACCCCAATTGAGACAACCACACAAATATGGCCCATCAACGATGGAATTGAGTTAAATAGTCACGAAAATTGTCGATTAATAGCAGAAAGTGAATGAAATGCAAACGACTTGATAATTGTTTGGTCGAAAGAGGCGAAAAATATATATAATAGACGATACAAAAAAAAAAACAGCAACAACAAAAACAAGAACGTGCGTAATAGATGGGAATTTACAGGCATATAACAGCGGTTTAGCGGCGAGTAGAAAAGAAGAAGAAAAAAATCGAAACAAATGCCATAAACATAGTATCGTTTTCATAACATGATTCATAGTTCACTTCGCTTTGCATTAGCCAACAGTCACATAATCCAACTGCCGAACCAAACCATGCACGCTGCTGCTGCTGCAAAAGCCCCAAAATCGACCAATGGAGACAGAGACAGAACGAAGAAGCAAAAGGAAAAATTCACATTTTTTTTTTCTTTTCAGACATACATATATAGAGATGTATATATGAGCTAGCTCGTAGCGAGCAAACATACGATTGCAAATTGATAGTTGAAGCTTTAAACAACGAAACTTACAAGAAATCAAACGAATTTGTCGTGTTCAATGATTTTGAGTGTTTCGTTGTTGCCGTTGCGGTTGTTGTTGTTGTTTTTATTCGGTTTCGTTGTCTCTGTCTTGCATTTTCAATTTGCAAACACATTTGGTTTGCATGGTTCATGCATTCTCCCCGCGTTCACCTAAAGTGTTATATTGTTGGGTACCGCTACTACGGCTCCGTTGTTGTTATTATTAGGTCACGACTAAAAGTATACACAATGGAAAATGAAACTTGTGTGTACTCTCCGCTGTACAACCGCCACACATGCATTCATTGTGGCGTACAAATAAAGTCAAGTCGTACAACAGTGAATAAATATGAAGAGAGATAGAGACGAGAGAAAAAAAAGAACACTCACACAATCTATGGCTCCATTACGGAACAAAAAAATAATTCACTATTCATGGCATACAGATCCCAAAGAAATTGATTGTCTTGGCTTGGTGCTGTTGTTGGTGTTGCTGCCACCACCGCTGTTGGTGCTGTTGGCGATGAGCGCATGGTATCGAAGTTCGCGCGCACAGTGGTGTTACTTCTATTCTTCTTTTTTTTCGTTCTCTCTTCCAAAAAGAATCAACCGACGAAGCAAGAACCATACACACCATTCAAAAATAGTAAACGGAATATATTATCTAATTGATTGAGGAAAGAATAAGCGAAGGAGAGAGAGAAAGAAGAATAGAAGTCATAAAGAGTGCGTAGTGCGTGTTGGGTCGAAATATGAATGATCATCACGCTCTGTATATGAACGGGACGCTACTAACCAGTCAACGAACAAATGACGACAACAACAAATGAGCCAGTTGTTGGTATGCCAATTTGAAAAATATTGAAAGAAATCGCGTTCGCCATCACACACGAAAAAAAAATCCTAACGAGTTTCACGTGGATGAGTGTGTGCAAATGATGCGCGCGAGCCTTTGAAAAATGAAGAGTTTGTATCTCTTATTTCTGACTTTGACGCAAAACACTTTTCGGCATTGAATTTTGTCTCTCGGTCGAGAGAACTACAAAGGCGACGACGACGACGACGAGGAAGGAGCAAGTAAAAAAACACACCACAACAAAAACAACAAGCAAGACAATAGCTAAATAAGATAAAAATCACATCACATGCCTGAGTCATGATCGCACTAGATTCAATTCAGATGCGAAAACGAAATTTTTTGCTTCGACTTTGTTAATAGACATTTAATCGATTGGATCCGTGTAACTAGCGGGCCTAAATAGGTTCCACACACAGAGCCACCAGCTCCTAGTCGAAAAATCTCCGCGGCTGCTTTTGCTTAGATACAATGAGACTGTCGTTTTTCGTCTCGAAGTAATCTGTGCCAATTTTCATCGACATCGTCGACGTCGTCGGCGACGTCAAGATCTAATGTCTCTCTGTGCGCAAGATTTCTTTTTCATTCGATATGCCGTTCTTTCCGGCGTTTTACAGGTTTGTTTTGTGCTTGCGCGACGACTACTCGTTTCATTTGCCGCTCTTATAACGACTTCCATCTAATGCGAATTTGCTGCTTTCCATATCTTATTCATTGATTGCAATTTGAAGAAGAAGAAAAAAACAACAACAACAACAACAACAACAACAGCAGCAGCAGCAACGCGAAGCAAACCACATCGACCAATCGAAATTCAGCGAGACTAAAATCTCGAATTTGCATTCATGCGATTACCTTTTCGCATTTACATTATTTTTTTCTCTTTCTGCAAATCGGTTATCGTTTTTCCTTTTCATTTGTGGAGAGTCATTTAGCTCGTTTGGTGCATTCGCTTTTGTTGTTGTTATGCATGCGTTTGTTTGTTTGATGTTGTTGCTGCTGCGATTTTTTTTTGCTTCTTCTTCTTCTTCTTCTTTGTCATTTATCTGTGCGCGCTTGACGAGAGCTCGTTCGCGACTTTTTCTGCGAATCAAATTTAAAATGCCCAAACTAAATTTGCAATGCGTTTTCGATTTTTCGTGTGTGCAAGATGCGCGCATGGTGTGCACTCGGCAAGCATCTACACACATCACATTGACATTCGGATGGATGGATGCTTTTGTCGTCTTTCTCTCTCTCTCTCTCTCTCTTTCTCTCTCTCTCTCTCTCTCTCACTTTGTGCTGTGTTTCGGGTGCAAATTCATGCAATGTGCCTCTTGGCTTGAAATCAACTAGACTCGTTAACGGACACACGGGGCATGTGAATTTCTAGACTTTTTCCTCTCACACACACCTTTTCTTGATGTGTTTGTTTTGACTCTTGCCACCGCGTGCCATTGCTTCCAATTCGCGCTGATTCTTTTTCGGTGCAAACAGAAGGTTGCAGACAACGAAATGTGTGATTTCTTCTTTTCGGTTGTATGTTTTTGTTTTCGTCTTCAAAATGCGTGCGCTTGGCAATCAGTGTTGTTGTTGTTGTTTTTTTTTTGGATAAAAAGCCGCACGCTGATGTCGATTTGCCAAACAAACCACAAAAACAGCAACACAATGCCAATCGAGAAGAAAAACCGAACACAACGATTAAGTTGGCAAACGGCATTTATGATATACGCAGTGCGCGCCCGACTTAGATACAGATTAAATTTGGTTCTTAATCAAATTACGGTTCGTAGATCTATTTCAGCTTTGTTCACTTCGGTTTCACCAGTTATAATCTCGTTGCTCTCTCTCGTGCAAGACTCAAACAGCAAGAAATCACAGTCCGCGCGTTTGACGAAAGCCAAAAAAGAATCGACGAAAAACTAGAAACACATCAACAGAAACGAAGGTGAAAAAAAAACGAAGAGAAAAGAACCACCTCATTCAAAGGCAAATCTTTTTAAAGCAGCCCATTTGCATTTTTGGTTGTTGTGTGTGTGTGTGTGTTGTGAAATGGCAATCATATAGAAAAGAGAGAAAGAAAAATAAACCAACGACGAAACAGAAACAAAAGCACATAACATAGTTGTGCAGAAGAATCTGAGCTATTCACGGCAAAAGTATTAAATTATGCAAACTTCAGCTATCAATAATATAGTGGATTTGATTAATAAAAGAATAGCGGTGGTGGTGTGGCGGCAGATCAATAGAGGAGAGAAAAAACGAGGAATTTTTACACCATCAGCAACTTGGAATGTTTGTTGTGTGATGCGAAAATGATTTTGTTCACGATAAAATCGTTCAAAGTAGAAATGTGATGTGCGTGTGTTTGTGTTTGTGTCGAACGGATGTCAAAAATCCGAAGCAACAAATTTTTTTGGTTGATTTTATGGTTGATAAATTTTGGCATCGAGAAAAATTAAGACGCATTTGAAGAAATCTCACGCCGAGTGAGTAATCTATATATACACGCGCAATTGCATTCAATATTCGACAACAGACATAACAAAAGAATGCGTTTCAATCTTCTTTATACTCTCGTTTCCCGCTCTCTCGCTCTCCTCTCTCTCTCTCTCTCTCTCTCTCTCTCTCTCTCTCTCTCTCTCTCTTGCCGTGTCTGCTAATTTAATTTTGCGGCATCGGACACCAGTTTTTAGCGAGTGATGCGCAATCGACGTGCAAAAATCGAAAGTACGCATTGAGAATGTAGATATAAAGGCGGCAATTGTATTTGCAGCACAGCATTCGAAAAAGGAATAATATTGACAGTAAATTGCCCACAAGGATAGTTTATTCGGTGGAAATGTTAAACAAACAATAAAACTGATTCCCAAACAAAACACAACATCGGAGCGAAAGGAATAAAATAAAAGAAAGAAAGAAAGAAAGAAAGAAAAAAAAACAAGCAGTAAAAGCACCCGATGAATGTCATAATAATCGACAGCGAGCGTCGATATGGCTTTGATGCATGTGTTGATCGAATCGCAATATTGTTGTGGTTTAGTTTTTCCATTCAATTGTTTTCATTGTTTGTCGTGTATTGCGCTCGATATGATGATGAAGTGAAAGAGAAAAATAGCACCAACAACAACGACGTCGACGACGACGACAATAACAAACGAACATCAAAATCCATAAAATATATTAATGGCGTCAAACCAGAAGTAGTTATTTGTACAAAGGAATTTCAAATAGGAAAATATGCACGGGGCAAATTGAAAATAACGATAGAAAAGAGGGCGATCGAATGAGAGAGAGAGAGAGAGAAATAGTTCGAAATCGAGCAGCAAAACTACAACAACAGTAAAATTATTATAACTGCGACGTCGTTTACGTCGAGATATGAATTCATATCGAAAAATTTATATTATTAACTAAGCATTTCGAACTAGTGCGAATGAATTGACTACCGTGTTGCTGTTTCTGCTGCTGTTGTTGTTGTTGTTTTTTCCTGTACATGGGGTATCCGTGCGCGCATACGCACACACACACACACAACAAAATAAAATTTTCTAAAAATAATAATTCTATTTATAAGAGTCGATCTAGGGGAATTTAACTCTTACGAGTTCAGCATGTTTTCTGCCAGTTTGCTTGATTCGCGGAAGTTCGACGCGTTCGTTGTACGTACTGACGCGCACGGTCACAAGTTTACACAAGTTTGTTTATGGTTTTGCGCGTTTTTCAAGTTGTTATTTGACAACTAAAACGCGTTTCAAACTAAAAATCGGTTGTTTACGTGTATAAAGATTTTTCACATCCTTTCCAAAAGTTCAAAGATTTATATAATTATAAAATGGACAAAGGAAATATTTTTAAAGAGCTAGAGAAAGTGTTGGAAGAAAAAGTTAATCCAGATATAATAAATGGAACGACTGATGTGTGCGCGTCGTCCAGCTTCATGTTTGCACACGAACTCGCGCGCGTTCGCGCATGTTGTTTTAATACGGAACTTGTCAACTGAGTGGAATCATGCAAGTTCTCTGGTGAATGTAACAATTTCGTGCGCGTTTATATCATTTTTTTACAAGTTTTCACGTAGTTAAATCCCCCTAGGAGTCGATATATAAATTTTTTTTCATTTACTTCGGTTAATATTCGTTGGCTCTCTCGAGCAACAACAAAAATCAGAAAAACGGCAACAGTAAAAAACAACAACAACTGTACCATTCAATTAAAATATTGAAATGTATACCCATTTTTTTTTCTCTTCAAATTGAAGTGAATACGCACACGCATATTACCAAAAATGAATTCATGTGCATTGAACAAATGTTGTTCGTTGGAAATGGGCAAAAAGAGATCATTCAGAAGGCACATTCGCATCAAATCACGCACTTTTATGTGAAATCACACGAATGAAACGAAGGAATGAAAATAAAGAGGAAGAGAGAGAAAGAGAAAAAAAAATCAATGAAAATTACGTAGTTGTTGCGTTTTTCTCTTCAGTTGCCTTAAACCTTAAAATAAGAGAGTGTTTAAAGCGCGCGTAAATCCATTCGTTGAATGCTGTATGTGCCACAACACTCAATACAATATAAATAAAATTAATTTCAATTTCCTTTGTCACATGCCATCGACATTAAGCCAAACCGATACGGGAGAATCTCTCTTTCTCGGTTGTGTGTGTGTGTGTGATTGAGAGTGCGTGTTTATGGTGTGTATGTGTGTGTGCCCGCTTTCCCACCCGCTCAACCGTCAACCTATACAGCACAAATTTAATAAACATAATATATAATATTGTGTGTGATCGGGAACAAAAGGAGCTGAAAACCGCATGTACAATGAGATTGCAATTTGGGCCAAACGATAAGCAGCGCTATGGGATAAATACCAAAATCAACAACAACGACAACAACATCGACAGCGACAATAGCGACAGCAACGAAAAAAATATTATATATTTCGTATGCATTGGAATTCGATTGATCATTTGAACTGTGTGCTGTGTGTTTATTGCAGTGATTTTGCATAATTTCCCCTTGCGGCCATCCGTAGATTTCGAAGAGTTTTAGACATGCATAACTGTCGATTTTTTCTCCCTCTCTCTCTCTCTCTCTCTCTCTCTCTTGCTCTTTTCATTATTAACATTATTATTATATATTTTTGTGTTTTGTTTTGCCTCAATTTGAAGCATTTTCCGTAATGCTCGCTTGTATAATTTCATTGACGGTTTTGCACAAAGCCAAGCATTTTTTTTTACTTGATGTACGATCTTTGTATGTTTTTTTCCTCTCATTCAATTCGTTGAATGAAGCCAGAGAAGAAAAAAAACCAACCGATTTTGCCATCAAGTTCCTTTCGCCCTACTTCATCTTCATATTTTATGATTTATTTGCTTAAGAAGAAGAAGAAGAAGAAGAAAACGACGAAAAAAAACACATTTGTTCACATCAACCGTTTCGTTCTTTCCGTTGACAGATCACGAACTATATATTTGCGAAGACGTGAATTGGACGAACAATTTAGGCCCTGATGTATTCATAATCGAAATTGCGCGGCGGCACACTAAACAACAACAACAACCACACACAAAACAGAAGAGATAAATAACAACAACAACAAGCTAGCAAAACACTGAACCCAAAAACCGTCAAACCGATATTCAACTCGTGGTGCATTGGTACGGAATACCATACGGAAAATATGTTTAAAAACTTCCGTTCAATATGTCTGATGTAAAAGCCGATAATATTATGAGAGAAATGCCTGGTAAGTGTTTGAAAATAGATTTCAATTTGATTTTTTCGTCTACTTCTAATGATTGACTCATCAAAATGGATTTATCTCTCTATCTGTGTGTGTGCGCGCCTTTTTTTCTCTAATGGTTTTTTCAACATCTTTTCGATGCAAACTGTTTATTTCTCTCTCTCTCTCTCTCTCTCTCTCTCTCTCTCTCTTTCTCTCTCTCTCTCTCTTTCGGTTCGTTTTGCAGCTGCTGTATCTGGTTTGAAGCGTCTCCGTCAATTAGAATCAATAATTATCGAAAATGGTGCGTCTAGCGTTCTATTGAGCACAGGCAACAACGATGAAAAGTGTACCAATGCATCGCTCGTCCATCCAGGTAAAACATTATCGGTTGAGGCGCTACTTGATGCCCTGATTGTGCTATACGATGAGTGCTGTAATTCATCGCTGCGGCGCGAAAAAACCGTCAACGATTTTATTGAATTGGTCAAGCCGGTCATTCAATTAATCAAAAATTTACGCTTGAGCCGAGATGATTTTGAGGTGCTGAAAGTGATTGGACGCGGCGCATTTGGTGAAGTATGCGTCGTACGAATGACATCCACCAATCAAGTATTTGCCATGAAAATTTTAAACAAATGGGAAATGCTCAAGGTAAGACTTCGTCGACAACACGAAACGATTTCGCGCCACTTTAGCTGCAACTGAAATTGATTACATTTTGGTTGTTTGTTTCTTTTCTCTTTCGATCAGCGTGCTGAAACGGCTTGTTTTCGGGAAGAACGAGACGTGTTGGTGTATGGCGATAAGCAATGGATTACGAATTTACACTATGCATTTCAAGATGAAACCAATTTGGTATGTGTATTACCATAGTATGAACAATTAACACGTCGTGTTTAGTTGTTTTCCCTCTTATAATCTGTCACTCAGCCCAACACACAAAATTCTAAGAATATTTCGCTTTCGATTTTCTTTTATTTTTTTTTATGTCTCTCTCCCTTCTAGTATCTTGTAATGGACTACTATTGTGGTGGTGATCTATTGACGTTGCTGAGCAAATTCGAGGATCGTTTGCCCGAAGATATGGCGCGATTTTATATAACCGAAATGGTGCTCGCCATCGCTAGCATACATCGTTTACGATATGTGCATCGTGACATCAAACCGGATAATTTAGTATTAGATGTAAGTGGACACATTCGCTTGGCCGATTTTGGATCGTGTTTGAAATTAGGTGCAAACGGAACTGTGCAATCGAATGTAGCGGTCGGTACACCCGATTACATTTCGCCAGAAATACTTCGTGCCATGGAAGATGGACAGGGTCGTTATGGGCCCGAATGTGATTGGTGGTCGTTGGGCGTGTGCATGTACGAAATGCTATACGGTGAAACGCCATTTTATGCGGAAAGTTTGGTCGAAACCTATGGAAAAATTATGAATCATAAAAATTGCTTTGATTTTCCGGCCGACGACGGTAGCGACTATCAAGTGAGTGAAAATGCAAAAGATTTAATGCGACGATTGATTTGCCCGCCCGAATTTCGTCTCGGTCAAAATGGCATTGACGATTTCAAATCGCATGCGTGGTTTGAAGGTGTCGATTGGGAAAATATTCGTTCGGGACAAGCGCCATATATACCTGGTAAGTATCTTTTTTTTATTAAACTATAATATTATTTAAAATGAAAAACTATCTAGTATAAAAGAGTCATGTCGTTCATATTTTCGAACATTTGCAGAAGTATCAAGTCCAACGGACACATCAAATTTTGATGTTGATGACAATGATGTACGCTTATCGGATGCCGTACCACCGGCCGCCAATCCAGCATTTAGCGGTCTTCATTTGCCATTCATCGGTTTTACATTCACGCAATCCAGTTGCTTGTCCGACGTTGGTAAAATCACGCGAACCAATGAAATCCAAAATAATGATCTGCAAAATGAATCGGATGCCGTGGACAATAACATCGATATCCATTCAAGTTCGGAAGCATTGCAACATTATAAAGAACAAATCGATGCGTTGACCGAACGAAATCGTGAACTCGATAGCAAAGTGAAGGTACTTGAACTGAACGAAAGCCAATTGAAAGCCGTATCGAATGCGGCCGCCGATGCACAAGCGAATGGTCAGCTGGAGGCGAAAATAATGGAGCTCGAAAAGTTGGTGCGTCAATTGAATACGGAAAAAGAAGAATTGGCCCGTGATAGAAGCGACTCACATGATCGCCTCAGCCTACAGGACAAAGAACTCAACGATGCGCTTAGTCAACGGAAAATTGCAATGGCCGAATATGCTGAAGTTACCGACAAATTGTCCGAGCTGCGCACACAAAAGCAAAAGCTATCGCGTCAAGTGCGCGACAAAGAAGAGGAGCTCGAGAATGCAATGCATAAAATTGATACGCTTCGCAATGATATGCGCAAAATGGAGAAGAGCCGTCGAGAATATGAGAGTCGGATCGAGGACGTTATTGCCGAAGCAACAAAGGTATACATTTTATATTTGAGCAAAGAAAGAAAAAAAACAAACATCATGCGTACGAAAAACGTCCGCCTCTTTTCTTTTTCCCTCGAAAATGTACGAAATTACATTCGTTCCTTTTTCATATCATCTGCTATTAGGAACGCAAACTTAGAGAACGATCCGAAGAGTATTGTCGACAGCTGCAGATGGAAGTAAGATCTCGTACCACATCAGATCTAGGCTCGTCTTCTTCATTGGGCATGTCATCGGATTCATCTCGAATGGAAGTGGAACGATTAGAAGTGAGTGTCTCTCAATTATAGCACCACAAATGTGGTCTAAACAACACCGTTACATTGTAAATTTCCGTTTTCTTTTCGCCTATGTTTGCACAGGTGCAATTTAGTGAAAAATTGAATCAGCAACAAGCGCGTTACAATATTGAATTGACGGCACTGCGTGATCAATTGCTTGAGGCGGAAACGCAACGTGACATGATGCAAAGAGAGATGCAACAATTGCGTGAACGACTGGATTCATCACGCATTGAATCGATTACCGATTCGGAAGAGACAATCTCAGAATTGCGTAAACGTCATGAGCGTGAAATGAAAATTTTGCTCGACGACAACCGTAAATTAATCAATGAATTGGACGTTGTGAGTGAAACAAATCGTCGCATGCAAGCCGAACGCATGCAAATCGAAAATGATTACGAAGAGCTTCGTAGCAAACGGCAAGCAATTCATCAATGGGAACGGCAAATATCTGAAGTCGTGCAATGGATATCCGATGACAATGATGCAAGAGCCTATCTTCAAGCATTGGCTGCAAAAATGAGCGAAGAACTAGATTATATTAAGCATTCAGGTAACCTTAAAACATACATTCAAATCTCAACATCGATTTTTTTCTTTCTTTTTCCATTCAACTACACTGAAACTGGTTTGAAATATCTCAACTCATGGCAAACGAGAAAAAAAAAATACTAAACAAAATTTTATTTGGGCATTTGTAGGTTCTCTTCATCAGCATACCTCGGACAAAAACTGGCGTAATCGCCGTTCACAAAAATTAGACAAAATGGAATTATTGAATTTGCAAAGCTCATTGCAAAGCGAAATACAGGCTAAGGCAGCCATATCAGAAGAGCTTAGCCGAACCCGAGCCGATTTGATGGCAGCACAAAAGTAAGAATCAGAGCAAAAAAAAAAATGCAACGGAAAAAATGATGCAATCTAATGAAACGGTTTTCGTTCTGTTTTTTCTTTCTTGTTTTTCTTGCAGAGATTTACGCGAAACGCGACAACGATTCGATTCGGTGGGTAGTGAAATTAAGCGGAAAGATAACCAAATCCGTGAGCTACAGCAAAGGCTGGAATTAAACGAAGGCTGTAAGTGTCCATTGCAATTTCATTCCCTAATCTTTGTATCTATATCTGTCTATTTATCTATCTCATTCAACACATTTTCAAAACTGGTTATAGTTTTTTCTTTTTTTTTTTTGTTCATAAATGAAAGTCAAACCAAAAAAAAAAAATGGAAAGAATTTTTAAGGTTTTTTTATAGTTTGCTTTTGTCCCCAAATTATAAGGTATATGTATGTTCGTGTCAGTCAATTTTAGGTAGTTAGATGAATTAGGCTGAAACATTCATAGGTGCCAGATGTATTTATCTATGTCAAGAATTTCTTTGTCCCAAAATCTGATCGAAGTCTCAAAGAGTATATAAATTTTTGAAACGAATTGGTTATTCTTGACTCAATCGCTTTGATTCCCATTGCAAAATGATTCCCTCTTCCCGAATAAAATTAGACATACAAAAAGTTTAATATCCAAATATCTTTTTTCGGTGTAAAAACACAAATCAAACCCAAACTAAACGAACACAATCGATTTCGAAAACAAACAAAAAAACAATTGACGATTGCCACAATCGAATCGAAAAAGATATGAGTAGTGAAAATGAGCAGCCGCAGAAGATTCGAGCAAATCGATTGAGCAACCGGGAGGTAATGCTATCAGCGGCTGTGTTACAAAACATGAATATGCCGTCGACATCGGCTTCGGCGTACGGCGGATATAGATGCGGCAATCGGCTGCCGTCGTCGGTATCAAGTGAAACGGGCGAAAGATCAAACGATAAAAGCGAAAAAAGTTCAAAACAAGCGTCAGCGGCAACAGAACCAACGTGGTCATCGTTGTCATCGTCGTCGGTGGCGGCGGCAGCGATAAATCGTGTGAGCGGCCCATTGAAATCAGATACAGACGAAAGCGAGACAAACAACGACGATGAACTATCTCTGTCCCAATACGAATTAGATATAATGAATAAATACTTGAATGAAATGTGCGATAGTGATGAGAGTAATGAACAAGATGAAATTGTTAGCGAAAATTTGAACGAAAAATTAGCAATCGCTGCATCGATTTGCATTGATAGTGGCGATGACGAAACGCACGCTAAACAATCCGATCGACAACTAAATGTTGACGATCAGTGCAATGGGATTCATGTTGAATCGGACACACAATCGCAATCGCAATCGCAATCATATTCGCAAGATGCAACCTCATCATCATCATCATCGTCATCAACAGCGCAACAACAACATGTGTTGTCCCACCCTAGTTCGAATGCCAATGCAATTGATGAAATGCAATGCACACAAACAAGTAGGCAATCCGGATTTGATCAAGCAAATCAATCAAATGCTATGATTAACCAAACGATGCAACGTAATGCTATTGAATCGGTCCATTCGCCGCACGACACGCATAACGATGTTAACAATAATAATATTAGCTTGAGTAGCAACATAGGCTATAGTCATAGCACAACACACAGCATAGATCAACGAAGATACAACAACAATAATAATCACCAAACAAGTGATAGTCGAAGACATTGCGATAATAACAATCGTAGTAGAACTAACCCAAATTCGAATCGCGATAACAATCGCATCACTGCCAATTTACCCATCATTGTTGGCATTACGTCATGTGTCTGGGGTCTATTCTTCTATGCTGCGAAAAGCTTTTATTCAGACTTAACCTGAACAACCATACACATACACCAAACCAAAAAGATCACACACACACACACACATATCAAGCTCTCTTGCTCGCTCTTACACTCGTTCTCATTTTCGTAAGCACACTATCGATCCGAATTACGTTTATTACACACTGTTTCGCGTGTCATATCAACAATTTGATGAAGCCAAACCAAAATGAATCACAAACATCACACAAGATTGATAATCGATGTCCCCATACACACACACACACACACACACATACAATATGCAACAAATATGCCGCCAGCAGGCGGCAATTACATCTCGATGCCATCGTGTAAATTGGTTTGGAAAAAAACCACAGTGTGTTAATTTGCCATCGTAATTGTTTCCAATTGGTGTTTATTCTTGTGAAAAGAAAACCAGGCCAAAAATTCCCTGCAACGAATTTACTGGACGTTTTTTGTTTTCGTTTTCCCTAATATTTTTCTGTTATTGGTGTTGTTGTGAAGAGAGCTGCAGTGTTAGCCAATTGTATATAGCATGATCCCCCAAGTCTCGATCGAAATGAACATCTAGGGGCTAGGAACAAGTTGTGTCATTCGTATGTATTCGCATGAATTCATGCGTTCGTGGCTTTGTTATTGTTGTTGTACACTCACTGCGCTGCGAATGTCTCGTATACACAATCTACAAGAATTCACGAAAATTCGTACGAATTCGTCTCAAGCGCTTGTGTTCTTACCCCCTAGATGAACATATTTGGACGCACAGATATCTCTTTGGATATCTTCGGTCCCTTTCAAAATTTCTTTTCTTGAAAAAAAAACGCCAAAATTACTCTTGATCTCTTCACATTTCCAACGCACTAACCGGCTCGATTCATTACAATGATTTTCACTCGTGTCAATGATTTTGCAGTTTTTTTCCCTCGATTTCTGTCTTTGCTCTTACTTAAACTGGATTTGAAAATTCCAATTTAGATGTGCCCTATATTCAGCTGATTGTATCATGTTTTTATGTATTAATTTGTTCAATGTTTCTATCGATTCCTCAACTATTATCGTAATTGTCGCTTCCTGTAATTCGCTATTGCGTGTGTGACATCTGCTTAAATCACAGCTTACCAAAGAACAAAAAAAAAACCAAACATCATCTCAAAATATGATTTGGTGTTAATAATTTCGTTTCATCTCGTGCTAAACTAACCATAATCAAAACAAAAAACAGAACAAAATCAGTGACGTTCGATGTTTGTGTGTGCGTTTCTAATGCGTTTCGTATCATGTCTATTAACGGCTCCAAAAGACACAACAACCCCATATATAGTGAATGAGTTTCCAATCGAATCCCGTTTTTCTTCTCTTTCAGATGAAGTGAAAAAGAAAAAACGCAAATACAAACGAAGAAATAGGAAAATTAAAGTGTAAGCGAAGCAAGAAAACCAAACTAATTTAGGTGATTCGAATAAAATCAAGAATCCAAGCGAAAAAGAAAGAAAAATCAACGCACAAAAAAGAACAAAAGAATTTTTTTTAATAGAAATTAAGAAGAATTAGAGTGTACGGAGTATAGTGTTCCAGAGTATGCGCGAAATGATGAAACAAAAGGTTTTATCTCTATCTCTATCTCTCTGTTTTCCGGACAGCGGGAATAATGATTATATATGTGACGCGATATTTTCTTTCTTTTCCACTTAAGCAGCAAACCAAATCGAGAGAGAAGAAAAAGAAACCAAACACAAAAATCTTTTGATTATAAATTAGTAGAAATAAATTGCGAAAACAATTTTTGAAAGTCATTTCAATTATTTTCGTCCAAATTGAGTACACAGTACACACACACACTTTTAACCTGCGGCAATTTGACTTTGGTGGCCGTAACATACGATCTAGTCTCTTTACTCTATAATTTATTCAATGTATTACACATTGTGCTCATACAATGTATTGCACATTGTGCATAAATGCTCGAGAAACGCGATTTGATTGACAAAACGATGTATTGATGTTTCCTCCCCTTCAAATTGAACGCCTTGAAAATTGTTTCATTTTCTATTTTGATTCAATTTTCGAATTGAGAAACAAAATTTTTTATTAATTATTACTTTAACTATTACGAATTTGTTGCTATTAGTTTGTTATGATTATGTGTGTCTCTTCTGGTTCAATGTGAAATCAATGCTTTCGAAAGTGAGCGATGAAATAATGTTTTTGTACTTGAGTGTCTATTATCGTTGACTAGGACATAAGAACTCATGTAGCCTTCTTGTTGAAGAAAATCTTTTTGTTTCAAATACAATACCGTCTTTTTTATTCGATCTCCCTCTCTCGCTCTATGCTCAATTCATTTTCAATCATAATGTGTGTCTATGAATTTATTTGTTTTCAATGTGTCTATTAAAGTAGTTCGAATAAATAAATACATATCGATCGAAAAGCGTCGAAAAATCAATTGAAATAATGTCTTTGCGATGATGACGATGGCAGCAATGGCAGCAATGGTAGCAGCAACGATGACGACGGCCACGACCACGATAAACAGTATAATTGTCCTCAATTCAGTACTCATTTTGATGATTAGAAACAGCAATCGTCCCTCAATATTTTTTTTTTCTTTTTTCATTTTAATTACTAGATCATTGAAAATCGAGCGCGTTCACACTCGCTTGTGCGTTTACTCCAAAACACTCAAAACTGAGAGTGATGAAAGCAGTGCAAGCATAAATGGAATTTAATTGCTCCATTTGCCCAAATCAAGAATTAAAAACTCATTACATGTGAAATATTATCACACACAGCCGAATTGAATCCAAAGAGAAAAATAAATAAAAAATTACATATTTCCCACAGCAGCAATTCATATGTGTCACACGCTCGTTTTGATTTAATGATGTTGAATTTATTCGTTTTTCTTCTTTCATTTCTGATTGATTCAATTAAATCGTACAACTGTTCATAGATTGGATTGTCAGCGAAAAAAAAATGCATTGCATTCATTGGATTCTGTTGTGTGTGTTTTTTTCTCTTATTCTTTCTTTTTTCTTTTTCTCTTTTTTCTCTTTTTTCTCTTTCTCTCTCTCTCTCTCTCTCTCTCTTTCTCTCTTCCACCCCACCACGTGAAATAAATTTTAAAATTACCGTAAAACACCCCGAAAATAAATGAATTTAAAAAAAAACCAATTAAATGAAAAACTCTGTCGAATTTCCGAAATGCAAACGAAAAATTATGGTAGCGCACATTTCTGGAAGATCGACGATGAATGCGTGGCTATCGAAAACCACAAATGGTTTGTTTGCTAACTCAATCTTTATTTCACTAGTCTATCCAATGTCTGTTCTGTTTCAATGCATTTCGCTTTATTTTATCGATTTTCATGCAAATCAAATGTTTTCCTTTCGTTAGCAATGTTTCTCTTGTATTTGTTCCGTATTTTTATTTATCTTCTCTCAATAAAAATAAAACAACAACCAAACATCCAAAATTCGTTTCGATTTTATTTCCCAACAAGGATGAATCGATAGGATAATGAAATTTGTTGAACTTTTATTCTCTTCCTTTTTGTTACAACTTTTCGAAATCTTTTTTGATTGATTTTGTTTTGAAACAAGTTTTATAAGTACAAAAAAAATTGCTTCATAACAAAAACCCCGTGAGAAAAAAACAAACAAAAAAACGTATCTATGTGCTTATATATAACATTTTATAGACATCATGCACATGCACTGTAAGCAAAACGCTTTTGTTATTTAATGATTTGATTCATTCATTCAACTGGCTTTCGCTCTCACATTTATACCCAACAGCAAAATGACTAAAACACATTTTTTGCTGATTTCATTCGTTCATGCTTTTGTCTCGGTTCGATAAAATTGAAATCGAAATTATTTATTGTACAGAACAAATCCGAACATTTAGACCAAACATTCATTGGATGAACCATATTCTTTATTAATTATTATTAAGCTTTTGCTTAGAATGTTCCATTTAGTTGTCATTAGATCATTTAGTAATTATGAATGTTTTCGATTTTCGCACGTTTCGGAAACGAAGGATGAGTTGTCTTCTTTTCATTTGTTAAGGGTTGCAGTTTTCAGTTTCAAAGATAGAACATTTCATTTGATTTCATCATTAAATCGGTGATTGTTGCAGCGAAATTCATTTCACTGTTAGGGAAAGTTTTTTTTTCTGCATTCATTCATATCACGAAATTTACACATTCGATTCAGAGACACAAAAAGCAACACAAATCCAAAACAATTTGCTGATCTTTGTGATATGAATTCGAGAAATTCATTCTCGCCTAATTGATTCGAGCTGTTTTTTTTTTCTTATTAGAGGACTTGATGAAGAAAAAAAAATCCGCCATCATGTATTCTAAAATATTATCTGTTGATTTGTTAATTGAATTTCGTTAAGCTTCAAATAACTCGTTCTTCAACTCTATAAAAAAAAAATTCAGTTTTTCGATATAATCTCTTGTTTTTCATATATATTTATAGATTTAGTTTAGTTTCTATCAAAATTTAAGCTGTAATAATTTTATTTTAGTAATGAACTAACAAACAAATTTCGTTTTTTTTTCTATTTTCATTCTCCATCATGTATTTTGTGCGCTGTACTTAATCCACTGTTCAAAAACAATGTGTGGCGTCATTAATGTTTTTTTTTTGCGTTTTGACTTCCGCTGACTGCGTGTTTTTTTTTCTGTGTGTGTGTGTTTGTTTAAATCGAACGAAACAAAAAAACCGTTCTGAAACAAAAAAAAATAAAAAAAAAAAAATTCTCGAACAAAAATTTTCCAAACACATTTTGATAACATAAAATCAATAATAATATTAACGTTATATTGTGTGATTCATCTGCTAACGGCATTTTTCGTTCATTGTGTATTTATCTCGCCATTCGACATTTCATGCTGTTTCTTTTTAAAAACCAAAAACACAATTAAACCAACAACAAATACAATATACAAACACTTGAATCATCAATTGATTTGCGCACGCGCTCGTCGCACTCTTCGTAAACTTTTGACATTGCCGCGATCGAAATATCAATTCGCTTTTTAATGCACACAAATGCAACGCAAAAATTAAAAAAAAAACAATGTGCGTCAACTACGATCCAATATGCACACACACACACACACACACACATGTACACAAATAAACGCACAAACAGTCCTTGAGAGACCGTCGTCGCAGATGTCCTATCTGGATCATTTCTTGAAGGAATCAGGCAGCACGACCAACACCACGCACACCACATCTTCAACCATTGCAATTAATATGGTGAGTTTTGAGCCGAAAATTCATAATACATATCGAAATAGTCGATTTTATCCAGGGATATTTCCCTTTGTACATTGAAAAAAAAGTAACGAAAATTCCAAAATAATTTTCTTCTCTCCATTTCACCCAGCTACCATCATCGAATTCGATATCACAACCGTTTCAAGGAAATCTTCAGAATCAATCATCGACCAGTTCGTCATCCAATAATATCCACAGTCAGCATTATCAGTCACAAACACAAGTATATGCAAATCAACAAACACCGGTATGAATCAATGAACCCAGACATTTTTATCTCCATTGTTTTTCATTCAATTTATGAGTGTGTACAATTTCAATTGATTTTTTGTTTGTTTGTTTGTCCTTTTGAAACAAACACAGCAAGCACAACAGAAAATGGCTCAACCACAAACACCACAACAACATGCAAACACAAATCCATTCACGCAGCCACAAATGATGCTTCATCGTTCGGGATATTCGATGGAGAGTGAAGAGGGTGACATTGAGGATAATCCAGTTCACAGTTTGTCCAGCTCGAAGAGTAATTTGAGCGAAAATTCACTGGTAAGCAACGAACGTTTTATTTTACGAATATTTTCGACATTCTTTGTTTGGAAATTCCGAAACACTTTGTAAAGAAGATATTTTCACTTGATCATTTTCATTTGGTAAATTACATTGGAATGTTGTTACATTTTCACAGGATCAACATAGCGTGCACAGTACGATGATCCAAAAGCCGAAGATGCATCAATTTTTGGTGCGAACATTCAGCAGTCCGACCAAATGCAATCATTGCACATCGCTAATGGTTGGCCTGACACGACAGGGTGTTGTTTGTGAATTGTGCGGTTTTGCATGTCACACCATTTGTTGTCAGAAAGTTCCTACCACGTGTCCAGTGCCATCCGATCAAACAAAGCGACCGCTTGGAATTGACCCAACACGTGGCATTGGCACGGCATACGAAGGCTATGTCAAAGTACCGAAAATGGGCGCGGTGAAACGCGGCTGGGTCCGTCAATTTGTTGTTGTTTGTGATTTTAAACTATTTCTGTACGATATAACAGCCGATCGAAGTGCTTTGCCCAGTGTGCATGTGTCACAGGTGAGAGAGAGAGAGAGACCGAGAGAGAGAGAGAGAGGACTCATATAACAAACATTTTCGCCATCTCGATATTGAAAACGAATACTTAACGCACGTCTGCATTTCAGGTATTGGATATGCGAGATCCAGAGTTTGCCGTAACTGGTGTACGAGAAAGTGATGTCATTCACGCGGCGAAGAAAGATGTTCCATGCATTTTCCGGGTAAGTAAATCAACATGATGCAAACATTTCGTTTGAACAAATTTCAAACAAATGATCACACTTTTTTCACTCTTCGTTCACAGATTACAACATCGTTGATCGATGGTGGCCTACCATCACATACGCTAATGTTGGCTGACACCGAATCGGAGAAAGCCAAATGGGTGGTCGCTTTGAGCGAGTTGCATCGCATTCTTAAGCGAAACAATTTACCAAATACAGCCATATTCCGTGTGCGTGAAGTATTAGACAGCAGTTTGTCGGTGCTTCGTGGTGCTCAAAGTGCGCTTATCATCGATCCAGACAGAATATTGCTTGGTACTGAAGATGGCCTATTCTGTTTGGATTTGGACAGAAGTGGTAAGTGCCAATGGATTCGATTCGGATTGACTTCAGTATTTTTTTTCTTTCCTTCAATTTTGATTGGAATAGCCCGTACTTATACCCAAAAAATACTTTATATATCCTTCATTTTCATAACAGAAATGGCGCGCATTGGCGAAAGTAAGAAAATAATTCAATTATGGCACATCGTTGAGGAGCAAATATTGGTGGTGTTGTGTGGCAAACAGCGGCACGTACGTTTACTACCGATACGTGCACTTGAAGCCACCGACGTAGAATGGATTAAGGTGATCGACTCAAAGAATTGCATAACGGCTTGCATTGGTATCATACGCCGAAATCCGCAGCCCGTTTATTGTATTTGCATCGCATTGAAACGACCAAATAATCAAACGCAAATCATTGTCTACGAAGTGAATCGCAATCGAACGCGTCACCATAAAATGTGCGAATTCACCGTTGCTTATCCGGTGCAAAGTCTTCAAATTCTGTCCGACATGCGATTAGCGGTTGGACATCAAAGCGGTTTCACGGCATATTTCCTACAAGGCGAAGCACAAGCAATGTGTAAGTAATCCACATGAGCAACGAGCGACCAAAATCGACGATAATGCAGTTGATCGTAACAAAAAACTAACTGCATTACCGCCGTCAGAGATTTTGGCTTTGGAAAAATTCTATTAACTCCTAGTTTACTGATGTTCAAATTGCTAATTGATGTATATTTCGCATTCATTCGAAACAGCTTTAGTGCATCCAGAGAATCAGCTGTGCGCATTTCTCAATTATTCGGGCGTTGATGCGTGGCGAGTCATTGAGATTCCTGGCCATGGTGAATTTTTGCTCGTATTCCAAACGCTTGCGATTTATGTTGACCTTCAAGGGCGTAAATCACGTGATAGAGAAATTATGTATCCTGCATTACCAACACATATAAGTGAGTTTCCACTTGCATTTGAATGCCAAAAATCGACAGAAAAGAAAGAGAAAAAAAACACCTCTATCCAAATGTTGCAATTTTTTCTTCATTTTCAGCTTATTGTGATGGTCATTTACTAGTCTTTTCCGAAACACATTTGGATATTTTCAACACACAGACAGCCGATTGGGTCCAATCGATTGGATTGAAACGATCACGTCCATTGGCTAACCATGGAAATGTGGCCGTCACATACATCAATGACCAGGCGATGGTCATCTATCTGGCAAACATGCATACAAGTGCGCTGCACATATATTTTGAAAACTGATAAAACCTTGTGATCGGTTGAAAATTAACTGGTGAACATTTTCATTTTTCAGGAGAGTTAATCAACACTCATGGCGACCGAGAAGGTCGAGTGAAACCAAAACGACGATTCTCATTGCGGGAAACCAACAATCGACCGGCACGAACGTAAGATCTCTTGCAAAATACTAAGCCATCTTTGCCTATAAAAAAATAGACGAGGAGATGTACAGAATTGAAACAACTTTGATTGACCTGTATGATTTGAACTGTTTTTTTTTTCTATTTCGTGACATTTAGGACGGATCGACGATCAAAATTAATTTCAGCGCCAACGAACTTCAATCATATATCACACATGGGCCCGGGTGATGGTATACAAAAACAACGACTTCTGGATTTGCCAACCACCATCGAAACGGCCGATCAAACGAACCAAAGAGTTTCAACATCGATGAGACATGCTCCGGCACCACCACGACAAGCACAAAGGCCTATTCTACCACCATACAACGGTAAGTGATACGGATAAAATCCGTTTTATGCATGAAAATTCAATCCAATCAAGGGAAATATTTCAAGCATGATAATCAATTTAACTTGAAAAAATCAACAACAATAACAATAAAAAATCCATTATTTTTATTTTCGAATACCTAACAAAATGGGGTGAATTAAATGTGGCTTCATTATTTCTTGTTTCAACAAACGAATTTAAATAATACTAAATGTCTCTATCTTTCTTATTTCTCAAATTTAGGTGCTAAGCGAGCTGCACCGCAACGTCCACGTGAACAGCCACCATCTTTACCAGATCACCATCTGGGCAGATCACCTAGTCCATTGGGCAGTATGTCTTCCTTACATGACGTTTTGAAGGTAAATGAAACATTATAAAAAAAAAACAAATCTCGCATCGTGTTATTATATCTGTTTTGTACTTATAAATCATATACTGTAGCATTACAAATAAGAATTGCAAGAATTAAACAAACAAACAAAGAAAAATCAAGAGCAAAAAAAAATCGTTACAAAATTAATTAAATAATATAATTGAAAGAAAGAAAGAAAAAAATATATAAATAATAAAAACATTTGACCTATTTGATGTAGTGATTCATCATTATTTTGTGTCTAATTTGTTTTTTATCGACAAACATTTTGTATACATATTATATTACTCCTTTTTTTTTAAATGTGCTATACATATTCAAAAAGAAAATAGGACAATTTGAAATATTTATTATTGCTTTTTATCAGTTTTTTTTTATTATTATTATTATGATTAAAATTATATCAGTGCTTTGTTGAGCTATTGAAGGGCATCCAACAGACAAAACAAAGATTTATAAGTGAAAAAAGCAAACAAATTAGATTAGTCCTATAAATAGAAAAAAAAAAATATTTATTTCTTTTTTTATATCGTTTATCATTTTGTAAACAAAACCAATTTCGTAAATGTATTAAAAGGAAACTTTTTTTTTACTCTGCTGTTCGTATAAACAAAAAAATATACATACTGATTCGAATTTTTTCTTTGGCTGAATGTAGTCGCTTCCAGAAAAGAAGTTACATAGTTGTTTTCTTTCAATCGTAATTTTGTTTTATTGGTATTTTGTTGCTTATCTCTTCCCCCATATTGGTTTGTTTTTGTTTTTTTCTTTCTTGTTTAGTAATAAATGTTTGGTATCGTTTGTGATCAATGCTTGCTCAATGCCTGCTCAATGCCTGTTTGATCTTTTAGATTGTCTTTTTATTTATTGTGTGTGTATACATATATTGCTTTCAGTTCTGTCGCTTCCCTACTTTGTTATGTGAATTTCTATTATTGCAAACATTTTTATATGCGAATTTATTTTGTTATTATGTACGTAAACTTGGTTGGAAAAACTGCAACATGTATTCCTATTTATGACATATGGACAATGTTGATTGAAATAAAAAAAAAAAACAGAAGAAAACAAACATCCATGTCTGATTCTTAATATTCCAAATCTGATACTAACCGAAAAAATAGGTCGTTGATATGCAGTCAACGGGTGGATCACGTCATAGTGTAGCCAGTAATTCGAGTTCGGTATCAAGTCCACCATCACCATTGAATGATCGTCTCAGCTCTAGCTATGACTCCTAAGCCATTTCTCTGCTTCATCATCAATCGCCAAAACCATCAATCGACACCATCCTCAACCAGTCACACTGCGTTTTTCTCTCCTCCTCCCCCCCCCCATACAACGCTTATACTCAAACAAACAGAAGAAATAACTACTAACAAATGCCATCCATCACATCAATTTCAAATGACCAATCAAAAAAACGCAACAGGAACAAACAACGTTTCGAGCATCAATATAAAACACAGCCGTTATTCTTGGTGAGAGAGCAAACATATAACTGGAAAAATTACTGCGAACATCTATTTCGAAGATACACGAAAATGAAAATGAAAAGTAATAAAAAAATACACAAACTCAAAAAGCAAAAATCAATTTCAATTATCAATAAATTATTATTATAATAAACAAGCAAAAAAAAATACGATAAATATCCAAACAAACAAGCAAAAAATATCATATACGCATTCAAAATAGCAAACATGTAACACACGCTCGTCAAAAAAAAAAACAGAACAACCGATATCCAAACCGATTCAAGATCAAAACGATGACGAAACGAAAGAAAAACTAGTTTAAATTGAGAACAAAACGAATATCGTACCGAATTAGACAGATAGATGTAAACAATAACAATTTTATATGACAAATGGAAAAAAACAAAATGCAAACATTTCCGATCATGCATCTGAACACACACACACACACAAACACGCGCAGACACACAGTATTAAGAAAATTCATTGCTAAAGTAAAACAACACAGAAGAAATATTATTGTTTCGTCTGGCAATTGTTTCGTCTGGATAGTTAGCTTTCATACAAATTTAACTCGTATTTACTCGACCGATTATATCAAACCAGCGATAACTGATGAGACTGACTCAAAAAGAACGAAATGAACACAAACACTTCAACGCACCAACCAACCAACTCACATTTCATACAGCGAACAATTTAACCGGATTCATTCGATTTTGTCGGGGTTGTGATTCTGCCTCCATCCTCCCCATTCTAGCGAGAGTTGTTGTGGTTTCTTATATTCTCACTTTGCAAGTCGATAGTTTTCATATCGATTTCCGTTACATATGAGAAAAGAGACCGAGTATAAACCGTTTTAAGTGCATTGCATTCATTTTATCGCTCAAAAAATGCGCTTCTTTCCATGAAGCCGATCTCGAATCGAAACTTTTATATTAAAAAAAAAACAAACTATAAACAAATTTTAAATTGTTGTAGCAGCGCGAAAATGACAACGACAACAACGATGACGACGATGCGAAATGACGACAAACCATTAGTTAGTTCAACAACCATCGAATCACAAAAACATGAAGCAAGGCAAATGGGATTTCATTTTTTCTCAATATAATAGATAGATGATTCGTTGTTTAAGCCAAAATTTTACCAAATTCTTTGTATGAAAACACGAGCAAAAAAAAAGTACACAAATCTTCCTATTGATGTAAAAGAAAGCAAAGAAGAACGAACCGTCTTGGAGAATCCATTATCTGAAACTGTTCAGCTTCTTATATGAGAAACTTTGAATGCGTTATGGAGATGAAAAATAAATAAATACCAAACAAATATGTAATTAGCCTTGCATTATGTTGTGATATTTTAATTCGATTCATTTGATACATGTACAAGATTTTTGGTTTATTTCTTGTTTCTACAAGAGAAAAGAAAACATTGAATTCGAAACACATAATCGAGTAAATACAATGAAGAGAATAAATGAACAAGTTGAGAAAGGAAGAAAGAAACACATAATAAAACCGTTGAAAAAATACATTACACACAGCATTTGGCTTGGTTTATGCAATACAATAGAAATAAGATATCAAAAAACATCCATTGTTTATACAAAGAAAAAAAAATCGAAACTATTTCAAAGTGACATTTTTTGCAACATAAGCAGAATTCACCATGTAAATGTATAATAGCTTCTGATCATTTATCCAAGAATGTAGGATTGTACCACAATTCAGCGTAAAAATGCTGAAGATGTTCAATCTCTTACACAGCAGGTGCAGTAGATGCCGAAAGGTAGAAGCAGATGGCAGATTCAGAAATACTTACAGTCTTTTGTTTGTAAGAGTCAATGCTCATTGCAGCGAATGTATCTGCAAAACATACCGAACTCAATCAATTTCTAGTGGATGTGAAGATGTACCGGACCATGTTTGATGCTATCGAACGATCTTGGCGTATTCGAATCATGTTTCCACTAAACATCGATTTGATTCATTTATTGTTGAAATCAATTCCCCAATTCATCGACTCTCATGTTGAGCAGCTCGGTCGTCATTTCGGTATTATTTTTTTTTTTTGGTGAAGCGTTCTATGTGTTCCTATAGAGAGAAAGAAAAGCTAAGGCCGAATGAACTAGATTGAATGAATAATTTCGAATTTGGATATTAGTCTTGATTTTTATTGATGACTTACGACTCCTGACAATAAGAGTAATGTGGCTGAAACTCGATGATTTCAGAGTTTCAACTGTAGCCTATGGATGTTTTTTTTCATTTAGCTTAATTTTATTTCGTTTTTCAGTTAAAATAGTCGCAAATTGTTTGAATCGCAATCTTCTTCTTTTTTGGTTTCAAAATATCAACACACTTTTCAAAAACTGTAGAGAAAAGTGAAGATAAGCTGTGCTCAACCGCAATGATCTAGAGAGAGGTTTTCAGTAGTATTTGCATTGATAGTTTTTTTGAGATTGGTCTAAGCGAAAGCAAAAAAAGAAATAGAAGAAAAATAAAACCGAAGGGCATTCAAAGTGCACACAATCTATTGTTTGAATAACATTCAAATATGGGCAATATTAGCTCTCACGATGTGTTTATTTCTAAATTCGCAATTCTTAGGCGAATGGAGACACAAACCGATGATAATTTAGGTTTTTTTTTCTCTCAATTTTTTTTTTGAACGAAAAAACTATATATTCAATATGATCAATATGATCACTTGATGTCAATTGAATAAATTAGAATTTAGTCGAAACACTCGCATAAAAGAAAAAGTGTGGAATTTATTTTCAGCTCTTCATCATATGTATATTTTTGAATTGAACCATTTCCTCTTTATAATCACCTATGAAAATTTGTAAACAGTCTTCAAAATTGTCGGCATTGAGTTTAAGCGAAATGAATATGGAAAGAAATCAGATAAAGAATAAACCAAAATGAATGAGAAAAAAACACACACAATGGCAATACCTAGTTCTTTATATTAAATATGCATCAATTCCAAAAAAAACCCTTCTCGTATCCCATTTAATAGTACTAAAGTTAAAACAACAACAATAACAACAGCAAATTATCAAAGTGTAATTCTCCTCTAATATTTTAATCGTGGATACTACAATCTAAAAGAAAAAAAAAACTCTAAATATCGAAGATGTATAAAAAAAAAATTGTAATTTATTTATTCAATTTTTCCCCCTCATCTAAATGGTTAAAAAAAAAGCAGAACGGTCATAACTCTTTCTCGCCCATTTGATTAATCAAATCGAATATTCGATCGATCGATATCGACGACGACGATGACGATACATGGAAACGATCAACATGGACTCAGGACAGAAATTCAGTCCATACAATTTCGTATCAATTTAAAGAGTTTATTATGCCGTTTTTTTAAACTATTATGTATATAATTGATTATACAATGAAAATTTATATTTAAAAATTGACAGCAGCCACAACAAAAAAAAAACACAACACTAAACAACGGATTGAATTTGAAAATCCCGAATACAAAGGAACATTTTACTAATATTTGTGCGTTGCCGTTACAAAAAAAAAACACATTTATATGAATCATAAACAATAATAATTAAAAGAAAAATCATTGACTGAATCTAAGGAATAAATTGAATAAGATCTAATTAAAACAATGAAGCAGCTAAACAATAACAAAAACAAAAGAACAATTATTAATCGTCGCCAAGACACGTAAAACTCACCCATTTCAATATGATGCATGGCGTTTTTTTTTCTCTATCGCTCAATAAATTCTTAGGGAGTTTTTGATGAAGAAGCAAAAAAAAATGTCATGCATCACTTTGTACGGTAGAGATTGGCCGTTCAAGCGAAATAAACGAAATATTAATTATATTATGGAAAATTGAAATAGACACGTATTTATGAAACATATTACATTCGTTCGACACACAAACTGGCATATTTGTTGAATGAATTGGGTAGCCAATTCTGGCGAATCGAATATGATATTCGAAATATCCAAATCGAAGAGTAGAAAATGGTGTACCGTCTAGTGGTGTTGAGTCGGTATATCACCATCCTCCCAATTTGCCCTCGAATTTGGCCCGTAAAATCATTCATTCACAAATATTTCATTTCGTTTGCCGAACAATGATCATATATTTAAATATTTATACAAATAAAATGCAACAAAATCGACAAATAAATCTACCACACACACACTTTTATTTATTGACTCACGTACACGATATTGTCGTATATGGAATTTCTAAAGACGAAGACGGAAGGAATCCCATCAGCTAGATACTTCCGGTAAGTACTAACATTGGCAACCTGTTGCATTTTTTCCGCTTTCATCAGAAATTGCTTTGAAATTCGTTGAATGGAGGCAAAAACCGGAAAACTTTAATCGAAAAAAGAGAACGCTCGATGGGATAAGTATATATCAAAGCGATTAGGGAGAAAATTAGGGAAAATGAACACAATTGAAAATGCAACTTATCCGGTTTTTTTCTTGGAAAAGACTTCATTGTGGAATTTTATTGAGATTTTCTTTTATATATTAAAACGTAACATTTTGTCATAGACATTTGTGTGTTTTTTTATTATTCATATTTGGTTGTTGTGTTCATTTGTTAAAGAAATACGATTTGGTTTGATTTAAATACAATTGAAATGGTACGGTTCAAAGTATTTTATAACTAGAAAAAGAAAAAAAAATTAATTAATAGAAAATGCATTTTTTTTGCACTTGCTACCGACAACACCTGACAAATTTAAATATAAAAAAAACATTTTGGTGACGTTACAATTGGCTTGAACATTTTCATTATTTTATTTGAATAGATTTTTTTTCTTGAATATTTGGTAAGAAAATATTTGGGATTTTTTTTGTTGTGTTCATTCATTGAAATGTATGTGTTTCACTCGAACAGCTTTGTGTTTTCATGTCTAGTCTACTGGTATACCATTTGCTACAGCTAAGGGCACTGACTAAAACAAAACAAACGAACGAACAACATTCAGTGTTCATGGTCCGGCGATAAATTATTCTTATCTCTAGATCGATTCTTTGGTTTTAATTCACTTAAGGCATTATGTATGCGGAAGTGCAAACGTGACTCCAATGAATATCCCGTGTAATTTTTCCTGCAAATGAAACAAAAATTGAAATTATCGACGAATTTTGGATTTATGTTGGAAGTCGAATCGAGTCTTTCTCTTTCTCCTTCACTCAATCGAATGGGGAAAAAGGAAAATTATTGAGCTTACTTGGCATCTTCAAGTGCAGCAATGGCAGCATCAATGCGCCCACTATCAATGTACAACCAAGCTATTTCCACAATAGCATACGGCACCAAATATTCATCCTCTTTGATCTCTTTATGCAAATTCACCACACCTTCGAGACATCTAAATACAACAACAACAAAAAAACGGGGTTTTCTTCAATGATTTTTCGTTTTTTCGTGCAAACAAAAGGATGATGCAATATGAAAATCACTTACTGTAATGCCTGCAATGGACTCTTCATTTGACGAAGCACAGCACCTTTCAGCAATAGAATCAACGCACGATTTTCCACATCGTATTTGGTGCGTTCGGTTCGAGCGTCTAAATCCTGTTGAGCCTTTTCGATGAGCCGATACACATTGTCGGCCAAATGGTAGTGTTTTCCCAATATTTTGAATGCATTCCACAGGTACATTAGTTCAACGGCTGGCAGCACCAGATGCTTTTTTTCCGCAAAAAAGCGTTCGGCTTTTTTTATCGTGAATTTTTCCATTGGCAACGATTTTCCGGCAATACGTTGCTTGTATTGAGGCACTTCGCTGCGAATTTCGAAAGATGAGAGCAAAAAACAAGAAAGAGAGAGAGAGGGAGAGATGGAATGTCGTTATAGTTTTTCTCCGGCAGCGAAAAAAAGAGAATTGGTATCCGTTAGGGTGAATGAGAATCAAAATAAAATTACCGCATAAGATTTTCAATAGTTTGCAATTCCGATGGTGTTAGGTCTTTTTTATCACGCATTAGCATCACAACAGCTCGTTGATACGTGTAGATCGTACGCGACCATTTGCTATGCTCGCACAACAACGATGCAAATATTTCTGCTTCCTTCCAGTTCAATTTGGCGCTAAGTTTACGAAGGCGAAGGCGGAGGTGGAAGGAGAAAGAGAGAGAGAGATAGAGAGAGAGAGAGAGAAAGAGAAAGAGGTGGGGAGATAGAGAAAACCATTTTCATTTAACACCTGCTCTGAATATTGATTCGGGATTACATAGAGTACTCGCATACATACCAATTTACCCATAAAATTTCCCAGAAGCATAAATGATGGAATTGAGGCCAGAGATCCTGTGATTTCCATGATTTTTTATACCAAACCAGCGCTTCGTCCAAATTACCTTTCATAAATTCGAGACGACCTTTGAAAAACAAGAACCATACTCCCTTCGGATACACCTGGAACAAAACAATCAACAATCTATTCATACACACGTTCTTCACTTTGCTCCTCTTATCTGGTCTCTGGATTATAATAATTTACCTTCAACTGGTTATTGAGCACTTCATCACAAAACTCGATATCACCTTCTTGATGACTTAGCACATAGCATACGATCAAGTTATAAGCTAACAGGGTCATAACACAAAGTACTTGCCGGATACCATCCATTTCGCAGCCAAGTTTAAGGTCTTGCAAACCAGTTTGCTATTTTAAATCAACACAAAAAATGAATAACACCACATCAATAACAGTCAACGACACAAATTCATCATATATTCATTAGTTGATGGAAAGACGAGTAGAAATAAAAACTCGTACCTTGTTGCCCGAAAACCCGATAAATTCCAATAGCCGGATAACACGACCTGGTAACAGTGACACCATCAAATTAAATGTACCCACGCCCATTCGAACACCACTTTCGAAATGATTTCTCGAGCCCGTCTGCTCCCATTGACGCTTCTCCAGTATTTGCATACATTCTCTGGAATGAACACCATCCAAATGTGAAAATGTTGCCGATTGTATTCGGTCAAGAGATTTTTCTCTTCACTTTCAAAAGAGAAACAGAGAGAGAGAGATACAGATAGAGATAGAGAGACTTCAACTCACTTGTAACTATTAAAACATGTGCGAATTTTAATGCCGCCTTTAATTAGACTCGTTAGAGTTTCATCTTCGATGAATGTTAATAAAGCTTTTAAGAGAAGTGCTTCGGCCGAACAAAGTTCAGCATGCGCTTCAAATTCGGTGTATTGCTCATAGTTATGCTGGTGAAGTGATAAAAACAATTTGGATTAGGATTGATTTTTCTTTAAATATAGTATAAAAAGATCGGCAACGAATGATAAAGACAACTCACCCGTTTAAACGTTTTGCCTATGCTTTCGGTGATGGTGTTTTTCTTGCGATGTCTATTGCACACCGCCAAACATTTGTTAATCGCTTCCGACGCTTTGACGATGTGCTCGTGCTCAAACGTTAGAACCGCTTCCAGAAAGAGAAATACACAATTCCCAATGGCATGATACATGGACGACTGAGACCTAATCTCGCCACGGAACCAATTGAATTTCCAAATTGAATGCTTGCCAAGAAATTAAGTGAATTTTGATCACGAAATGACTTACCATGGTTGCATCAGCTGTTTTGCTTCTGTAAATTTATTATTGAAGAAATAATCCACAGCCAGTTTTGCCTCTGCTAACGATGTTTCCAAATCCATGTCACCCCTAAAGGGAGAAAGAGAGAGATCAAGAGAGAGAGAGAGAGAGAGAGTCGGCCTATGTCATTATGAACAAATTATCAAAGCTCAAGCTTAAACTCGAAAAAAATCCACAATTCCACATTAATAACCTTGCACGTAGGTTTTTTTTTGGATTAATCACATAGAATTAAGGGCGGAAAAAACCGACCGCTTTAGTTTTGGCCAAAGTTAATTAAAGATCAGTGAAAATTAAGGATTTGAATTGACCCCAATTAAATGCAATTTGTGTAGTTCGCACGAGAATTAAATTTGTGATTAACGTAAGCATTTACAATATCAAAATTAGAACGTTTTCAAATGACCGCTGAGCGAAACCAGTGACAAAGACTAAAGAGAAGAACGATATCGACTAAAGAGAAGAACGAGAGGGAACGATAGAGAAGACGACAATAGAACATTTAAAACCGTGACATAGTGTAGTCTGCAATTTTTTCACGCCGCATTCAATCATTCTTTGCAAGCAATTTATTCATTTCGAAAGCGAAAACTTGTTCATGGGTTTTTAATCACTTAATCGAAGACATTTTGCCATTTATTTAATTGCATATTGACGAAATCAAATTGATTCGATTTGATTTGGTTGAAACTCGTTTCATTCTCTTTCACTCTGTCCTGTGTGTCTCTCAATGTCTTCATTATTTTTAATTGAGTGGCAAATGTGTGCGGTGTGTGCGCGTGGTAATTGGCATTCAGTATTATATTTCGAGTCAACAGCAATTATGCAAACGATTTAACGAGTTAAAAGTACTTACATTTTTGGAATTGGATCTTCAACATCATCCCATGCATCTTGAAACTGAAAATGGAATGTGTTATATGTGGGGGGAAAAACCGTATCTGTGTACTTATGTATGTGTGTGTGTTTTTTTTTCTCGTTCTTCTACAATTTCCGTTCAGTGTAAATAACATTGAATGGCATTTCGTGCATAATATTGAATTCCTAAATAAAATCGGTAATCAGTTGGAATATTGCACATATATCTGTGCACAATGGAATTTTTGAAATTGGCATTTCAGTTGGGTGCATAGTTTGAATGGATGGTTTGATTGGCAGGCACCGATCCGCACTTCTCACAAATTGTTCGGCTCACAATGATTTACGCGTGTCATGGGAGATATATGTGCGCGCGCTCGTTCGCGGTGTGCAAATGATTAAATTTAATTGGCCTGTTTATATGCATGGAACGTGTGTGCACAACTAGAATATAATTGCTGATGCCGTAAATAATTAGCAAATCTAAAAACAATTCGCAGCCAAACAACTCCATTTCATGCGAACGACATTTCAAGTAAATATTTTTCTTTTGACGAGAGAAAAAGAAAAAAAAGAACACACAGTTCAGAATATTATCACAGAATCGGTTGATATCTTTAACAACGAAATCAAAACGCGGCCAATGGAACGCAAACTCACTTCCACTGCGGAATCATTGAAGCATTAGTCATAGTGGCAGCGAAAGATAAATACTCAAATCAAGAGTAAAAATATATTTCGTATTTTTTTTTGTCGTTGTTGTTTCGTATCAAAAACATCAGCAAAATTTTTATATTATGTCTGTCCTTGTTCAATACAACCGAGTCATATGGACTCTCATTTTCAGCGCGCGCGGCGCTGAAATACAAACAAAAGCGAGAAAATAAATTCATGTTGTATTTTATTCTTCGCATTTTCTTCGTCATTCAATTTTATTTTCGACCTTTTCACTGCGTGTAAGTGCAAATCCGTATGTGATTTTGTGTGGTAACAATTTGAATATGAATTATGCATAAAAAAGCAGAATTTAAGCGAAATATGTTTGGGGTCAGCGTAATTGAATTAGGCTGTTGTTGGGCTTCGTAAGTAACGGAAAACAAGGGGAAAAAACGTACTATCGGTTTAAAAAAAAAAGGAATGATTGCAACAGTACAAAAAATTGCCCAGAGTGCGGTAATGGTGACGGCGACGACGACGACGATGACAACGACGACATCAACAGCCTATTAGAGTGAGAGGCAACACCACATCGAAAATAGCGGGTAGAAAAAGGTTGCACACAACATATTTATAAATAGCCCAAAACATCAATATAACGCCTCGAATGAACGCTGAAGATATAATATTTACACTCCGGACGGTGTGTAAAAATTGTATGTACGTACATGATACACACAGTACACACACACACACACACACACACACACACCATTTTGTGACCATGGTACACGTGAATAAACCGTCAGCCACAAATATTGCAAAAGTCACGTCGGCCAGTCGACTAGTTACTCATTTTTATAATGTTCTCATGCCTTGTAAGCAATAAATTAAGAGCGAATTAGTTTGACTTGTCATTAGTTTTTATCGCAAAAGAATTTGAAGAAAACGAGGCGACAACCGACTGGGAGACGAAATGAGCAAAAAAAAACGGACGCAAAAACTAGCGTTTGTGCGTCAATAAGCGATCGGAAGGACTGTGACTATGATCGAGCGCAAGAGACAGAGAGAAAAATGAGCTCCAACTTGTGGAAGTGATTTATCTTAGTGAAAAATCATCAGTACCATCAAGGAATAATCAGCATATCTATTTTTCTTTCCCATCATTTCAGTTGCTTTTAAATATTCGCTCCATCATGAATATCCATGCTGAAGCGGTGGGATATTTTCATTTCGTAAAGGTCATGCTCTGTGCATCACCTACTTATAATTCAGATAACGTTTCATTTTATGAGAAATTCGACAACGGTATGGGTTTTGTGTGTCTTTTTCTCCTTCTTTTGTACAACAAAATGTCTAGTATTTAATTGATATGCACAAGTCATAGGTGCAGGATATAACATAACCTCGGCACGCTGATCGTTGCACTTTTCATTTAAACCATTCAACCTCACACTCGTTACGTGTATGTGTGTGTATGTGCGCGCACGCTCCGCTTCGCATCGAGTACGTGCTTAAATATATTCATCACGTCTAATAAAATGTGTGCGAGACAAGAAGTTCTCAGATTGATATTTGATTCGTTTGTCATTAAAATGATTTATAGTCTGATGATGAGCTGAATAGCAAGCCATATCGAATGCTAGATAAGTTGCTTCAAAAGCTCGCTTTCATCATAATTCCGGCGAATGTTATCTTCAAGTGGATTTCCATTGAAATTCTGTTGTACGACTTGAGTCATATATATGTGTGAGTCTTTTTTTTTCTCCCTCTATCCCTCTTCATTCCACCCTCTCACTCTGCCCCGTTGCCTATGTTTGGTTTGTGCGATATTGCGTTCACATGATATGTCTCATCCTGTCCAAGTTGGGCGCTTTGAAGTGACAAGGAAATTATGCTGCTGCTGTTGCTGAGCAGCATAACAACAGTATTGTCATCGTGTCAAGCAACTGGATTCTTTTGCATATTGTAATTATACGTTATCATCGGTAATCATTGTCATCATCGTCAGCCATTAGTTCGTCATGCACTGGTCGCCGACCTAATCATAAGTGTAATCAACTCAACCAATCGACAAAGAACCATTATCATTTACTCCAATGTGACGCTCTATTAAATATGATGCTGAAGCATACACCTCATACGCATTATCTGCCTTGCCATTGCTAACAAGCAACGTTTTTTTGCGGCTGATTTTTTCTCAATTGGTTTTTTCATTTACAGCTCATGCTTAGTATTTATGCATTTGCAATGAATTTAGATTAGAACATTTTTTTTGACGGTCAATTCAATGAGAAATATAGAATGTCAATGTGCATTATAAAATTTGCATTTAAACATAATATGTTGGACATATATGCGCTTACAAACTCATACGAAAATAAAATGTGGAAAAAGAAATCGAATGTAAATGTCGCTTGCATTTTCGATATTATTTCATTTTTTATCCACTCAACTTGCCCCGGTGAAATGTTTTTATTCGAAGGATTTGGGAATTGTTTCAATTTCAAATCACGTTATTATTTTCGTTTTTCCATGTATATTAACAATCTAAACATGATCGAAATCGCTGCTAAATTGCATGAGACGTGAGCCGCACTCGCTCTCGTCGATTCACAAATAGATAGATAATGAAATATTCATAACAGATGTTTTCATAATTATTTACTCAATTCAATAAATCTTTGCTGTAATTGGCGTGTACCTCAGTCATACGGTCGAAATGCGTTTAAAAGTGAAAATTCCATGGACAAGATTCTAAATTGTGTAACGCAATTTCGACGATTTTCTATTTAACCGCACAGCATTTTTGCTCAATTATTGTTTTCGTTTTCGTTTATTTCTATTTTGTTTGTTTTGTCAGAAATATTTCCACGTTCAGCAAATAATTGGGTTCGTTTGGGTTGGTTCGGTTCGGTTTTGCGTGCACATAAATGCCACGCATTCGAAACGATTTCGACCTTATCAGCGGACCAGCGCATATGATCACAAATTCGTTCAAAATCTCAACGGAATTTTCAATTGGGAATGAAGGCTTCAATATTCATCTCCACACAGCAAATTAACAAACGACTGCCTGCACATATTTTTCATTTATGATGAATGTTTTCTCACGCAAGAACAGCAAATAAACAACATTCAGAAACAATCGATTCGATGATCTGATTCTAGTCGGACATTTCGTTTCTTTTAGAAAAAGTATGCTTTAATTAAACTCTCTTCTCAAATTAACAAGGCAATCATTGCGATTTTTCTCTTTCCACTTTCATTCGCGCCACGCGCACGTGTGTGCAGTTTCTGTAGTGGGGCACATTCGGTATTTGTGGTTGATGCTGGTTGAGATAGTGCCGGTATTAATTTGAATGAATGATCGTACGTCTTTGATTTATGCAATTAAAATGAAATCGCAGTTCTCACAGATTGAAATTCTCTGTGTTGTCGCATGGCGCTGACTTTTGAGTCAATCAATATTGAAAACATTCGCTAATCACAATCAATCAGAACAGAAAAAAAACAACGGTTGTTAGAATTGGGGCCGAACGAAATGATCAAACGAGCTAAGCATTTCCATAAATGCTTTTCGGTGTTTGAAGTATGCGCAATGCGCATTTTAATGGTTCAGTTATATACGTGGTTCATTGAGCAGAGCACGTTTCGCGTGACATTCATTAAAAATATCATCCTCACACAGGAAATGCACATTATCCGATCACAGCCGTGTGCTGTCACAGACGAAATACACATTGTGTTTGGCGAAATGTGGATTTGCTATCTACTGTGTCGCAGGCAACAAATTGAATGTTGCGTTAAATGACTAGGACAATAAAATCGACAAAATCACGGAACGAATACAAAATTGCCATAGCACATACGAAAAATTGATTGCATCACTCTTATCGATAAGAGGGTTGTATTCTAAAACGAATCATTATCGATTGTTGAAAGCGGGCATACACACCAAATATAATGTAATAGAATCTAGTGGCATATGCTACTAGTAAGCAAATTAAGTTACATCCACTAATAAATGAACAAAAAATGTCAATAAATGAACGATATTTAAATGAAATACTGAAACTGAGTGATGCTCCGCGGTCGGTTACGATTGATAATAAGAGATAAGCGATAACTGTCTTTGGTAAAAGTATAGAAGAACTCGAGTACTACAACTTTGTTGAAGACACCAAACCTCTATCTCTTACCAGCATCACGAGAATCGTGATCGACCGCGGAGCATCACTCAGTTTCAGTATTTCATTAAAATTTCGTTCATTTATTGACATTTTCTGTTCGTTTATTAACAGATGTAACTTAACTTGCCTACTAGTAGCATGTGGCACTATATTCTATTACTTTATATTAGGTGTGTACAATGTTAACAATGCAATCGAGTTCCATTTGACCGGTTAATCTGGTCAGCCATTTGAAATTAACTCAAAAATACGAGTATGTGTGTGTGTGTGTGTGTGTGTGTCACACACCAGAATAAAATCTCAATGCAAATATTTCAATAAATATCGAGAGCTATGGAGATTGGTGTCATTTTGTTTAAAACGACAACAACAAAGCAATCACAGAATAGGTAAGATTATAATCGATTCAAACAAAGAGTATCGAATCGTTAAGCGCGCGTAAGTTTGTTGTGTTTGTGTGTAAGTGTGTGTGTGTGTGTGTTTTTTTTTTGCTTTCCGGTTTCATTCTCACTTCAGGTTCCGAAATTTATGATAAAAACTTGAATGACTGATCCGAATTCAAAAATTGTGTGCAAAATTAAATGTATGAATGAATTGGTGCTTTTTTTGTTGTGTTGTCTGAACATACCTCATCATCGTCTTCGAATGATGGTTTCGCGTCGATTTCCAGCGATTTTGATGTGGTCAACGATGAAGCTTGCGGTAATGTCGGGTTCATTTTATGTGAGGCGAACGTATCCATTAGGTGGAAGAGGTCAATTGGTGGGAGGTTGAACTGTGTCTCAGGAAGCTCAAATTACTGTCTATGTGTCTGTGTCTGGTAATTCAACCACGATGACCACCACCTGAACAAATGTGAGAAATAACAAACCAAATGAATTTACCACTTAAAATTTCGTTTGATGTCTAATTAAATTAGAAAAGAGAATTCGATTTATTTGTATTTTCGTTTCTTTTGTTTGGTTTCGTTTGGACAATACTTCAATTGAACATTTTCGCAAATGTTAAAACAAAATTACATTCACGCTTGTTTTTTTTTCTTCTTCACATGCATCCAAAAACCGTTCGTGCGAATTTATAATAATAAACAGCAAACAGAAGTTGATTAGAAAGCGTATCGGAAATGGAAATGCATGTATGCTACTCGCAAAAATGCGTGAAATGTTGAATATAACAACCGAAATATTGTCGAGACAAACCACAAAAATAAAATTAAAAACTTCAAATATTTCACAAATTGTCACGAAATTGATTTCAAAACTGTCAACGAATTTTTATGAGTCGCTTACTGAATTTGATATTTCAGTCTGAAGCCAAGTAAATATTTTTTTTCTGCTTACTTTGCAATACGCTAAAACGCGTATGTTTGGACGAGAAAAAAAAACACAGTAAGCTATTTTTTCCTTCTTCAAATCGTTGTGTAATTTTCGTTTGTTCTTTTTTTTACTTCAGTTGCGGCAAATGAATATTTTTTTCTTTTGGTTTTTTTTTTTACTTTAGTCGACCAAACCGATGTCTTTTTCCGACCAAACCGATACACTTTCTGATTTCTTCTAATTTGATTTAGATTTTATGATTTTTTTGTTGTCCGAATCCTGTAAAATTTCAAATCAGAATAAATGACGGCCAAGCGTGTACGGTTTAGTTAGCTTTCGTTGCCAAAGAAAAGTGTCGCCTGCTCTGTATCCGTACCGTATGTTGTATTGTCACGCTTTCGTATTTGTATACGGCTCAGTGCTGTATGACCATAACAATGCCCACTTGATTGTGTTCCATTATAGGTATTATTTGTGTTGTTGTTGTTGTTGTTGCTGGTGTGTTTCATTGTTTGAAGTGACAAAAACAATCATACAAGTATGTAATCGGCCGCTGTTGTTGTTGTTTTATTTGTTTGCTTCGCTCGAAGACATACATGAATAGTGAAGAGATATTAGAGGCCGTACGCCACAATACAGTGGCAATTGTTGGTTGATTATTTTTCGTCTTTTTTTTTCTCTCTCATATGCACTCGATGGAGTAAGCTTGAGTGCGATATATTATATATCAGACTATACGAATCAAATGTGGATCAAAGTGGTGAATAAATAGATGGTAATATACACATAACTAAATCATAATTCAGATATGATACACATTAGGCATTAGGCTAAACTGTACATTTGCACATATGTTCCAGTACATATATATCACCTAATTAATAAGCGGCAAACGTGAAAACAACAACTGAATGGAATACAATATGTAGCAGTGCGGCGACAGAAAAAAAAAATGCGCGAACAAGAAAGAGAGGGACATTTAGAGTGGCAATGAAAAAAAAAGAGAGAGAGAGAGAGAAATGGTTCATCGAAAACCATATGAAAGCTGGAGCATGGCAGTTTCATAATGTATTCATATTTATGTGTTGACTGGTTGTACTTTTGCTTGGCCATCATCAATGTCAATGAGCAAAAAAAAAAATTCAAATAAATACAATGTTAAATATTGTATTGCTCATAAATTCGATCTCGCACGCTTACATATCATACACACTACTCATATATGCTGATTAGATTTTCGCCACTGCGATGCTCGCATATGCCTATTTATATTTTGTGTACACATACGCGGCCAAAATGATTGGCACGTGCATTGTGTATACTCTTCTGTTTGTACCGTTGCGTTCGCGCGCACTAACTCACATACCATATAATAAACGCATTGTAATCATATGGTACCGGACTATGAAGACGAAAAAAAGTCAAGCCAAAGGAAAATATGCTTTCGAAACGGGGTTTGTGTGTGTGTGTGATTAAATCCAAATTATCGGAGCGTAATCAAGCGTTCAATAAACATTTGTGCATTGAGAATTGTCACAAATACATGCGCAAATAATCGCTGCCGCTGTCACCGCCAACGATAGCGTCACCGAATCTCTGTTAACCATAACAACTTGAATTCAGTTAAAGCTGACGAGCATCATCATCAGATAATGATAACAATTATTATTTGTTTAACACTATTTGTTCGATGAACTTATGAACTCTGTACTTCTCTCTAGCTCATACTCACTATCTCTCTCTGTCTTTCTTTCTCTCTGTGATTTTTCTTATCATTTCTGGGATGAACAACGTGTCCTGATATCGGTTGGCTGTGCAATCTTAATGCGATTGAAAAGAAAAACATAACACTGCATTGTGTCCTCCATCACAGCCAGAAGAAAAATAACAAGTAAAATATAATCCGAAAATAGGTCCAACAGTCAATTATATCGATTGAAATCAAATATTCATCCGAAGAACCAATAAAAGCATTTCTCTCTATCACACTTCGAAATGAACAACAACAAAATATGTCGAGTGGTTCTTCGGGAAAATTGAATCTTGAGTACATGTGATACAAAATGGTATCACATTGAGAATTCAACCACTTTTCACCACGACTGCATCACATTCCGATAGGGAACAGTGGACAGGATGACACACTCTAAGGATTCACACATTATTCGAATATCAAATGGCATTGAAACCAAACAAAAGCGCACGAAAAATTAAAAACCAAAAAAACAATAACATAAATTATCACCTGGACTGAAAGGTGTGTTTGGTTTGTGGGCTGGATTTCCTTAAATTTTAATTTGATGACATTGTTTCCTGTCTTGCAACACTATTCTGCGTTCTTGTGTGTACCCGAAGCCAGAAAAAACAACAATTCGAACAAGATTATGACACAACTAAATCTAATAACCAATAGCACACAACGTCAACTCAAGACTTCTGTGCAATGACTGATCCGATTTTTGTTTAATATTTCCGATGTGTTGTGTTTCGCCGTGTGTTGTTGTTTTTGTTATTTCGGGGCTTCTACTGGAATTCGTTCTATTAGCCGTTGTAGCAGCACGTTGAATTCGCTTTCACTTCCTAGTCCAACACTTGAAATACACAAAATTGGTTATTGTTGCCGTTTTTTTTCTCTCTCTCTCTCTCTCTCTCTCTCTCTCTCTTTCTCTGCGTATCGAGATAGAAGAAGTAGAAAAACAGCCACAAACTACACACTTATCGTCGAACTATGTTTGACCAAAGAGCAAAAACAATCCGTGAAACAGTAAACAAATTTGACACATATATATGTACGAATCCAGTCTGAATGGAGAGTAGAAAATGTATTAGATGAGTTTGTTTTCTGTGTTGTTTTTTCGTTTCTTCGATTCTGTTCTATTTGATTATTGTAATATATTTTTTTTCGGTAATGTGTGTACTTGGGTAGTACACAATGTGATTCGAATTGTTTGATATCTTGGGTGCAAGTATGAATTGGTAACGTGAAAGGGATAGCGCGAGAGTGCTGAGCTATATCTTGTGCTCGCTTCTCTATATATTTGTATGCGTTTTCTATACACATGCTCTCTTTTCTGCTCTTTCTACATACATGCTGTGTGTGCTCGGGCATTTGCGAGCGAGAGAAATTTGAATCATGGAAATTATTTGAACAGGCAAAAGTCGTAAACATTGCGCGTTTACAATGTAAATATGTGTGCTTTAGCGTTAAGTTGGCGCACATGCTGCTCTGTGTTGCCGCCACCGCTTGCTCAATCTTTCTCTCTTTTTTGTCAAATACTGGTGTATGTTTGTGTGTGTGTGTGTGTGACAATGTCAATAGAAAAACACTTTTTTCCTTCCTTTCTTTCGCTCTTTCACTGCTTATGTTCATTTTTGCCTGTGTGTTCATTTCGCAACATATACGGGTGCCCGGGTTTGTGTGTATATCGATAATTCGCAGCAAATGAGAGCGCCCATTTTAAAAGCAGTCAACAATATTATGTGTAGGATTCTTTTTACTCATTTTCATTTGTGGCGATCTCAATTCAAGTCGTCATTGCCGACGGATGAAGATGATGATGATAAAATGACATTAATGCCAAGCAAAATAGATTAATATCAATGAAATGTTATTGAAAATCAAATGATGTTGAAAACACCCTTTTGTGCAACCGAATGTGCATACATGGTCATTATCAAGTATTTGGTGCGCAGAACAGCGCATCGGAATTGAATCGGAAGCAGAAACGGCTGTGGCCATCGTTAATTTTGGCAATGATGTAGTTATCACCCTGTTTCACATACACAAACAACCAGAAAAACCGAAACGAAATTGGCAGAAAAAAATTCCTTTGCCCGTTTGAATCAATGTTGTGGTGTGTACGGAATTATTATCGCCCCCTCCGGTTTGGACCTTGTATTTGAAAAGCATTGCTGAGTGCGAGAAAAAAAGAGATAAAATGACCACACACACACACACAGAGAGAGAGAGACACACGTATACAGCTCGGTTTCTCTCTGTCTCTCTCTTTCTGGTGTCTTTTGTGTGTGATAACACATCATCACCGACACAAATGCGATTCGTGTTGAGGCATCGTCATTTTCATACGTGTATATATTTGCAATTTAAACAATCGCCTCGAGACCTCACGACTCGAGAGAAAGAGAACACTCTCACCACAGCAACAGCGTTACCGTTTCATTACTCATTTCCCACATGACATTAAAAGAGAGCTAAATTCTCTTTTCATGCGTACGAATATTTAATGCATAGAAATGTGCGTATTGATATGAATAACCTATACACACGATATATTGTGAAAGTGAAAAAATATCTAGGTGTGTGAGAGAGAGTGTGTTATTGTGAGCGCTCACATCTTGAATCAATCAGAATTTGTATGAATTTGTAATTTACGAAAATAAAATCGAAACAATGTGATTCTACGTTAAATTGGCGAACTGTCGCCCATAGAAAATGCTACGAAATTGTTAAAAAAAAAATGATGGACACACTTGTTTTCGATTGTATTTTATTCCCTTAATAATATTTGTCTCGTTCATTTGGCATACGCATTTTTCCACAGTGAAATTTCACCACCGATTTCAATGTATGTTAGTGTATGAGTTTGCATAAAACGTTCATACATTTTCAACGGACATGCTCCGTTCAAATGTGGTCATACAAACGAAACGGTTTCAAATTTGACATTTCTATGATGATGAAAATGAAAAGGGAAAAATTCCATGTGAATTGAAATTGCCATACAGAAACGTATTTATTCAAAATGTCCATTCTGAAGTGGAATCTGAACTGCAACCAAAATGAAGAACGAGAGAAAAAAAAAACTCAACAAACCAAAACGTTGTTCGGGCTGCAAATCGAGTTAGAAACAGTAAAGGTATCAATGGGATATTTTTTTCCTTCTGTCGTTTTGAATTTGCACATTTAAACGGTGGCAAAGGCGAAAACATCGATCAAAAAAACCGAGCGAGACACATTTATGTGTTTGTTTCATGTGTCTGTGGTGTAGGTATGATATCCATGTGTTTGATTTTTCGATGATGTGTGGCCGTGCGCACACCAACCCAGAGCAGCCAGAGTGAGATGACAATATAAAGTATTTGACGAACAGTAAACAGTAAAAACTCTATGATAAACTCGATTAGACAGTGTAACATACTTCGAATCGCGCCTCGTTTGCCTGTGCACTGCAACTGCTCATGTGGTAGTATCCGTAGCATACACTCACTATTCGTTTCACTTTCGCTCGTTACATACGCCATATCGTGCATTCACTCGCGCCATTTGCCAAATTCTCATCGCATCGTATCAGCCAAACGAATTTGTATGCGATACACACATACACCAATACAGTCACACATACACACAGCGTACGGCGCACAAAATATCACACTGCTATTCGTCGTCGTTGTCATCGATGTCGTTGTCGTTGTCGGGTTCACCTGTTTCTATCTCATTCGTTTTCTGATTTTACGCAATGTCAAACATAGTGTAGATGCCTTCGTTCTAATAAGGTTCGCGCGTGTATTTATTATATTCTTCTTTGTCGACATTATTGATTGTCACTTTTTTTTCCACGATATACTTCATGTATACACACAGCAGTTTTTTACATCTCTCTGTCGTACCACACACGAAAAAGCGAAAAGAAACAACACAAATTTATTGGTAAAACGAATGAAAAAAAAAATCATCTTCACTTTTGAAACGACCTACGAGTAGCGAGAAAAAAAAATAAATATAAAGAATTAGAAAAAAAGAGCAAAAAAAAATAAAATTAACGGAATTAAATACGACAGCATAAGTAAAGAGTAGTATCATCGAGTGACACAATATTCTCTGAAGAGAATCGAAAAGGAAAAAAAAATCAGCGAAATCCACTCATTAAACGAATGCAATAGTTTTTTTCTTCTTCTGTCCAAGTTAGACATTGAAGAAAATCAACATATACCGAAAAGTCGAATGTGAAAGAACTTATAATATAGTTTTACTTTTTCCCCTGAAAAAAAGTGTGTTTTTTTTCTCTCGTTCAACCTTTTCGTTGATTATCGTTTTAGTTTTGAGAGAACCGACAAAGTGACAGACAGAAGAAGAGAGAACGAAAAATACGCAACAAAGTTTTAATAGTGAATTTTTAGTTTTTTTTTTCTGTTCTCTTTCATCGTCAAAAATACATATACATATAAAAAAAAAGAAGAAGCGAGAGAAAATTCAGTGTGCGCGAACAAAACAGTACACGCGCATTTAATGAGAGAGAAAAAAAAGAGAAGAAAACGAAAAGATATAGAATAAAATAAAAAAAAATTCGATATCGGATTTGGATATAAACTGTGATTGTGTGTGTGATAATTAATTAAAAGAGCTGAAAACAACATTTTACCTCTTGATAATTCCGAGATTCAAAGAAGAAGAAGAAGAAGAAGCAGAAGAGAAACAAAAAAATCGCTTTCATTTTTGCTTCCTTTCGTACGGGACGACAAAATGTTGAACGCAAGTAAAAGCAACAATTAAATTTATACACAATGCCAATGTGTATGGCGGTAGTGCTGTATGGTGTGCTATAACTGTGGTATCACCGAAAACGGGCTAAGTTTCCAAAAACAAAAATCAAAAGAAAAAATTACTTTTATTATTCAACCAATCAGTTTTATTTTATATTTGATATTATCGAATCCATTGTTATTATAGATATATATTTTTTTCCACCATCGTACTCGATACATTGTTGGGGCTTAAATGTTTAATGAGATGTGTATACACATCGTGTGTTTTTTCTATTAACAATAAGAATTGATAAATATTTTTAAAGCAGTTTTTCCTTTATCTTTATTGGTCATCTGTAATCTATCTCATTCGCTCCTCTACTCATTTCATTTGTCTTACTCGCTCTAGTTGTTGTTGGCTCTTTTTCGTGCCAATTCGTGTCGCTCTGTCCGAACAGTGACTGATTTTTCTTCTTATTATTTTTATTCTGAATCGGCTCTTCTCTCTATCAATTGATCAGTCGGTCGGTTGGTCGTTTGATCGGCCGAATGGCTCGCTTTGTGTGTGCATAATTGTATTTTTGCGTCGGTTTGCGCATTTCTCTAGTATTTACACGAAACACAAATTAAGCAGCTTGCTGTTCGAGAATATTAAAGGGCTAACGTCTTTTTTTGTTCTTCGATGCTATTAGATAAAATGAAAGCGAACGAGAAGGGGGGATACAGAAAGAATCGAAAGAAACGATTGATTCAATCGCGTGAAAACAGCATGCTATCTTCGAAGAAAAAAATAACAAATCGTGCCAGTAGTTATGAAAAAAGAAAATACAAGCGGCGGCAATAACGGTGCAAATATGGTACAACCGTAAATAGCTTGCTCTTTCTCTTGACAAATACACGCAAATCTCTGCTGCTGTTGCTGCACACACTTCTAATCAATGTAATTTATTCAGTGAAACCGAAATGGGTTTTGGAGATAACAAATCACCTACTGCTCTTTTTGAAATTTTCAATTTTCCGCTGTTATCGAGTGCTGTGAACTACACTAGCCAACAACTGTTTCTCATTTTTCTTTCACACATCATATTCTTATCACTATTTCTGTGAAATCTATTTTTGATGCGAGATCGAAAATGACATCTATCTCTGTCCCGTTCTCTCTCTCTCTCTCTGCTGTGTGCTTCTTTTCTTCTGCCACATTTTCCATTATTAGCGTACGCATCATTATTTTAATGTATTTCCGAAACGAATTTTGTCGACTGGTCCAGCTCTGACTGTTCGCTCGTATTAATTATTTTTCTTTGTTGCCATTGATATCATCTATGTTTGCATAGGTGTCCAGTGCCAACGGAATAACAAATATCATCTGAAATCAGATGTTTTGAAAGTGCGCGCACGGAATGGGACGAGATCGACCAATACATGTTGACAATTGAATTTAGGTTAACGTAATATTAAGCATTTTAGGTGTATATTGATAAATCAACGCACCATGAAATTAATGTGGAAAACAGTACCCATAAAAAAGTGGTGTGTCTGTAAGAACATCGATTCATGAAATTCGACATATAAAAGGCGAAACATTTGAAAACAACAAAATTTTGGTTAATTCTATTTTACCTCATATTTTGTTTCCTCTCGACAAAAAAAAAACAAAATTGAATCTGAACATAGTATAGTATAGTCTATGGATGGCATTTCTATACGAATTTGCCACATATGTATAGTTCTTTACATACGTTCACTTGGTATAAATATTTACTTTGGGTTTTTTGGCTTGGAGCCTCTACACACACACACACACACACACACACACACTCTCTCTTTCTCTCTCTCTCTTTCTTACTCTATTTCTCTCGATTTGGTTCACTTGCGAGTGGCGGCGGCGTCGGTGGCGACGATGTACAAGCATTTTCGATTTCGTACACAAGAAATTGAAAAACAACACAAGAAAAAAGGCAACTCACACGGAAGGGCGAACGCTCGGGCGCGCTCGACTGTTGTGAGCACAGTCAGGACTGTTGTGAACACATGAGAGGGAAAGTGAGCGAAACGAACAAATGAGTGAACGCGATTTGTGTGTATTTTAAATGAACCTTTTGGAATATCGGTATGCAGAGCTTGTGAATATGTAAATTTTGTATACATAAAATCACACAACATCTAATGTGGACACCATCGGTGTATGAAATTATGGGTCTAACCGTGCATGCATATATATATATATATATATATATATTTCGAAGAGCGCATAAAGTGAAACCGAGTTAGCTCGTATTGATTATGGTTAATAATACGCGCGGCTGAAGAAAATTCTATTTTACGATAGGAACCCATATACGGACTCAAAGTCAACGTGATGGAGAGTTCAGAGTGCTGTTTTTTTTTTGTTCGAAAATACAAAAATAATGCCGACGAAATGTTGTATGTTTTTTTCTTCTTCCCAAATTCTAACTATTTTTCTCTCACTTCTCTTTGGTATACATAAAAGTGTAAATATTCGTTTGATATTGTTTCATCGATGCCGTTGTTTCATTGTCTTTATTCAATATGATTTCCGTTTATTTATTTTTTTAGCAAAGATGGTTTTCACACGTTACAAGATATGACTCAGAATGGGCTATATTGTTTTTGAAGCAAAACTAAGGCAATTGTTGCTATCGAATTTTTTCTTCCAGTAAGCATTTCATTTGGTTGTGTCAAACAATAAGCAACTAACACACATACAGAAACAGAGAGTGAAAGAAAAATTGAATCGAATACAAGAAATTCAATTAGAATGTTCCACCATATGTGTGTATATGTGAGAAAATTGGCTCTGAATTATGCGTTAAACGACTCGTTGAAGAAGCAAAAAAAAACACACCAAATCGGTAAGCAGCCGTATTTGTGTTGTGCAAAATGAAAATGGGCATTTTATTCGGACCGTGTACATTTGAACAACTAGAACTCTTCTCATACATTTGTGAGCCATGCCACGAAGAGAATATCTCTAGCCCGCAGCAATACTTTTCGCACGATTTCTTATTCTCGAATAGATAAGTGTGCGAGTTTGTCGTTTTTTTTCTCTCGTTCCTTCCCTTTTTGCCTGTCGCTTGCGAATACCCATTTTCAGTTGCCGAGCCAAAGTGCTGCAATCTAACCAAAAGCCAACACCGAAACGCATCTTGATGTGATTAAAAAGCATACTGAAGCACATCGATATTTTAACCAATATATCGAATGCTATAATTGTCATCTATTTGTTACTGTTTAACCAAAAATACTTATTCTCGCCCTCTCCCTCACCATGTGTGTGAGTGTGTGTGTGTATATGTGAATCGATTTTCGCCGTTTGAAGAGATTACCGATTTCAAAATGAGTTAACGTGTCAGAATTGGAATTCGATGCTTGTTTGAAATTTGCTAAGTACCACTTGGAAAGTGCTTCATTTGGTATGGTGTGTATAGCATTTTTTTTAAACTTCTTCTATGGTTTCGCATATACGCATATGTGTTTGTATGTGTATTTCACTTGTCCAAGTGCACACACAAATGCTACTTCAGCTCTTTTGTGCATTGGATTGATTATGTCGATTGGTCCAGTGGTAAAAAGTGTGTGTGTGTAGTGTGTAGACCATCGGGATTATTATTTCCATTGGAAAAACCTTTAAAGTAACAACTTAAATTCCATTTAACAAATGCGCCGCACATTCGATTTCAATGCAGCAAAACTGACACAGCGGTAGTCATTCAGGCAACCAGGCCAGCCAGCCAGCTAGCTTGCATTTCAGCCATCGCAGAGTATGTGTTTGTATATATTTTCAAGGCGTTGCCTTTGTATGCAACCGATATATGGCTTTTGTCTGCTACGTATTTGGCAAACGGTAACAATACATTTGAGGCCATGAGTTTTGCAAATACATTTTGCTATTTGGTCTTTGAAGATATTGTACCGATAAAATAAACAAAACCATTTCGAAATCGCTTTTCTATACTTAACGACATGATTTTATGCGTTTTGACCGGCGCACTTCTTGCCCAATATTTTTTCTCATTTTCTTTTTTCTTTTATTGAGCTATCGATAACATCACACAATTTGATGTTATACATATATGTCAGGATGATTTCCCGTTGACGCGAGAGTCATTTTATGTTTCGAATCGGTGATGAACACCCATAACAACAAGAACAACAATAAAACGGGATTAAAATTGGAATTTGCAGATAGGAATTTTCATTTGAAACGCGCAATTGAATTTATAATTTTCAGCTCAGGGTTTTACATGATAAACGGTTTTCGATATGAGGCTCAGGCCATCGATCAATTGTCAGTCAGAATTCGATCTGATCAAATCTAATGCATCGTATTACACTGAGCGTATTGCAAAAAGCTTTTCTCGCCCAGCTCTAGAACAACAACAACCACAACGTACACACACACACACACACAGCCATGCCACGATAGCTACAAATCGTCTGTATACCAAAAACAATATGCACAAGCATTAACAGCGATTTGTCATCAATCATTAAAATGCCTGCAAAATTATGTAATCCATAAATGAAATCCAGATAAAAACAGACACACAGAGAGAGAAGCAGCAGCCGCAGCAAGCGGTATGTGTGCAAAATTTATCGAAATGCAAGCACATATTTTATGATGAGCGGTAGCAATGATTTAGCTATCATCACATTTCATGACTAATATTCGCATTGTATGTTGAATCGAGTTGATGTATAGAAAAGAATGAACAGCGAAGCAAAACATGGCAAAAGCATCGCTAGGCCGACCCAATCAACTCAATCAACCGGTGCAACGAGAATTTGCACAGCTGCCAAAGTGTTAGAGGGAAAGGGAGAGAGCGAGAGAGAAAGAGGACGAGAAAGAAACCGTGCGTGAGTGAATGAAAAACCGAGACAAGGAGAGAAAAAAAGAGAGAGTGAATTGGTTGGTTTGTTGGAAATAAGCGAGCACAACGCCTGTTGAACTTTAAAATGTAAAGGAAATATGGGTCGATCTGTATTGTAC